TCAATCATGAAATGTTGTGGAATCAATTCCGGATAACACCCATCTTCATAAGAGAGAGAAAAAAAAATTTATTTTCCACGGAAAAAAATAATAGAAATATATGGAGCAGGTTGGGTTAAACAAATTAACGAAAAAACAACCAAATATAGCAGCCGCCGCCGAAGCTGAGCGAGGGCGGGCTTCGACTTCGAGGTCAATGCTCATCTAGGAAATTTCAGATCAACGGCCATCCGCTTCTCCCACGCCCTCCGTCTGCAAATCTCCGCCGTCCAGTCCCCGCACTTCCCGGTAACTTCTCCCCTTGCCGCTCTGTTTTCTAAAGAATGCCCCCTATTTAATCACGTTGGAACGTGGATAAGCACGAAGCGGCGCGATCCGACACGGGTTTGCTTGTGGGATTGTCTCTCCTCAATCCTTATTAAGCCAGGATCTTTTTCGGCCGATCCCATGATGTCGACCCTCATGTCTATCTCTCGCGATCGTACGATATTCTGAAGTTAGGGTTTTTGCATAAGAGACTTATGATGTTGTGGGGACATTAGGGTTCTTTTGGCTCTTCTAAGATGTTTGACGGACGCTTTCCAAAATGGGCAGCTCTCGGTTTGAGAAGGCACCTTCACCGGGTGTGCTTTTGGAGTTCGTCGTTAGGAGCTTTTGACAAATTTGACATTGAATACGATTTTTCCAAAAGTTATCGAGGTTGTGCGGCACGGCTACACCCAATGCAATTAGAGATGCTCCGTGTCTTCCGTGTTCCGTGATTGTTTTACTGATACCTCTGAACTTTATGCTCAGTCGTAGTGTATGTTTTAGACTCAGAATCTGGAGCCTATCCTGTTAAAATCTGAGTGAGGTTGAGAGGACAGAGAAAAAGAAAGAGAAAGAGAAAACGATGCCAAGAGAAAAATGAAGGTTTTTAAATTTTATGAAACCGATTTCAAATTCGGTCCGGTTCTTTACTTCGAATTGGGAACTGGATCGGTTTTCAGGGCGGTCCGATCCGATTTCCAGGTAGAACCGATTCGGTTGCACAGCCTTATTGCCAACCACAGTAACAATGCTATTATAGAGTTTCAACTAAAGCCGGCCATTCACGTCAAGATTAATTAGGACATTTGCAACAAAATGCTTTCTGATGGCTGCACCCTAAGATATTTAGTGAAAGTATAAAGTAAACTCGAGAGTAGAGCTTCTTCGTATACGAAATTTCATGAGGCGTATCGATACATTTTGTCGATACAGTTAATTATCGATTCTATATAGCGCTAGACTCTAAATTTTACTCGCGATTTTTCCCACCACAACAGAAAAAAAAAATGAATTTAGATATAAAGAACTAGGAAAGAATTCCACATATTTCAATCATATCATAATAACACGAAGTGCCAAACCTCAGTAGACATGACGGCGGTGCATATCCTAAAACTTGTGACGTTCCCGATGAGTTCTAGGACTTGCTCGGCAATTGTCCCGTTCCATTATAAAAACATCCAAATTTAAAAATGCTAAAAAAAGCAAAAGAAACGGGTCCACAATCAAAACTAAAATTCCACTTGGTAGGCACATAGTTTCGAAAACAAGCCACCTTACGCGAGCATCATGAAGTACGCGACCCCACCTCTCCTTCGAGATACTTCATTATTGTATCTTCTATTTGGCCGGCTGATGAAGCTATTCATTGCACTCGTGAGAATCATGCACGGAAGCGAATACGATGAAGTGTTCGGTTTTCCTTCTCCCCCCTCCCAACAACCAAGTACGATAATCGCACGCCTCATGGTCCTAGGATACAATTCGAGTTTGATTAGCGATTGACCAGTTTTTTTGTATCACGCGTCGGTCTTTCGACGCGGGCTCCGAAGAGGCAACATGAATCACGAGGCTTTGATGTCTAATGTCCATGTTATTGCTAACCATTCGACCTTTGCCCGTTAAGTCTCGTGATTAAGGCTTGATTAGTTCGTGGGTCACCCATGCTTTTCTTAAATCAAACGAAAAGCCAATGGATTTCCAGCATGTAAGGCTTGATTAACCGGACAGTGTAAAGCGTGAGTCATTTTTTACATTGAAATCACACGGTACAGAGATTCAGAACTTGAGAATATAAATAGCGGGTTCTGACATTTGGTGGTCCATGTTTTGACTGAGAAAGAATTGTTGAGGATGGTTTTGTAATTTTAGTTAAGGGGCCTGACTTTTTCAGATATTTTAGGCAAAAAGTTGCCTATTTATTTGCCCTGCCAAATCTAAAAAATATAATCTAAATATTAAAAAGATGACTGAAAAACATATTATATAAAACTATATATCAATATCTTTACACTTTGAGATTTTTGAGATTTATCTGAGCTACAATATTAGGAAAAAAAACTAAAATATGAAAGCGGAAAATATTTCGAATAAATATGGGTAGACTCACCATTCTTCTTCTTCTTTTTTTTATGAAAATGGGCTAAAGCCGAATACAAAAATTTAACGTTGTAACCCTACAATCCTTATTTCATCACCTAATAAAACATGAATAACTCTGTATGAGGTAATTTAAAGAATCTAGTATGCAAACTCTTATCTATTCCAAAATTAGCAAGCTAATAAGCACAATGATTTCCTTCCCGAAAGTTATATTGCACTTTAAACTCAAAGCGATAACACATGGTCTTTTAATATCTTTAAGCAAAACAAGTCCAGCATTATCAATTATAAGCCATGAACTAACAAGATTAGTGATGGTTTTAGAGTCAATCTCAATAATAATTTTACGAAAACCAAGTTGCTTTGCGAAGTTAAGTCACAACCACAAAGCCCAAAGTTCTGCTTGTGTCGACAAACATATTACTATGAAAGCGGCAAAACCACCAAACCGGTCACCCCCTTCATTCTTGAATAATACCCTTGCACCAGAAAGTTCTGGGTTGCCTTTAGTGGCCCAATCAATATTCAGTTTTAATCCGTCCAGAAGGTGGAGGATCCCATCTAACTAAAATCGAAGAAGTGCACGATCCACTTAAAATCGAGTTATTCACAAACGAAACTTTAATAATTTCCTCTGCGCATGATCGAATTACCTGTACCGGATTCGAAGGGAAAACAAAATTATTCCGAAAAAGTGACTCGTTGTTCTCGCCATAAAAGTCACACACACCTATTTCAAAAATCATGCTCCAATCATGACGAAAATTCGATCGCCCTTTTTCCAGCAAGATTACTTTAAATGGCTTTTCACTGCATTCGAAACTTCGTCATCATAGAAATAGTATTCTAGTTAAAGAATTGAAGTGACTTTGTTTTTTTTTTCCGGGACAATAATTGAAGCGACTTTAAAAGCCACAATTACTGCCTTTTTTCTTTGAAATTTGAGGAGATTCACATGGAAAAAAGGCCACTCATATTTTGGTGCGATGAAAAAGGGCCAAAAGCCAAAAATTCAAAAAAGAGAGTGAAAATTCAAAGCCGACTTGCCTATCAAATCTTAGTGCTAGTACCAATGAAAGATTCCTTTACATTCTTGGGGGGCTCACCCTTTTTGTTCCACCTAAAGCTTTATCTGGAAATAAAATATGACTATCGATGATGATGTGAAGAGCTTATCAAGTGTCGATTGGACCACCACCGCTCTCCCTTTTTAGCCCTAAAACGACGTCGCAAAAAGCTCGTGAAATAAAAAAAAAAGCCACCGTTTCGGTGAAAGTACACCTCAGACCGGGGGGGCCCGCGCGATGCGGAGGATTTGCTAGCGAGGACAACAACATTTTTCATTTTGCCAATCAGGACAAACCAAGTGACGAACTGCAGTAGTGACGCCGACCTCGAGGGCCAAAAAAACCGGCACGCTGATTTCTCGTACGTGACCGACCCTCTTCACGCGTCTCGCCCGCATCCGATCCCTGCGCCGACCGCTAGACCCGGTCACGCTCCCCACTGTTTTTGGGGATCGAGCGAGTCGCTCCGATAAGCCAATCGAAATATCGTCCCGACCTTATAGCATTCACGTGTTATAACTTTGTTGTGTAAGATTCATAAGATTCGATATATATCATCTGTAATATGTCCAGTCCCACTCAATATTAGACCTGTCAAACAAGTGGGTCGGATCGGAATCGAATATGGTCCGAGCCAAATAGATCTATGTCTATACAATGCAGATCTAGTGACACATGCCCAATGCATACCTAACCCGACCTGACCCATATTGCTAAATCACTTCCATATTCAACCTAATTTACGAAAATTCATATCCAAACTGAGATGAGAGTGTTGACTAAGTGAACACGAGATCAAGCGATGGCGAGAGAAAATGAGAAGAGAGTCATAGAGATGGGTCGGGTCTGAATAAATTGTAAACCCATTTATTACCTATTTAACGTCCATATTATGTTTAAATTCATTTATGACACATTTTATGAATATAAATAATTCATATAACAACTCAGCCCATCATCTATAGGTTCAAAAATGAGTTTATGACCCATTTTAATGTGTCTACTCAATATACAGACCCGTCCAGTTTTTTCTTTGATCGCCATGATTCACAAATGCTCGTGAGCATTTGATAAGAGTCCTTTTTTCTCATCATCTTTTCGATCTACTTTAACTTCTTATTTTTTTCTCTTTCGGGTATCGCTAAATTAACCCGGGATTCTTCTAATTCCGGGTAAATCGATCAGCTTCCCGGGGCATCAAATATCAGATCCGATCCGCGGGGCATTCATTTTTTTCAAGTTGGAAGAATGGGTAGAAGTCGAGATCGATTTGGCAAGCTCGAATTTTTACCTCCAGGACAACAAGTGGGTGAATCCTTTGGGGGAAATCCTCACTTCCTCGATTGGCATGAGCACCAATAATTGTCAAGATAATAAATCGTCAATCCGCCCTTTCCACGGCAGCTCCCTAAATCCCCAAGGGGCAAACGCGTAACTTCCCCCCGGCCCCCCGGCTCCGCTATATAGGGCGAACCATGCGCAGCGAACGAGGACGAAGGAAGGACGGAGAAGGAGAAGGAAAAAGAAAGCGAGAACTCTCCTCCGACTTCAAGTCCAATCATTCGTCACGCTCTCTCTGCCTCCCTCCTTCTCGAAATCCTCGCCTGCTCTTCGATCCCGAGAGGTAGATAGTCTCGAGAAACTCCCCGGAATTCTCCTTCGCGTCTAGGGAATGCATAGAGATGATGGTAGCCCACTGCCCTTCTCCTTCTTCATCCACGGCGAGGCCTGAGTCGTGTTGGCGAGCCAACTCCCGCATCGGCGGCCGGACCTGCCACCGCAAGCACGTCGAGGACGGGTGATCCGGCGGCTCCGCCTCCGACCTCGGCCCTTTTTTCCGGTTTTCGCTTCTTGTCGTTCTTTGCGTTTTTTCCGTATCTCTCGGCGACGGTTTTTCGATCGGTTACGGTTTTTTCTCGGTCGGGGGAAGTAGACACCCCGGAGGATGACGAAGAGGGGGGAGGACGGGAGCTCGTCGATCCTGCACGGGAAGTACGAGCTGGGGCGGCTCCTCGGGCACGGGACGTTCGCGAAGGTGTACCACGCGCGGGAGCTGCGGAGCGGCCGGAGCGTGGCGATGAAGGTGGTGGGGAAGGAGAAGGTGGTGAAGGTGGGGATGACGGAGCAGATCAAGCGCGAGATTGCGGTCATGAAGATGGTGAAGCACCCCCACATCGTGGAGCTCCACGAGGTGATGGCGAGCAAGTCGAAGATCTACTTCGCCATGGAGCTCGTCCGCGGCGGCGAGCTCTTCGCCAAGATCTCCAAGGGGCGGCTCCGGGAGGACGTCGCCCGGGCCTACTTCCAGCAGCTGATCTCGGCGGTGGATTTCTGCCACAGCCGGGGGGTGTACCACCGGGATCTGAAGCCGGAGAACCTGCTGGTGGACGAGAATGGCGATCTGAAGGTGACCGACTTTGGGCTGAGCGCCTTCGGGGAGCACCTGAGGCAGGACGGGCTCCTGCACACGACGTGCGGGACGCCGGCCTACGTCGCCCCGGAGGTGATCGGAAAGAAGGGGTACGACGGTTCCAAGGCGGACCTGTGGTCGTGCGGCGTGATCCTATACGTCCTCCTCGCCGGGTTCTTGCCCTTCCAGGACGATAACATCATGGTCATGTACCGGAAGATCTACCGGGGCGATTTCAAGTGCCCGCCCTGGTTCTCGCCGGAGGCCCGGCGCCTCGTGACCAAGCTCCTCGACCCGAACCCGAGCACGCGGATCACCATTTCCAAGATCACGGACAGCTCCTGGTTCAAGAAGTCGGCCCCCAAGACCCTGGTCCCCAAGGAGGAGCAGGAATTCGACGAGGAGAAGGCGGCGAAGTTGCGGCCGCCGGAGACGATGAACGCGTTCCACATAATCTCCCTCTCCGAGGGGTTCGACCTGTCGCCGCTCTTCGAGGAGAAGAAGAGGGAGGAGAAGGAGGAGCTGCGGTTCGCGACCACGCGGCCGGCGAGCAGCATCATATCGAGGATCGAGGAGGCGGCGAGGGCCGGGAAATTCAGCATCACGAAGAGCGAGTCGAGGGTGAAGCTGGAGGGGGAGGAGGCGGGGAGGAAAGGGAAGCTGGCCATTGAGGCGGAGATATTCGCGGTGGCCCCGTCGGTGCTGGTGGTGGAGGTGAAGAAGGACCGGGGCGACACGCTGGAGTACAACCAGTTCTGCCGGAAGGAGCTGAGACCGGCGCTCAAGGACATCGTCTGGACGTCCCCCGGCGACGACTCGTTGCCTGCTTGAGAGCGCGCGGGTTTGTACATGTACGTGTTGTCGGATTACGTCGGAATTAGGTGTCGTCAACTTTAGGAGCAGATCGCAGAGGAATTGGTCTGTGATTTGCGGTTAGAGTTCGGTGGTTGGTGTTTGTGTTCTCTCGTGGGTTTTTTCTTGTGAATATGTTGCAAGTGAGACGTGTTCTTTCCAAGTAAGAGCAAAATCTTCGATCCTGAAAGCTCAAATCCGGCGTCCTTTTTTGTCGATCGGGTCTCGCGGTTCGCACGAAGAAGGGAAGGGAACCGAGAAGAATTGAACTCGAGACCTTCAGTTCCGCAGGTCGTTTGTCTTAGGAATTCGAATTATTAAGAGACGGGTCCGAGATTAACATTCTAATTCGGCAAGGTAAATTCCAAATCGGAGCGTCAAATTAGCTTAATGAGCACGTGGGGATTGGTTAATTTTTTTATTTTATTTAATCTTGGGGTTAATCAAAGAGGTCGTACAGTCGGTACAGATTCCCACATGAACTTTTGGTGAGATCCAAGAAATTAATAGAAAAACTCGAAAGGAGGATGTCTTAAATTCACTCGGGGGATATTTTGTAACCGTACAATTTACAGAAGGAACATTAAATTTTAAGGCAGCTGCATGTGCACTTTATGGGTATGGGTGAAGGTGGTAATTCAAATCTGAACATATGTTTTTAATTCGGTTGACTTCTTAATGTCCAATTGATTATAATTCGTTCCGTACTTAGTTTAGGTGGGAGCCTTCAGATACATCTTTTGCTGCTAGAATAGCTTATTTCCTCCCGTCTATGGTTGGAAGAAAAAGCTTCATCCTATCAAAGTTCGATTGATCCGTTACGAATACGAACGTCGCTCGTATCTCTCGTATCTGTCTTTTTCATATTTTATTCTAAATTTGTATGTCGGTAATGTCGATGAACTGGAATACACTAATGGAAGACATAATTGGAGAAAGTTTTCACTAACATTCAAGGATGGAGGCAAATATAGCTCACTTTAGAACTCCCGCTTCTTCTCACGTTACTCACCGGCCAAGTCACTTAGGGATTGTAAAACGGCCACATATCAAGGTCAATATGAGGCTGTTTTACAATTCAATTTAAAACATTTTAATTGGACAAATATAGTCCTAAATCTTTTTTACGTTGTGTCAATTGAGTCCATCCGGCTAATTATGGTCGAAAATCGCTAACACGGACATCGACCATTTTACATGGCGAGGCCAGCACTAACATGGGTTGTTTTTAATAATATTTTTATATTTTTTGAATTTTTTGCGCTTTTCTTTTCTTTTTCTTTTTCATTCTTTACTCTTTTTTTTTTGCTTCTTTTTTTTATTGTTAAGGGTCGGGCCAGCGATTTTCAGGCAAAATTGATCTTCCAAACTCAATTATCAAATTATAAAACAGTTTATAATTTAATTAACACAAGTAAAAGATTATTGATTCAAAAGATTGTTTTGGGGATAATTTCCTCGATTCATGCAATAAACCCTAAAAATCCTATGTCCACAGGATGGGCACACCATACGTCACAACGCAGTATTGCAGACCCCAACAAGGGAAGGGGGGGAAAAAGGCTCATCGTCTACGAACCAAGAGTGTGTGTGTGGCTTTCAGCGAGCTTGGGGGGTGGGGGCGGGGGAATACTGTGAATTATTGAGACCAGCAGAAAGCGATCGTCTCCTTCTTTGGCTGTCGCTGCGCTTTTCTCGATGATTGTCCTCTTCCCCTGCGACTCCCTGCTGCACCAAAGCCTGCAAATGTGACACTCCTCCCTCCCTCCCTCTCATCAAATGGACATTTGCCTTCTGGCTTCGTTTGTCCCCACTTCCATTTTCATCTTGTTAGGCGGAAGGTGTCGTGGGTTTTCTTTTAGGGTTCCTATCACGAAAATTCCAAATCAGTCTATACGTGATAAATTTATTTTAAATTAATTTTTTGATCACGAAAAATCTCAAATTAGTACATTTATGATAAATTTACCTAAAAAATCTAATTTTTTGACCATCAAAAACCTCAAACTGATATGTTTGTGATAAATTTACCTTCCGTTAAATTGGATTAATACAAAAAAAAAGAATCACAAACTGATATACATGTGACAAATAGAGGGTAAAACTCCAAACTGGTAAACCCGCTAACTGTCACGTGTCATCTAACTCAGAAATTTGACGGTAAAATTTAACGGAAACTATCGGAAGGTAAATTTATTACAAGTGTATCGGTTTGGGGTTTTTTATGATAAAAAATTTAGTTTGAGATAAATTTGTCACAGATTTACTAGTTTGGAGCTTTTGATGATATTAACCATTTCTTTTATTGATGTGTTTACTTCAATCCTTTGCCTTGGCATGGATTTTCTGGTTTTTTTTTTTTCCTAAATTTGAGATATGAATTTGTGAGGATGCAATTTGCTAATTCCTATTGCACACAATCTACAAGAACTTGGAGGCGATAGAAAGCCGAGTCCCTCAGCCTACTCAGTGCTCGAAGAGTAATCATCGATTGAGAGAATCAAAGCAAAAGATCAATTGCTGTTAAGTGTCCTCTCATGCTCGGAAGATCCCCAGATACAATCTCCATTACCGCACCAATTAATCAGAGATTAAGAAGCCTAAGCTAATCACGACCAGAGGAATCTATTGGGCACGGGGACAAAAAGAAAATGTGACCCCACGTAATCTTAATTTGATTCCCGTATCGCGACACAGGAAAATGTCGCACAGCTCCTTCCGTGACATCAGCCAGCACGAATGTGCTCGAAGACGCTTCTTATTTTTATTCTTATTCTGAATTAGGTTCTTGTCCGCTGGCCTACCACCAAAAGAAATACGATAATGCAACTCACATTAATTTATGATTGAACCTTGTGAATTGTCCCGCTGTTGCGATTGGGACACGTTATTTTGAGTAGTAATTGTGAAGGTCCACTGATTTGATGCGTCTTTTCTGATGATTGAGCTGAGACTAAGGTATATCTAGGTACGCCTTGACGGAATAAAATTTGAGAGCATCTCGAAGAAACTTCAAAGGATGAGCCAGAGTGTATCAAGATAGATTGGTTAAAATTTGTTATTCGGATGCCATGTTGTGGTCCATCGTACCGTTTAATAAGATGATCTATCCCGATAGAACTAGCTCGATATATTTAGTGGAGTTTCCTCGTAATTGGTTATTGTTTTTTATGAGCTTGTTTCGTGGAAACCGATTATCGAGTCGAGCAATAAGAAAGATGGAACGCCAAGAATCGAGCTTCGACCACTACTAATCCTATCTAATAAGGGCAATGGACAAGAAACATACTTGTCAAGTATATAAAGTATATTGCTCTTGTCAGGCCAGCTTTCGCTCATCTTGATATATCCACCTTCTCGGACAATCCCGAGTGTTGGCATAGTGCATTTAGGATTTTAGTTTTGGAGTGCTCTTGACAAGACGTGAATTCACGACCGCGAAGATAGGAGCAAGCTCTCTTGCCATCTAAGTCAATGCCTTGATGATGGAGGAGTACATGCGTAATCATACAAAGTGGTGATATTCGAGGGTGAGTGTTGACTTATGAATCTTTTGACAATGCCTCCCTAATTTAATTGTGGGGCTCGAGAAGTCACAATAGAACCCAATAAGATGCGACAAATTATTAATTAGCATTGTAAACGGCACGATCTAGTGAAACGAGTGTGTAGATAATACTTATTTCCTCCCTCCGTTTTTTGTATTATAAACAGACCCCAGCCACATAGGACCTTCCCAAGTTCGAATTACATGCGGACGAACCATACATATAAAGAGACATGGGAGTGCGACAATTGGTATCTAATAACAGTACCTACACTGCACCTAATGTCAAAACTAAATTAGTTTTTATCAATCAGTCCAATACTAGTGCGCAGGAGCATGTCTAATTCCCAGCTAATTACATTGGAAAGCAACCTCGTACACCGACCATACTAACTCTGGCATTTAACAAACATTATAATATGATAGGTTACATCGCTTAGTACCTACGAAATAAAATAAGAAATTGAAAGTTTACTCGAAAAGATGGGAACATGCACCTCTTCCTTCCTTCCTTTCTCAGTAGTCAGTGCCTATGTGGGGGAGGCTAGAGGCACCTGAGCTGTTGAAGTGAATTATTATTAAGGACATAACTTTTTTTTGGGTACCTTTCAATTAGACCCAATTATAAATTTTCGAGTTAAAATAAGCTAATCATGGCATTCCAATGAAATGGATCGCTCTATAATTATTGATGATCAGTCCCCAACTACAAGGCACTGCTATGCTATGACCAGGTGTCCAACCTCGCTCTATAATGCTGAATAATTTGCGTTATTTTAACTAAGATTCAGCTTGATCAATCATTGTGCTGAGGGAAGAAGAAGGAAATGCTCATTGCACTGCGGAATCTTTTACAGGCAGGAGGCTGATGACAAAACCACGGGCCATCCAAAGCCACAACCTTCGTTGATTAGTGTCGTTTTCTAGTGTTTATTGATGTACCAAGAAATGCTTAATGGTCTAATCTGGCTTGTGTAGGTGAAGCCTCAAATCAAGAAACAACCATGAATGTCTTTGCTTTCGATTTCGACCGCCAAACTTACGCTTGGTTCGATCTTCGCTCTCGATTATGTGATGTATCGGGATCTCCTTGAATAGTGTTGGTTTGACCGACGAACTACGTGGGAAAATGGACCTTCTTTCTTGGATTTTCAGCAAGCATTTTCGAGGCTGTATTGTTCATTCATTCACCTTGACATGTAGGAAGGCAGCAGTGCGGAATTGAGTTTCTCGTCCGGTGGATCTGATCTACAGTTAGGGAGCAATACATACCAAAAGGTTCGAAGAAGGAAGGCGCATGAGAGTAGATAACCAATTGGTTTAGTTTAGGGACCGAAGGTGGTCGTGATACGTACTGTTATCGACCGGCGAGGAATCTCGCCTCGTGTAGGGTGAATTCCCGGCCGGTGAACCGCCTCGCGAACCTCATGGACCGAGTAAGACTCGAGCCCAAGCCCCCGTCGAGCGAAAGAAACATGGAATCGCGAGGGAATCGAACTTGTGTCGTGCGCCTAATCCACACACTAATAAGTTTTTTTAACCGATAAGCCCGACCGCATGGGGGGTCGATCATGGTACATATCGAGAACGATCGAAATGAATGTCTCTTGCTTATAGCTTGCACTGCTATCTTGTCAAGATATATTGAATACTTACTTCTCAAAAAACGGTGAGAACAACCCCGATCGCTTAGCTCGTTCGTGTGTGTATCTGCAGCAAAGCTCGCCCCCACGAAGGCTGAAGACCTCTCAATTCGAGAGAGATGCTTGGGCCGAGACGCACGGTCGAACATTAGTTTTCGAGCAAGTTAAGGTCGAAGGACTGGGCTTCTTCTTGGCTTGCCGGGGCCTGCATCTCGTGCTTGATCACGATGATGAATATGATCTTCTGATAAACTACTTTTGACACGAGCAGCTGATCGAAACTTGTCGAATGCTACGAAAGATGCTTGTCGACAATTCTGGGCCGGTTCCCTGAAAAACCCCAAACTTAAGGTCTAGCCCAATTTTGTCCCGAACTTTTTTTTGTCATAGGAAAAACCCCAAACTTTAGATCCAGTCCCAAATAGCTCCCGACTTTTTTTTTTGTCTAAAGAAACCTCAAATTTTAGGTCCGGCCCCATATCTACCCCAATTCTTTTTTTTTTTTTTGGTCTAAGAGGAAAATCACCAATTTTTACTCTAGTCCTAAATCTGCCTCCATTGGCCCTTTGTCCAAAATTCGCTGTTACTCATGTCTAATTTTTATACCCTAGAATGATTTCATTTTTGGAGATCATATTCCATGTCACCATGCTTATGTGGATTTGTTATCAACGTGGAAATCCCATGTCAATTTGGGACGGGCCACGGGATTAGATTTATGAATAGATTGAAAGTTGTCGATTTTTTTTTTTTGAGAACTTTCACCAAATCACAAGATTCGTGTTTGATTCGTCTATGGAGATGGGGCAGTGATCATTTCTTTTGGGCCCAACAGATCAGGTGGGATGATGAATTTGTTGTGGTTTCTGCTTACTGGACTGGATCAATGGCGAGCCCAAGATCCAAGTCAGTCTCTCTCTCTCTCTCTCTCTCTCTCTCTCACGGAGTCCATCAGAATCTGCAGCCGAAGCCGAAGTGAATCGTTCGAAGCGGGGAAGGGGAAGCCTCGGGTGGCGTCGCCAGCGTCGTTGCAGCCATGGCTGCTGTTGCAGAAACCGACGCAGAAAGAAACCCAGATACAGTCCACACCGACGTCCTCTCCAAAGCTCGCGAATCTTGCTACAAGGTCACCTTCTTCTTTCTCTCTCTCTCGTTTCTTGATCATGTAGAGATGAGCCTCCTTCATGTAATGCGTGATTTGCTCTTGAATGGCGAATTGGAATACTGAGGCACGACGTGATTACGTTCTTCTGGGCAGGCTCGCGACGCTTTCTACGCGTGCCTGGAGAAGGAATCGAGCAAGAAGCCGACGGAGATCGGCTCCGTCGGATTGTTGTACCCTACAGAGTGTAAAAAATCGAGGGTCGAGTACGAAAATCGATGTCGAGCTTCTTGGGTATGTGAATTGGGAGTTCAAATCTGTTCGCTAGATTGTTGCTGTGATTTTGTTTACGCTTGTTTCGTTTTGGTGGTTTGTATTGATGTTGTTGTCATTGGTTTTTGTGGAAATGTAGGTGAAGCATTTTGATAGGCAGCACTGTAAGAACAAGACACTTCAGAGGCTCTTGGACGATAAGGATTCGAAGCGCGGTCCCTTGACGGTCCCGCAGCCTTCCACTTTCAAACCCCCCAGTTGAGACTTGCTCTGAATTCCTTGCTTGGTGGGATGTGTTTCTGTTTCGGTAATTGTATTCCTATGCCACGAGCCATCAAGTTGAAGGCTGTATACGCCGACACTGTCTGTTAATTATGTGCTGAAAACTATTACTGGCAAAAATTTTGGCTAGCACTGCATTGTTTTATGCATAAATTTGTATCGTTATGTGTCTGTCGTTGTCAATTATAAATAGTGTTCCTCGATGGATTTTGGGATAATTGAACTTGATTGAAATGTATTCTGAAACATTAATATCTGTCCAGTGACTCTCTAGAGCTCAGCTTCTGAATCTATTGCTTAGGAAGATTCTTCAGTATAAAATATTATAGTATCGATTCTTACTCTAGACTATTAGGTGTTTGTTTCTTATGAGGCAAATTTGCTAACGGATGTCTATGCCATTGTGGAATGATAGTGTCCCCTATTTTTGGAGATGAATAATCATGAATTTGCTTGATATAAAGATTTGAAAGATCTCTTCATATGGTCTTGTTGAGGACTTTAGATACTTGGGTTTACCCTGTATGAGGAAATGCTAAAATAGGATTTTTTTGAGAGGATTCTTACTTAAGAGTATCCATGGAGGGTGTGTCTTTTACCACCGGATTGACAAAATAGGCAATTCAGTTGCTGCATTAGTGTTTCATGTCTTCAGACTCGAAAAGCCCTCATGTTTCTGTGTTTTCTTCTTTTCTTGCATTAATATCCCCCCTCTCTCTCTCTCTCTCTCTGCGTGCGCACGTGCGCATTGTTGCTTTTTTGGGGTTTTGAACCCCTGAAAATCCTATCCCACAACATATCCTATTGTCACTGCCTGGTGGCCCTTTTGTTTCTATGTTGTTAATTGATAAATTTACACTACTACAAGAACGCAACCTTGGATGCTAAAATGCCGGGATCTCTTTGCTACATTACAAGCCGTAGATTTCATGCTTCAATCTCTATCCAAAGATAGTGATCGACAGATGCCAGATGGCACCAAATTATATGTAATTGAGCAATATATGGATGAATTATATGCAAGTGTCATGCCTCCTTTTACATCATGGCAGCTTCTAACCTGTGAAATTAAATTTGTTTGATAAAGAAAGACCTGTTTTGATCGGCTAGTTGCTGCAGTTCTTTGTATTGATCTCGGTCTTACCAGTTGAATGATGTTTCTTGGATAGATTTGATGTTGTGTTGGCAATATCAGCTTAATTCTTCTAAAAGCTAGGAATAGAAATGCCTGCTTTTGGTAGAGTGGGCCTTGCTTAAATATCAGAAATTCCACAAACAAAGATATCTTCCTTTAGGCTATTCATCAAAATTGCTCGTGGACGTTTTTAAAAGCTAGGAATTAAATCATCGAATCTGAGCTCAGTGGTTTGTGAGGATCATTGAAGGATGTGTTGAGAAGTGGTCCCAAAGGAGACTGAAATGTATAACGTCGGGATGGGTTGATTGTCACCTCATGCTTTCGTCTACCGTTGACTTTATGCTTTTGAGGGTAAATTCCAAAGACAATGTATTTTTGGGTTGTTTACACTTTTAGATTATCAGGCTTCAATTTTTTTATTCCTTGGATTCACTTTTCAGTCCTCTAAGAGTAGGTAATTAACATCAATCATCCTCAAGTTTCTCCTAAATTACACTTTGTATCGTCTAGTTCCAAAACCTACACTTTGCATTTGCTACTTTCAAAACCGTACTTTGCACCTAAGGTTTTGCAGAAAAAATTCTTTAATTCTTCTTTACACATTTATTTTTCTTAGACTCCAAGGTCTAAATTGTAGGTTCTTTTGAAATCTCGGGACGTAAAGTGTTGGGTTTTAAAACAAGAGTGCAGATGAGGGAAAGCTGAAAGTAGTTTCTATACTGTCATCCTTTTAGTATTGCCATCTCCACAACACACACCTGGCCGGCTTTCTCTGTTTAATTTGATACATCAACCAATGGGTGTCTACTGAGAATCTGAGATGGCATGGTGCATTGGACATATTCACTGTAGTAGCTACTTACCTGCCAGCAGTGGCATGACCTAGATTGGCGGTGCATACCTCTGCCACTGATAAATCTTAGTTTGAACATTTTAGGTGATTAGCTAATGAAATAATTGATGTGCGACTATGAAGTTGTAACAGGACAGCAGATTGTTACGGCAATTCCAACTGTCAATGAAATCCAAGTGTTCTATTACTCTCCATGTGGAATCAGTTTTATTCGGTTTGAATAGCTGATTAAACTGACATGCTTTGTGTTATTGCTGTTTTCATCTGCTGCCATTGTTTATGATTATGCGGATTAAAAAAGAGAGTGACTTTTAAGTATCTCGGATCCTTCATACTTGAAACTGTAACATCATTTGTGCTAATGTTACAACAGGGACAGATTATCACCACCCTCGCTGCCTCACACAGTTTTTCAATTGTTTTCTCTGGATCGTACTTTGCATGAACTCATGATTTCAAGCTTATTTTGTTGCTGATTGCTGATCATCATAAGCTGCTGTTTTCCTCTTAGTACTTAATTGCTCTGTATGATGCTGTGTTAGGGAGCTTCATCGACAGCCGCAACCCTAACGATCAGCAAGAAGGGATGCAGAAATTTTTCTCTACGTGAATGGCTTGCTTTGGAGCAGTACATTTAGTTAAGTCAGACGACTTATTATGTGAATATTCTCAGTCTACATTGATTTACGAGGGAAAAAGTTACTGTTCCTTCGCATTGCGACATAAAAAAGGAACTGGGTATGCTCAGCTTCCTACATTTCCTTCTTTCCTTATCTAGTTTCTTGAATCAATGATTGTGCTTCTGGATGGAGTTCTCTTTTATTCCGTACATTCAGCACCAGTTGTTTACTAGTTCTTTTCAGAAAGTACACTCGGGGAAAATGCATGGTATGGATATTGGTGACGATGTCGGGAGATCGCAATACTTTTAGGTCCTATACTAGAGTTTCGGAAATTTATTCTCGCGAAACATGTTTTCAAGAAAGGATGACAGAGAATAATTCATGGTTGGTTTCCTTTAGTGCAACGAAGATGGCGCTTGATAGGTCGTGATTCGGCAGGATCTGTTCCTAGTCATTGAACTATCAGAATGTTTACCGTGATCTTCAGAATAACTTGGAGATTTCCTGTTGTGAGTACATGGATCACTTATTGATGAGAAATAGATGACTCAAACTTGAGAATGAGCTATCCAACTCCTACATATATATGATGAACTGTGGTTGGCTGTTGCATCATGAAAATTAGACCTTGGCTAGAGAAAAGTTACTATTCACAGGTTAAAAATCCTTTATAAAGTCAAGTTCAAACTAATCATCCCTTCAGCACAGCGTTTATTATAATCAACAAAACTTAGGCTGTCAGAACCAATAGTCTCTCTTTTTTCCTGTTTTTTTGGGTAAACGAAAGTTTAGGAGGAGAAATTACCCTGTACCATACCACAAGCCTAGGTCTTATAGTGGATATATAGATCACCTACTAAGAGGGCCTATTAGTAGTGGGATTCGAATATGAGCAGAGTGTGCGAAGAGTTCAAACCTTACCAGCACTGATTATGGCCAGTAAACTCCATGGGGGTGCAGCAGGTTCCTTGTTGCTGCGCTCAGTTAAGTCCGACGTGAGTATGAGAGGATAGACTCCAACTCGGCACTCGAAGGCGAGATTATAGCAGCATCGTCACTCTCGCGCGCATCGCCCTGTAGGGCAAACTGCAAGAGGCCAGAATCGAAACCTTCACCTCCCGATTCTTAGGAGAGGATCCTTGGCCATCGATTACCCTCGATCCAAAGGTCGTTCTGGTTGGACGCGCATGAAATGTATCATATCGATGCAATCGATCTTTTCGTTCTCAATATTGATTGATTAGATGTAGGCCGGCTGAAGTAATAAACAGGGTTGTGGACCAGATCGATCGCAACCATTATCTATAGGATCTAGTATGGATGCCATAAGATCTACTTACGTGATCGTGTACATTTCCGTTGACCTAGCGTGGCCTTTGCAGCTTCTCCAATTTTATTTCATCTATAATATAGTTTGGGATATAAAATCAGATCCAAAGACAGACCTTAGTCGCCTCCCACTCTTTGCATCCCATCCCACTTTATTCACTGCCAAAACAAGATGAAGCTCGATGTTTCTTGACCTAACCCTAACATTTTTTATTTTATTTAATACCAATCTTTACAAGATGTACTTTGATCCACTAAGTTTACCGTAGTTTAATTTATTCAAAACACGCCTTAACATGCCAGGAATAGGATCCGTGGCATCCCAAAAAAAAACTATTTTTATTCTACTTTTTTCAAGGATGCATGATTCGGAGTATGATTCTGATTTATCTGCTTAAATTAGTTATTTAGCCCGGGCTTTGCGCGAAAAATACCGATAAAATAGTATGTGTGATATAAGATAAGATGTCAACCTTATTCGATAGTGATATTTACACTTTTTCTAGAAGAATGTCATAATTTTGAAGATGCTTAAGATTCAGGTAGAAAAGACGTTATGATGTTATGTTTCCTAAGCAACGTAAAACAAAAATTTTTTTTTTAAAAAAAGTGAGTTTTTAGAGTGCAATGATGAAATTCGGCCAAAAAAGAGTACAGCAATGAAAGCTATATTAAATACAAAGTTCATTTGAAAACAAAAATATAAAACTAATAAAATATAAGGCTCCATTTATTTCACGAAAAAAAATAATTTAAAAAATAATTTCTTAAAATAATTGCTTGTATATTTTACAAAAATAAATGGACGAAAAATATTTTCATCGTCCACGAAAATAATTTGACATAAATTATTAGCAATAATGAAAGTATTTTCAATTGACTAATTTTTGTCGGATACATTAAGAATACTTTTGAAGATACTTTGTTCTCACACATTTTTTAAATTTTCACTTAAATTGAATAAGTGATAGACGTTTGAGGATGACAAATCACTAAATTAATGATAATTGCTCGAATATGGGCCCTATAGCACCATTAAATTATGCTGCGTGACACTAACCAAGGTAAAGTTGACTGTCACGTGGCGAGCATAGGAGCGAACTTTCTCTCAACTCCGGCTTTAACTATGTATATGACCACCTAAGTGCAACTAATCTTTTTATTCCTCTTCCAAAACTTCGATTTAAATGGACACCGATGCCGTGTTCTGCGAGAGCCGTAAGTATCTGTCCCTCTGAGACCCTATCCCGATAAGGCATTTCAGTAATTCCTTCCCCGAACGCAAGCGCGATCATTAGATAAGGCGAGTCCATAGTTTTACTAGTGGTTTTTGCAAAGGTTTACAATGTTCATGGACGATAAGTACGCGGTATCGGGTGCATTACTAGTGCACGACTTTAGGTGTGGTCAAAGTGGTGTCTAAAATCAAGGACACCGATTAGACCAGACCACCACTAATAAGCAATGTGAACAAAGTTTGGAAGTAAATCGGTCAATTGACTTGGAAACCCTAATGAGTACTTGAACGAGGCATAAGTTTGGACGACACTTAAAAGACGTGATTGGACCCATATGTCGGAGCCTTGTAGATAACGCTTACATCACTTAGCGTGTTAGCATGCTAAACTTATTATACAAATATCAATTCAGTCCTAAATTTTTGCATAAAATTTTAATGTAATCGTTTCGATCAATTTTCTCTTTAAATCGTTAACATGGCGGTCCGATTATCGCCAGTTGTCTTACGTGGCATACCGTTACGTCGGCGATTTTCAGTAAAAATTGATCGGAATGACTACATTTAAAATTTCATGCAAAGGTTTGTGACCAAATTGACAAATTACAAAATTTAGGATTGAATCGACATCCCTACAATAAGTTTAAGACCGATTGGACAATAGCCCCGATAAGTACAGTGACTGCGGCGTGGTTCATGAGATGCCGCTAATAATTATCTCAACTAAGGTCGATTGTCGGTACCCGATGCAATGTGGCACTAATAATTTCTTATTTTTATAAAACATTAGTTTAAGTTTCATGCCCTTAATTACATGACGGCATACAAAGCCTTCACGACATAGCTATCCTTAACATAAAGCATGATTATGGGTAAAGACAAGATAATTAGTTCAATTTCGATCAAAATTTATAATAAAGCATCACTTTTGTGGTAACAATCGGATGCTACGAAAGGTGATTCGGTAAGAAGAGTAGCTAGACCAAATCCTCCTCGAGAATTGGGGTGACTCGTTGATCTTGATCTCATCCCAAATTGAATCTAATCCTTGTTGCTTTGATTCGTCCCTTTCGTAAAAAGCCTCATGAAATTTGACGCAAAAATTTAGAATTAAATTAACAAATTTGCAAAGTTTAAAATTGGACTCATAACCTGGGGTTTTTATTGCTTTCTCACTTGCAATCTTTCAAGTACAAGATACAGGGAAAAATTACTCAATCAGTAATAAACCTATTATATATATGTCAGTTCAGTCCTAAACCTTCGCATGAAATTTCAATGTAGTCATTCCAGTCAACTTTCCCTTTAAATCGCTATCGTGGCAGCCCAGTTATCCCCAACCTTCTTACGTGGCACATTGCCACATCAGCGATTTTCAAGGAAATTGGCTGGAATGACTACGTTGAGATTTCGCGCAAAAATTTAGGACTGAATTGAGAAAATTGCAATGTTGAGAATTGAATTGACATCCTTACAATAAGTATATGACCGATTGGACGATTTCCCCATTAAGTATAGCGACTGCAGTGTGGTTCATGAGATGCAGCAAATAATTATCTCGACTAAGGTTGACCGTCGGCATTGACAATCCGATGCAGTGCCCGACACTAATGATTTCTTTTTTTTATTATTATAAATCAGTTTAAGTTTCGTGTCCTTAATTACATGACGGAATACAATTTGTAAAAGCCTCCACGACATAACCATCCTTAACATAAAAAGCATGATTATGGGTAAAGACAAAACAATTAGTTCGATTTCGATCGAAATCATAATAAAAGCATCACTTTTTGTGGTAACAATCGGATGCTACGAAAGGTGATTCGGTAAGAAGAGTAGCTAGAGACCAAATCCTCCTCACGAATTCGGGGTGGGTGACTCGTTGATCTCGATCGATCTCATCCCAAATTGAATCCAATCCTTATTTGCTTTCGACTCCTCCCTTTACAAAAGGCCTCATGAAATTGCACGCAAAGGTTTAGGAGAGAGAGAGAGACATATCAATACACGTAATTTCGGAATTATCTCTCAATAATTGCCTCGATAAAGTACTAGAAAGTGAGATTAATTAATTAGAGAGAAAAAAAAAGGAGAGATTACAACCAAAAGGGGAAGCATAAAAAATAATATAAAAAAATAAGCAAAAAAAAAAAGGGGGGGGCGACTAATCCCCAAAAAAAAGGAGGGAATTGGAATTTCCTCGGGATAAGGTTCTCCTCCATTTTAGTATTTTTCTTCTTGCTTTCGGATTTTGACGGAGTCAGCTTTTCTCGTTCCGGGGGCCAAAGTCTACCCAAATACGGCGTCGCAGGAGAGGCCAAGACGCAGGACCACCTTATTTTCGTAGACTTCCGCACAGCGAAAACGAAACCCGTCCAACCCCACGTCTCCCTCCCGCCACCCTTTCTTCGTCGGGCCCCACCTCATTCTTTTCCGCGGGTCAAAGGAAAACCAAAACAAAAAAAAAAACAAAAGAAGTACGAACGGAGACCGGGGGGGGGGACGCGGTCAACGGTCAGCAGCGGCGCCACGGCGGATCAGGGCTTGGAGATGGAGGCCGCGTCCTTGGCGTCGGCGGCGGCGGCGGCGGCGGCGCCCCCCTGGACGGTCAGGGCCGACACGCTCGGGGAGGTGGGGCAGTCCCCGAGGCCGTGGTGGGCGGCGGCGGCGGCGGAGGAGGGGGAGGGGGAGGGGAGGGGGATGCGGGACTGGCAGGTGGCGGTGGAGATGGCGGTGGCGAGGGAGATGGGCATGAGGCAGAGGCCCTTCCCCTGCAGGTACTGCATGGCGGACCCCATGTCCTCCTCCATGAGCTTCGCCACCTGGTGCTCCGTCACCGTCAGGCTGTCGCCGCCGTTGGAGCTGCTCCGCCCGTTGCCGTTCGCCCGAGAACCGTCGCCGCCACCGCCTCCCTACGTAAGACAAAGGATGGCCACGATTCAATCCTCTTTCACATTCATTACGGAAAACGCATACAAAAATCACGAAAGAGGACAACGGAGGGTAAGGGTAAGAGAAGTGGGGAACAGGGCAAGTCGGAAAAGGGTTCGACAGCGAGTTTTCTGCAATTTTTCATGGAGAGAGAGAGAGTGGAATCTGAAAAAGGCAGGCACGCGTGCTGCTTTGGGTTTTGTCGTCTTGTGTTGATTGAAGAATTTCGGGGGTCTTTTCGAATTGCGTTTTTTTTTTTTGGAATGGAGGATGAGTCAAAGCGTGGTTCGTTTCTAGTGGTCGCGGGTGGTTTTGGGGTATTTTACCTCAGAGGACATATCGGCGACGAGAGGAGCCACCGCAGCTGCACCGCCCAGTCTGCTCATGCTCAGCACCTGCGCCCACCAAACGAACAGAGACAGAAGAGAGAGAGAGAGAGAGAGAGAGAGAGAGAGAGAGATCATCAGCTCTGCACATGTTCATGAGCCCACGGTATACCGAGATGGTGATGCGCACACATGAACGAGTGACCCCTTAAACTACTAATATACAATTCAAATTACTGATTATGTCCCTAACAACAATGTCAACGAAAGGGAATCATCCCATTTTTTTAATTACAGAGAGAGAGAGAGAGAGAGAGAGAACCTTGACTTGGAGCTGGAGGAATTTCACATAGTCGATGATCTCATCCAGCATTGATGCCTTGTCCGTCTGTCATTCCCCAAAGCCACCACCCCACATCGCGAACACCCCCAAGACAAAACGAGAAAATGTTAGAATTTTCCTGCATAATCAATACTGATCTTCTTCGAAATGGACGAACTGATGAACACTCGAATTCACACTGCCAGAGGCTGTGTCTGACTAGCGGTTACAGGGTTCCCAGATGGGACTACGAGGAGAGGGAATCTTCATGGTAATCACCGACCGAATAAACAAATGATTTGACGAAGTTTTCAGGCATTAGAGAAATGGGGAATCATCAGAAGACCATAAATTCAACTCGCAGTGGAATTAAATGAAGCTGCACACCTTGTTGGCATTGGGAACCAGCTCCTGCAGTGCCTTCATTCTCTCCGCTATCCTCTCTCTCCTCAGCTGCAACCCCACCACGCACAATTCCAAATTTTAGGAACTCGATAAGTACAAAACCCAGAAGAGGAAAAAAAAAATAAAGAGGACAAAAACAAAAAAAAAGGAAAACTTGAGCAGCCCCAAAAGATAAAAATCGTGTCTTTTCGCAAGAACAAATTGATTAGTTGATGCGTACTCTTTCAGCGATGCTGTGAGGATCGGTGGCTTGGCCCCTCCTCGCCCTCACTCTCTGCCTCGGCTGACCCGGCGCGGCCGCCGTGGCCGCGGCGCCGCCCGACCCGCTCGCCGCTTGGGCGCCGAAATTCGGTGCCGTTGGCATTGATCCCCCCTGCGATTGTTTCCCAGAACAGATTCTCAGAGAGTTGTGCACGCTAAAAAGAAAAGGAAAACACCAAGTGAGGAAAAAAAACGAAAGAAAAGGGAAAGGGAAATGCCTGAGATAGAGGAAAATGCTGTGACTGGTTCGAAGTTTGGCCATTGCCATGCAGAGATCCGGCGAAGCCACTGAACAGAGCTTGAACTGAGCTCTCACCTCCCTGCGATCAAACTCACCCACTTCACTACAGTTTTCAACTTCTACGAAACATTTGACCGTCGTGCTTTTCTTATTCAAAAATTCAAAGTTTTTTGAATGGATCACACGGTACTCAAAATTTGACCCACACTAACACTCGAATACCCTTTCGAACATTTTCAAAAAAAAAATATCAGTAAAAATGGCATCCCGAAAAGCTTACCAGATTCGCAGACTTGAAATGGGAAGACGGCGACGACCCGTCGCCCCCGGCCATCAGCAACTGCTGCAGCATCATCACCTTCGCCGCCGCGGCCGCAGCCTGAGAGCCCCCTCCCCCGCCGCCGCCGCCGATCTGGTGCTGCCTCAGCTTCGCGGCCAGGACCGCGGCCTCCTCCAGGCCGCGGAAGCCGACGTCCTCGGACAGGTCGACGGGGACGTCGCCGCTCTGGGCCATGGGGAGGGCGGCCGCGGCGGGGTCGTCGTCGGCGGCGGGGCCGCCGAGGTGGTCGGCCCAGGGGGGGATCCCGGAGAACATGTGGTCGAGGAAGTCGTCGCCGGGGGAGGAGGAGGGGTCGAAGGCCCCGCCGGCCGGGATCTGGTGGTGGTGGTGGCCGCCGTTGCCGCCCTGGAGGTCGTGGAGGGAGGAGACCTGGGGAGGGTTCAGGAGGGAGCTGAGGCTCTGCATCTCTCTGCTGCAGGGCTGCATGTTGGAAGGAAGAAGGCAGAGGAAGAAGAGGAGGAAGAAGAGGAGAAGGCGAAAGAGAAAGAGAGGGAGAGGGAGAGGTCTTCTTCTACTTGGTTTGGATTTTAGTGGTTGGAGTGATATGGAGAGGTGAATCTGAGAGATATGTTTTTGCTCCGTGTGTGTGTTCAGTTTCCTCTTCTTCTTTGGTGTGTGTATTTTTGAGTTTGAGATTTTGATGGTGCTAGTTGTCCACAGCGCGTGGAGTAGATGAACCGAACCCCGAAATTTTTTTCTCCGTTTTTTGTACTCTTTTTTTTTTGTGTTGAGTCTCGTGGGGGAGAAAAGGGGTGTGGATTTTCAAAAAAAAAAACAAGGGAGAAAGTTTTTTGGGGGGATATGATTATAACTGCTGATCGGGTTTGTTTTGGGTGGGGGGGAAGACCGGGTCAAATTGTGGATAGGGGAGTTAACTGGTGATCTATCGAGCTATCCATCGCGTGGGAGTCGTCATCATGATCTGACGGATCATAATGGAGTTGGGGGGCTCGTATAGGGTTAGGAGTGCGCCAAAAAGAGCTCGGGATTTTCTCCAAATGTGGAGAGAGACCTTATGGGATATGGTTTAGGTGAAAATCCACGTTTTACAGGGAAGCTGCCCATGGATGTTTATGTATCAATTGAGGGTCAAACAAATAAGCCTTCTGGCATGCTTTCCATCAAGGTTTTTAGACTTTTAATTTGTACGATCGAGTTCCTTTACTTTTGTATAACTCAGATAATCGAGCCGCTCTAGTTCTGGATCTGATTAATTGGAGCTTAAGAAACATGGTGTATTTGGCAAGAACCCGATGCAAAAAGTTCAAGTATGGTGTTTCTGTTAAGTGTTGCAGAAGTAAGCGATCGAATAATAAAATAGATAAAACAAGAAAATAAATCGGACACCAGATGGTTCGATCGATGTGACTTACGTCTACAGGAAGAGCGACAAAGAATTCTACTATAGATCAAGCGATACAATGGAGATTACAACCACACTTGAACTATTCAAATAATCTCTGTGTTTCACAGCCTTTAATTACACCTAATAACTCGCATATAATTTAGCCCAATAATTTTTTACGAAATAATATCTCAATCTCACGGAGGAATTAACAGGCTTTACCACAAGATTATCTGGCCTGAACACTAATTTTTCTTGAATGTAATTCACGAGTCGACAAACTGCACGAAGAAGTCTTCACATCAACCGCGGAGCACTCTCTTGCGGCAAAAACAAGAGATCAGGCCGTATACATGCACATCCAAAGCAAAATTAGGATAAACCTTCTTGAAGCAAACTTCAACACGGAAAGGAAAGTTTGTGGTCAACTTTCCCTTTTTTATTTTCCTTGGCTGGCTATGTGGAAGCCGATTTGTGAGTGTGAGCCCTTTTCTTTTCTTTTCAATTTTCACAATCAAACCCACGTACTTCACATGGCCGGTTAATTCGACCACTACACTTTAAGCTAAATCTTTTCGAGTTCAAACTTGAGATATATTTTAATAATACAATATCTCAATATTAATAATACAATATCTCAATTGTTCGAGATTTGATGGTAGCCTTCCACTTCAAGTTTTGAGTCCCACACATTTCTTAATAGCCACTAGTAGCCAAAAGTTTTTTCACATCACACTTTGCAATTCGGTCGGACATGTCAACTCTAACTACTTGAATTTGAAGTCAGGGCTTTGATTAGAAAATTATGAAAGTTCAATAGCTTGACTAGACAAATTAAAAGTTCAACGGCTTGATTGAGAAAAAAAAAGATCGGTTTAGGATGAAAAGCAAAATTTTACTTGTAACTTAGGAAGCCAACGACCCCGACGCGGTCCAGTGTCCAATCATCTCTTAAAACAGTGTTTGGAATAGATCGAGCCATATGAGTTTCTTATCCTATTTTATCCTAATCAAATGATTCCGATGGCCAACACAATTCATAATGAAAACAAGCTTCTCGATGCAAACCCACCCGCCATTCAAAAAAAAGATGGGAAAAATAATTACATTTCAAGTCCCAATTTGAAACCCAATTCAAATTTGGGGTCTAAAATGCCATCAACATTTCTATGAAATTTGATCACAAGATCATTTAGGCCTGCTTAGGCCAATCATCTTCTATTGAAGGCCATAACGTGCCCTTCAACCACCAGTTAAGCCCACGATTTTTGGGGTTCTGTTAGTTGAGGTTAGTCCACAACCTAAGATACAAGAATCTATTCAGCCCAAAACCTAAAAGGATGGAATCATCTCGGGATAACATTGGGCCAATCTCTATCAAGTTTAATCCCTTCCGATCTACCTTCTTCCACTTAGAAGTGCAGACGATGAGTTCGCGATCGTAAGCTTTCTACATGTCAAGTTTCAGCACCGCATGGGAGTTTCCTTTTGCGCGACCTCATTCTCATCTGGCGGAGTGCTTCCTGGACCACAAAGACGTTGTCTTGACTCTGTCTCCCCCAGCACGAAAGCACTATGCACTGGTGAGGTCAATTGGGACATCATGGCTTCAAGTGATTTGCTAACACTTCAGCAATTACTGTATAAGCAAAATTGCATAAGCCGATCGGTCTAAATTGAGATATATTCTCCGAGGAAGCGACTTTGGGGACCAGAGTAATCACAGTTGCCAAGAAAATATCAAACTTCACTGCTTATTGTTTGGATAAAACAAGCCAATTCATACTATCAGGGCCCGGCACTTTCGTAGCTCGCTCCCATTCCAAGTACTGCTAGTCGAAGCTCCTTCACAGACAGAGGTTTAACAGGGTCAGCATCAAGATGATCTGTGACTAATGGAGTACATTTATGTGGAATAGGTCGAAAATTGCGATCACCCTCCATCGTGTATAAGTCCTTGAAAAAAGTTAACCGAGATGGTGTCAAGACCTTCAGGTGAGCGACACCGAATTTCGTTCCTTTCACGATGTCGAATAGTTGAAGCATGGAAGAATTTAGCAGACCTATCACCTACTTTTAATCAACATGGGATCTTTGGTGCTAACATTGTTCCTCTCGTCACCATAGTTGACCAATTCTGGCCTTGATAGCTTTCTGACTCTCTTGATCAAAGGTGCCCGATCTACCAAGTTAGTTATCTGCTGCTGAAGCTGCTCGATTTCCACTTTTGCATTCGCCTTCTCCAAGCAGATAAAGCTGGGGAGACTTCCCTGATTATACCCCCAGATCATTACTGGGATCTGAAACTGAAGTCCATTCTATATTGACAATGCCATAACACTCCTCATCTCCGTCTTTCTTATGCGTTCAACCGACAGCGATGATAGAAGAGGGTTGTGATCTGAGCGACTCGCACGGAGAGCCCAAACTCGAACACAAGGAAAAGGAGTTTTCCAGTCGATCGTTCCGATGCATCTTAAAGACGCTATTCGAAAATTGTGAGCTGGTCGCCTACCCTCCTTTTCCCAGAGAAAAGAAACTTCATTGCATTCAGAGAAGCCAATGTATTACCAAATGAATATGATAATCCCTCTGTGAATCAACTGTAACATCACCACTATCATTCCACACACACATAAACCACTTGCTACGCCTCTAGGATCACAAGTGAACATGTACCCGAATCGTAGCCTTTGTTTTATATTAGAAAAATGACCCAAATAATTCACGAACTTTGATTCAATGTACAATATCGTCCCTTGACATTTAATTTGTTTAATATGGGCCATGAAGTGCCGGTGAATGTTCAATATAGTCATTCCATTTGCTAAAACGACAAATTAGACATTATTTGATGGCATGGATTATTATATGCTGAGTTGGATTTTTAAAAAATGATAAGTATATATCTATCTTTTTATCCATCGACTTTAGAAAAAGAAAAAGAAAATTAAGGCATTAAAATATGTCCATCGTTATTTGATGGCGTTGATTATCATATCCTTATTTAAGATGAATATATTACTTCGATAATCCACTTGTAATTTTTTTTTTCTGGTTGTTGACTGTCCAAACTAGACAAATTGGGAAAAGTGTCAAAAAAGTCATAAACCTATTGTATTTGTGTTAATTTAGTCCTAAACCTTTTAATAGTGTCAATTTAGTCGTACACCATTTGACCTAGTGCCAATTCAATCCTCCGGCTAATTTTGGCCGGATATTGTTGATGTGAACGCCAACCGGCCTACGTGGCATGGCCAGCGCTAACGTGGATAAATTTTAATAATATTTTAATATTTATTTTTCTTTTCTTTTTCGTTTTTTTTCTTCTTCTTCTTTTTTTCCTCCCCTCCCTTCTTCCTCCGGCCGGTTGCCGAACCTTGGCAACAGGCCAAAGGGAGACCTCATCGGCCTCTGGTGAGCCTCGCAGGCCACTGGCAAGGCTTGAACTCGCCAAATGGCCGCAAGGGCGGTCTCGCGCTAGGCGAGCGAGGGTCAAGCCTTGCTGGCCATGGGTGAGGCTTGACCTCACTAGAGGTCGCGAGGTTAAAGGCCACATCCTCGCGCTAGGGCTCGAGCCTCGTCGGCAATAGTAACGACAAGCCTCACCTTCGTCAATAAGGCTCACTAGAGGTCAGTGAGATCCTCGTCGACCCTGGCCAATCGTCGAGGTCCGGCGAGGAGGAAGAAGAAGGAAAAGAAAAAGAAAAAGAAAAAGAAAATAAATAATTCAAAAAATATTAAAATTTATCCATGTTAGTACTGGTTGTGCTATGTAGGCCGGCCAGTGTCCACGTCAACAATATTCAGAAAAAATTAGTCGGAATAACTAAATTGGCACTATATCAAAAGGTTTAGAACTAAATTGACAACATTAAAAGATTTAGGACTAAATTTGCATTAATGCAATAGGTTTTGGACTTTTCTAGCACTTTTCCCTAAGTGAATTGATATTCCGTTAACTTGAATCAATGAAAAAATGACATTGCACATTTTCGGACTAGATTGAACATTGATCAATAGTTCATGAACTATATTCAATAAATTAAAAGTCTAGGAATAATATTGCATATTGAACCCAAGTTTATGAATCATTTATATTATTTGCGCTTTTAGTTTAGGTAAAACCTCTCGGGGATGTTTCGTTTCCATCGAAAAAAGAACAATGGGCCTAAAACTGAACCATGAGGATCTCGAGTTCTCGAATAATGGAGGGGATCGCCCAGTCCCGGACAGTTCCAACTTATTAGACTCATTGAACCAGTGTCGGCTGATTTGGGCCCTCCACCTCATCCCATCTCCCATCCTTTGAATTTTAACCAAATTCTGCTTTCAACCACGATCCATACAGCATTCTTCCTGTATCTTTGAAATGCTCACAACTTCTGGTATAGTGGCCCATTTTTCCACAAACATAACAAAAGGAAGGAAGTCTTTCGTACTAGGAAACAATTCACACAGTACCACCTCCCTCCCTAGACAAGAGACCTGACTTCAGGGACAATGCCAGATCATGATTGACTCTAACCTGAGCCCCACGTATGTCTAACCTCTTCAAAGATTAAAACACATAAACCTCACGATTCTGTTAAATAGGTACATGCAATAACTTGAAACATTTGCAGTAAAGGAAGTCTTAATTCATATTTCGAGGTGGACATTGTCCAACAACATACTAACCAGGGCACTCATCAAAATACACATATACATATATTTACTTTATTTCGTCCCAACATCTGGGGAGGGTGATGCAAAAGAACTTCAAGAACGAAACCGAATCGGAGCTATTTTCATAGCGACGTACTCTCTAGAACTAGTCGTTATCTATACGTTATTACTAAGTTTTTTAGCCCATCGTGTAAGAAGGGGCAGGCAGATTGATGACGGTGCTCTTGACCTTAGTCATCATATTGATGCTGTTTGTTACTCCTTGTGAACCTATTCCACTGTCCTTCAAACCCTGCACCACCAAGCATTTCAGCAGTGTCATTTCTCCAGTGCTTGCAGGAAAAAAAAATTGAAATGGAAATTACTATGGGACAGAAATCTTATAGGGTTCTTATGAGTTCAAGTTTACCTGGAAAGGGAAATGGTCTGGTCCTCGAGCAGGGGCGGAGTTAATTTGGACCGAGCCGGTCTCCATTGCATCGCTGATCAACATCGCCTTGTTGATGTCGCGTGTAAAGACACAACCCTGCAATTTTTAAGGCATAGTATTACTAGAAGGAAGAGAGAACTTTTGTTGATTCTTATCTTTAAGAAGACGTGATGACGTCTCTACTAGGATGCTTTCTCTGATTTCATCCAATTGTGGCTTTTGGGATTTTGTTGGAAACCAAAAAGTGTAACATGTAGATAGGTCATTCAGTGATAGAAATTGTGAATGTGCAGGCGGGGACCTTGACACACAAATAATGATGTGTACTTCTTCTCTTGATTTGATTTTAATTCGTTATACCGTGGCTGCTTATAATTTGACAAGAGTGCAAGGGATTGCGCAGATACGAGATTAAATCATACCTGGAGGCCGAAATTGCTGGCATTACAATGGTTGATCCCTTCTTCGACAGAGTTGATCCTGATGACAGGCAAGACCGGCCCGAACGGCTCCTCCCACGCGATCCTCATGTCTGGCCTGACGTTGTCCAACAGCAACGGCCATATGAGGTTGCCTTCTCTCTTGTATGTCTGGCAGAAGGTTGCACCCTTCTCCTTGGCGTCCATCACCAGGCCCTCGATGAAGTTGGCGGACGATTCCGAGATGACCGGCGTTATCTCGCAGTTCTCCTCGGGGGGCCCCACGGTGAGTTTCGCCACTTTGGCATTCACCTTTTGAACCAAGGAGTCCGCAACAGAGTCCATCACCAGGACGACTTTCACTGCTGTACATCTTTGACCGCTGTAGTAAATAAGGACAGTATAAATATGGGTTAGCATCCGCATCGGGTAACAGATTTTGCGGATGATGCGAGCAACAGCCAATTTTGGTGGCCTAAAGGGAAAGAATTCAACTATGACGAAAGTTTTTGAATGTTAGCGGATGACTCGGGTCACCTGTAAGAAAAGCCTCCTTTCACAATGTTGGCAGCTGCCAAGTCGATGTCGGCATCTTCGAGCACGATGCAAGCATCTTTGCCACCCAACTCCATCTGGAGAGGAATCATGCCGGCCTTCTTTGAAATAGCGATTCCAGTGTCTCCGCCAGTGAAGCTGAACAGAAAATTGCAATTCATGCAAGTAATCATGAACCATGCGGGAAGTAAAGAGATCATAAATAGCGAGAAGATGGCTACAAAAATTACCTTATGCAGTTCACCCCGGGATGCATAGTGAGAAAGTCGCCGATTTCAGAGCCTTTTCCGGTGACGCAACTGATGAGGCCTTTGGGAAAACCAGCTAAGTGAAAGCAGTGCACCATGTGAAGGCAAGATACAGCACCCTAAAAGGAGTCAACGTACGGTTTTCAGGATAGCCAAATTGGCAGGATCTAACAGAAGAAACACAAGGCCTATAGTATGCAAAAGTTTCTACTCCGCGCGCATGCATAACACAACACACTGAGACACAAACTCACAACACATGAACATGCACAAGAGTGAATGGGCTACAATAGGCGTGGCCAATAGCATGAAAACTGAGTAGCCGCTATAGTTAGAGCTTTAGTTAATAATTAGTGAAAGTAACTTAACGGTAAGAACATACCTGGGTGGGAGGCTTTAGAACAAGAGAGTTTCCAGCAATCAGAGCAGGGGCAATCTTTGAGACGGCCAGGTTAACTGGGTAGTTAAACGGTGGAATGGCTAACACTACGCCGAGCGGAATCTGCAGTTCAAAACAAAAACATCTGAAGCACGTGACAAATAATTTCGACCATTAGAACCCAAATATCTCCAGCTCTCTCTTTCTTTCTTTCTCACACACACAGACATGGACGGTAGCAGATCTAAGATATGGAAGCACATGGCTTGGATGGAATAAAATTTCTACTTGTCTTCCTCGACCAGTCAGAAAGTGAATGCAAAATGCAACGCTGTTGCTCCTGCCGCTGTGTTTGCCCTTCATGTTGGGCTAGTAAAACAATTCATGTTCATGGTTTCTCCTGAGTATCATATACATCAGAGCTTCAATCGCCAAATTCGTGTTTGCAGTGCCTGTTTAGATTAAGCTTCCTATATATCACAACTTAGTCTTTTCACAAGTTAAGTTTTCTGGACAACTACTATCTAATATGGAACCAGGGCATAGGTCAACTGTTCAAATCTGGCATTACCTCTAGATTGTTTTGTCCATTACTCTCATCATTGTTCCATAATTTCCCATTTTCTCTACATTCACATCATATATTTTCAGGTGAAAGATGACTATACACATCCATTTGATACACATTGTTAGCCCGTTACTGAATAACCTAACAAAACGGTTAGGATAAAAAGAGGCCACACGGCAATGTTCGTCTAAAAATGTAGCTTCACATAATATTGAAATTTTTATTTGTGATTCTAAGGAAATTATTGCAAGAAACGGCGCTGGTTGCAAGCTAGTTATATATAGGTGGACCCTTTCTCTGTTTTGGTAAAATTTTATAGGTGGACCTTACAAACTTTTTATCACTTCCCACTGAGTAATCAAGGGCAATTGATCAAGTAAACGGCATATAACCAAGAGAAATTTTACCTTAGAAGTGAGGCAGTACTTGGTCCTCTCATTTCCAGGAAAACTGTCGGAGACCAGGTACGTCCCCTGTCCCAGGATTCTCACTCCTTCCTCGGCACAATACGAGATCAGATCACCAGATCTCACAACCTTAATTACATCCAAAAGAAATGGCATAATTTCAGTCGGTATCATCACAACATGAGCAGGATCAATTTACGAGACTTTCTCTTTCTCTACATACCTCAGTGACTGAATCTTTGGCCGGTTTAGCGATTTCCTTCACGAGGCACTCGGCGATGGGAGACTTGTGCTCCTTGAGGATCGCGGCGGCCTTGTGAAGTAGCTCGGCCCGCTTCCAGAGTGGAGTCTTTGCCCAGGCTTTCTGTGCGCTCTTGGCTATTTCCATCACCTTGTTCACCTCCTCTTGTGTACAAGCTGTCTCATCACACCATCACAAAAAGCCCATTCATATCACAAGACCACATAAGCAAGTCAAGGTCTCACTTTCTCAATTGCAAGCAGTCAATTAAACATCAATTTCCTAAGTAAAGTAACACTTCTCAGAATCGATTCTGAAGTACTCCCAAGAAATGCAAGCTCTATGCCTTTGATTTAGCTAGGGGCGATCGGTGGTCCAACTTCAGTAAAAGTAACCCTTTTTAGAATCAATTTTGCAGGACAACTGCCAAGAAGTCCAAGCTCTGAGCCTTAGATATAGGTAGGTGCGAGCAACGGTACAATTTCAACCCGGAAGCCGGCCTGGCCATTCGGTTCAATGCCAATTCTGGGGATTCACGGGAAAGAAACTTTGGCTACCGACCAGGTTCGGATTAGCTTCCTGGTCAAGGGTTGAACCTGCCGATTCTACCAAGGAACCGGACTAACTAGATTGGTCCCCGGGATGAACCGAGTTTTGCACAGGCAAGAGCATGTTTTCAAGTAACATTTTTGCATTACTAGCAACTAAAAACTCGGAAGAAACGAGAGACCCACAATCCCCTCACTCATCCTAGCCTTTTTCCGCAACGCATCATCAAGAAAGTACGATGGAACAGTGAGCTTCCATATCGTAACGTCATAGGACCAAACTGACAGTTTCTGTCGTTGGAAATGATGAGGAGAAGCAAGTATATAAATACCTTGGACTTTGTACTGGGTCTTGCGGGTGGTAGGGTTGACAATGTTGACGCTCTTGCCGGAGGCCGACTTCCTCCACTCCCCATCGGCGTAGTACCTGTACACTTCCCCGTCCAGGATCTCCGCAAACACACCAGTCCCCGCCATTTCTGCAGCTCTCTCTCTGTCTCCCAAAGCTTACTCACCCAACTCACTCCACACACCACACACCACACACACACCTGCTCACCACTCCCCCCCTTCTTGGCTTCTTTCGAGAGAGAGAGAGAGAGGGAGAGAGAGGGAGAGGATTGTGTGGTGATGATTCGGAGGTGGGAGTGGTATAAGTAGGGGAAAGGTGAGCCACGTTCGGTTTTCGGTTTGGTGTGGTGGTTCAAAGCGTGCCAAAGCGAGAGCGTTAGATGTCTTTTCCGTCTTCAGGGTCGTCGGTCGGGCAATGCATTGGTTTCGCCTTTCTTCTTCTTCCTCTTCTTTGGACACTCTGGCCTATTTTTCTTTTCCTTTTGGGATATTCCGTGAAGATCCACCGCAACCAAAGAAACGGGAATTCTCGTACACCCTCGTTCTTCCCGCGGGCTTCCACGTGGAAAATTGTCTTATTCTGCTTTTCGATTAGAAGTCAGCCGATTTTCGTTTCTTTTCCCATTTTTTTAGGAAGAAAAATTACGCCAATAATCTCTGAACTTTGATCCAACATGCACTGTTGTTCATAGACTTTTAATTCGTTCGACATGATCCTTCAATTTTAACCTAATATCTAATGCCGTCTCTGAATTTTTAATTTATTTACCGTGGTCCCTTAACTTTTGGTATGTATTTAATTTAGTCTTTGAATTAGATAATCCAAGACTAGATCGAATACAGGATGTAATAATCCAGGAACTGAATTGCAGGAACCGGAAGTTCAGGGATCACATTGAATAGAATTAAAGTTTAGGGACGACATTGGATATTGGGTTAAAATTGAGGGATCGTGTCGAACAAATTAAAAATTTGTGAAGCACATTACATATTGGGCTAAAGTTCATGGACTATTTATGTAATTATCCCTCTCTACAGTGGAAAATTCAATGTGGTTGAAAGATTGGGAACTATATTGAACATGCAGGAATAGTTTAAGGATTGCACCGAACAAATTAAAAGCTCACGAATGGGCCAAAGTTTAGAGGCTATTAGGCTGCGCATGACAACGATTCTGTGCCCGGGAACAGATTCTGTTCAGAAATGATTTTTTTTTATTCTATGCCCGGAATTGATTCTGAGCATTTTAAGGCGTTTGTTAACGGCCCAAAATTCCATCCCTGGAATAGAAAAAGATCAGAAATGCGTTTGGTAACGCTACAAAATTTCTTTTTATTAATAATATTTTTAAATATTTTAATATTTCTTTTTTTTCTTTTTTCTTTTCCTCCTTCTTGGCCATGGCACGCTTTCGCCGCCATGACCGTAAAATATTTTTATTAATAATATTTTTATTAAAAGTATTTTTTATTTTTTTTTGCCATGGCCTGGTTGCCGGCCATAACTGGTAAAATATTTTTTTTATTAAAAATATATATCTTTATTTTTTTTGGCCATGACCTGGTCGCCGGCCATGGCTGGTAAAATATTTTTATTATTAATATATTTTTTTCTTTTTTTTGCCATGGCCTAATCGCCAGCCATGGCCTGTAAAATATTTTTTTTATTAAAATATTTTTATTAAAAATATATATTTTTATTTTTTTTTGCCATGGCCTGGTCGCTGGCCATGGCCGGTAAAATATTTTTTTTATTAATAATATTTTTTATTAAAATATTTTTATTAAAAATATATTTTTTTTCTTTTTTTGCCATGGCCTGGTCACCGGCCATAGCAGGTAAAATATTTTTTTATTAATAATATTTTTTATTAAAATATATTTTTTTCGTTTTTTTGGCCATGGCCTGGTCGCCGGCCATGGCCGGTAAAATATTTTTTATTTTAATAATATTTTTTATTATAATATTTATTCTCATCAGATCCGGCAAGGGCGGTCCTCGGACCGGACATTAGAAGCTACATTAAAAACCAAGAAAAGGAAGAAGAAAAAAAAATTGATTCTCAAAATTGTTCCCAGAATCAAGAAGCTACTTTTTTTTTATTCTTGAAAACTAATTCTGTGAACAATTTTTGACAAAATTGTGCCCATAATCAAAAAATTAAACAAACGCATTTCTGTTCCCACACTGATTCTGGGAACCAAATAACAGAATCAAACACTGTTTGGCAAGTTGTCATGCGTAGCCTTAACGTCATTTCACTCTCTCTCTCTCTTTTTGCCAAACGGTTCGTTTAACTATTTACTAGCAAAAATAAGAAAGTGCTTGCAAAACCCAATTAATGAATTCCTCTCTAGATTAATTCGATAATCGAACTTCAACACACGTGCTAGGTGACTTATATCATTGCTGTAATGAACCTAATGACCGGGAGGATTGAGTCAACATACGGCTGCCATGAGATACTACTTTGTCAAATGCCGTAAAAGAAGATCCTATCGCATGTACCATATGACTGAAATTAAAAATAATAATAAATAAGATGCATTTTAAAAATGTGGGATTACGTAAGTTTTTGTCTATATTGTACAAATGTTGGAGCATATTGTTGGTCAAAAGCAGGAAATAGTAAAAATTGATTTAATTCAAGATACGTTCTCGTGACAATAAAGAATAGCTCATTCAAATTCATCCTAGTCGTTGAATTAAAACTGATGTGAACTTTGATTGTGACAGGGAGATTTCGCTTCTCAAAATAACTTTCTAAATGCACGCGTGACTCCATCCGTCCATGCGCCATCCATACCTAACGCGGAATACGTCTATACAGAGACATAAATTCTTCAATATGCCAACATACTTTTTTTTCATTTCTTTTCTTTCTTTTTTTCTTCCTTTTTTCTTTGCTTTTTATTTATTTATATAGGGACATAAATCCTTGAAGTTGTGGAAATATCTTGGCATGCCCATGACAAATTCGACCAATAATTTCTTCTGAAAAATTATGGGCAATTGTCGAACATTGCTGAAACAATATTTATTGTGTTTTGTTTTATATTGTCCATGCTTCGCGAAGAGGGAATGGGAATGTCCCATGCCTATAATGCCCATAATCTTCAACTCTGCAATCGTTCGGTTGTGAATTTTAATGTGGCGAAGAAACGCACGGCGTACTTAATAGTTCAAAATCACATCAACTATTCATGTCAAATAAAGAATTCGGCATTGTATACTTGACGGGAAATATCCAAATACGTATCACATTCCTTTTTAACAATTCATCTTCGTAGCAATGAAAATTCCAACGTTCCCTATTAAGTAAGAAATGATTGATTACAAATGTTTATGATCTATATTCTCTGCTAAGGGCCATAAATACCTTGCTTATGTGTCATTAGTGGAATGCATTAGTGTAAACACGACCATGTAGTACGGAATTTTGTAAATTATAAAAACGAATCAATGTGAATTGTCCCACGCTAGCACTTCCGTGTAATAACTCTACTAAAATGATCATGTTATGGGAATAGCTTTTGGTACACATGTCACAGTTTTGACTGGCCAATAACCAATTCGATCCCAACGTAAGAGGTAACCGGTTATACAAAGGATGCTGTTAATACAACCAAAACCACGCCTTTAACCCAAATCAATTTGCGTGGTTTTTTTTAGAACTTCTAATGAGATGCACACGAAATTCATGCAGGATCATCACTAAGACCATCATACTTGCCAACCATTAATGAACTGATCATATTAACACAAAACAATATATGCTACTATCAAAATACTAAAGAATTGAAATCTTAAATCAAAACATTATATATAGATGATATGAACTGCCTAAAACAAGAATTTTCAAATAGAGAAAATCAATGTTATTACTCACTATTTCAAAAAAAATTCATGAATAAAAGATGTGAATCCATTCGAAAATCAAAACTACATATGTTAGATGAAATAGTTGTTGCTATCGGCCTCAATGACGAATCATTGGTTTAAGTTCAAACGAATAACTAATTGAGATAGACTTTTCTCGTCATCTCCAATCGGTGGATTGTCTTGATTGAAGGATCCCCTATTTGATAGTACATATTCCAATTGACCAAACCTAATTCTAATTGTTTTCTTCTAAAGCGAATATATCCACGGAACGGTTTGTGCTATTATGATGTTCACAATCAAGAAATATTGTATTCTCTTTCCGATAGGCCTTGAAAAGAGAAGGAAGGCTCGAATGCCAATAGGCGTGTACCCATTTTGGGCACCAATCTCTAAAACGGATTATGGAATGTATTGCATCCGCTGTGTTACGTCGCGGGTGAAAGAGGTTCGTATTATATCAGTCTACCCTTGTTGCGGTTGAAAGAGGTTCATATTATATCAATCTACCCTTGTGTGAATCCCGTCAAAACACATATTGGCAGGGTGAGAACAAGAGGGGAAAATGTCAAGACGGGCTTCCCATTCAAGCAATTTATGAGCTTGTAGAGGATCAGCTCTCTCGTCTTCACTATTTCAATCTGTATGACTCATATGCTCTATCAAGGTGCAGGCTATCGTATCCTAGCTAGTCTCTATAATTTAATAGTAACGATCCATTGAATTTTCAGCCGCATATCTCAAGTTCCAACAGTGCTATTGCGGTCTCGAGTTGATTTTGTAAGTGGTCTTGACTTGATTGCAACAGAGTAATTATGTGATACGTCGCCAGTGTAAATTATTTTCTACCTAAATTAGTCTTCCAAGTTATGGATTCGAGAGTGTGTAAAATTATAACATTCAAATCAAGAGTGAATAAGGTCGCTTGCGTAAATTTTTCTTTATACCGACGGAGTATAATTCGATTTTTCTTTGTGGTGCAAGAAAGCGCACCACTAAATTCACTCAAAGTTTTGGCTCCATTCATACCATAAGGAGTTAGAATGACAAAAATGCTCAAACCATCTGTCCCACACATTTTGTTCGCATCGATCCAGCAAAATCCGTACATTTTTGGTTTAAAATTTTGCTATCAGTCTGGTATTGCCGTATGAGTTTTCATTTACTTATGAATTTATCTTTCTCTTTAACTTTAGAGATTAAACCGAAATTTTGCATGATGTTAAGTACCGTGAGATTTTTGAAAACATATGAATATTACCATTTAATGTTACCCTAAAATTTTATTTATCTTACATACCGATTACAAATTATTAAACCAAAGAAAAAAGAAATTGACGTCATATTCCATTAATATAACTTGGTCAATTAAGTTGAATATACATTTAAGGGCTAACATAATAAAAAATCTCAAATTAGTGCACTTGTGCCATATTTACATCAAACTAATTTTCGAGAAAATTACCAAAAAATTCATCAACATATTGCTCTTGTGCAAATTTAGTCATAAATTTTTCAATTTGGCCAATTTAGTTATAAACATTTTGACAATTTGCCAATTGAGTTCTTTTGGCCAAATTTGGCTGGAAATCGTTGATGTGGACGCCAGCCATCCTACGTAGCACGGCCAGCGCTGGTGTGAACAGCTTTTGTAATTCTTTATTTTTTATCTTCTTTTTTTGCTTTGCTATTTTTTTCATTGTGTCGACCGTAGGGCGAGGCGGCCCTCGCCCAGATTTGGCTAGCGCCTTCACTCCCTCAATCGCGATCGGCGGGGCTGCGAAGGCCCCGGGCAAGGGCCTTCAAGGCAGGCGAGACAGCCTTTGCCTGTGGCAGACAAGGGTCGTTGGTAACTTTTGGCGGCACAATAAAAAAAAGCACAGGAAGAAAAGAAAAGAAAAATCAAAAAATTTAAAAAATTTAAAAATTTACAAAAATTATCCACATCAGCGCTAGCGTCGGACATCCACGTCAGCTATTTTCGGCCAAATTTGGCCAAAAGGACTCAATTGTTAAAAGGTTTAGGACCGCATTGGTTAAATTAAAAGATTTAGAACCAAATTGGCACAAGTGCAATAGGTTTAAGACTTTTTTGGTAATTTTTCCACAATTTTCTTATCATAAAAAATCCAAAATAGGTACATATAGCTAAATTTACCCCCAAACTAATTTTTGTGTCACGGGTATTTCAGTTTGAGATTTTTTGTGACACGAAAATTAGTTTGAAGTAAATGTGGTACAAGTGTACCAATTTGATAAAGCTTAATAAATGTGCTTAGAAATTAAAGTTGAGTTTCACGATTTTAATTACATACCCAACTCCAGTTCTCTTTCCATATCTCAATGCGACTTTTTTCCGTTGTTAGTGAATTAAGTTCATCATTTATTTTTTGCTAATTATATTAATTTGTTCTTTTAGATTCTTCACTGCTTTTCATTTTATACTTGTCTATTTAAAACTAATTTTAACAATAATACTAACATAAACTCAAAATATTTCATTCTCAACTTAAAAAATTTTGACTCCTAATTTCCTCGATGAAAAACTCTTTTTTTCTTCTTTTTTTTTTCCTAATTGCCATACTTCTATTTTTAAAAAGTCCATTTTTGGGAAAATGTGTTCTTCATGTTGATAATCTTTAATGCATGTCGCTATTATGTACTTTCGATATCCTCTCTCTTTCAAGGGGAGGAGCGATCTCCTTTCATTTAATAGCGTTATTAGATGTCACCGAGATTTATCTTTTTCCCTCTAAAACATTCGTATTTCCTCACACCCTTTTGCTAATTCCCTCAAGTTTTGCTAAAACATTATAGGCCACCCCAAAAGAAAATTCATGGTCCGGCTCTATAGCGTGAACAAACACAAATGGGGGTTTCTAAGATCCTGTCTTGGAGACCAGACAGATGGTCAAAAACATAGAAGAGGAAGAGTAGCTCCGCGCCTGTGAAGCACAGATCCGGGGGGTTGTTGAAATTTCCAACAAGGAAGCTTCCGCGCCTACTTCATCAGGAGTGAACTTGAAGGAGCTTCGGGTCCACGCACACCGTTTTTGACATATGGGTCTGGCAGCAGTTTGTCCTTGCAGCCACAACCGTGACTGTGAGAGCGATGCTGCGGCGTTGATGTTTCTTGAAAGAAAGAATGGACCACTTCTCGATCAGCCACAAAAGCCCGCGACCCCACCCCGTCCATGCTTTTGGTGGAGCACAATTCGCTTCTCCTCTCGATTCACGATGCCCACCAGTTTTTTCCCTCTCTTCATGCAGGTCCCTGTCTTGTCCTTTCATGTGAGAGAGAGAGAGAGAGCCATCTACCTATCCGGATATTAAGGGCTGAAGAATTATTACAGCAGGACGCATGCAGCTTGCGTTTGTGGAATCTACGAACCCTGCGTCGTTGGACAAGTCGGGGTTTAGGATGGGAGAATGGGGTCTTTATCAAATACAAGGTGGCTGTCCGTTCTCGAGTTTTTGGAACTATGCGAAAACACAAGTTGAAAGATAAGTAACCCTAGTCTAGTCTCAGTAAAAAGATAAGAACTTGGGGCGGACATTGCTTAACGCAAGTGCTCGTAGCAATAAACCAACATCGTTTAGGTACCCAAGCATCCCCTGCAATCAAAGGCAAAAGGCCCATCTGGGATACACGCAGATCCACAGAACAATGGATGACGAGAAGTTTTTGTTCCACGACCAACGTCGGACCGAGTTGCTGCTATCTCGTGTCGGACTCTTACAACTTTTGTTGATGTCCAATGCCATCACTTTTCGCCTTCGCCAACATCTGAAAACCCGCGGGGAATTGCTCATCAACCGCCTCACTTAAAGCACATCGTGACCACATAGCCGGCGATGACGATTGTGACAAACATTGGTAGAGAGGACCGCACTTAGACCATCAATGCGAATGTCTCTCGTGGCGACAGTGTTTGTGACGGGGCGGCCGGAATGGCGAAAAGGAAGAAGTGGGTCTAATTGACAACTACCTTTCGCATCCTGTGGCGTAGTACCCTGCGAACAAATATATAAGGGATCGCAGCATTTCACGTTGTACCTCGGCAAGCCTTGTTGGCTATCAAGCCCCTAATCCGCGCTATATTTGAATATCACGGCTCATCTTATCTTCATGAATTCACACAAACCGCACTGTCCACGTGCATCGGGTAAGACTCCACTCATAAGATGGCGAGCCCATCTTCGAGGTTAACACATTATCCGTTAGATTCGAATCAAGCGCTTGACCCCTTGACCAAATCTCCACTTCCCATGACCGCGAACGTCGGATACTCCACGCATGACGTCGTTGCATTCGACAGGCGCGTGGATGTTCCGTACCGACTTCTTAAGAAGGCTAAATCATCATCTCTCCCATCACCGGATACTTCGTATCATTTGAGTTGGGCTTGGGCTTGGGCTTGAATCTTCGTCGTGGAGTCCAGAAAATTGATTTTGGGCCTTCTGCGCAAAAGCCCATCGATCTGCTATCTTGGGCCCATCTGATTGCAAATCGTTCCCGTCTGCATTTATTTTACTCTCAAAATTCATCAATTGAAGACGAAACTGAAATCAAACCTCTCCCCAATTTCACGAAGCTCGATCTTCTTCTTCTTCTTCTTCATCTTCTTCTGCAATCTGAGAGCTTTCCTCTTCGATTCGCAGTTCGAAGGATTCGAAGATGCAGATCCAATCCGAGAAACCCTTTCAAATCTTCCTCCAATCTCGCGACCTTCAGATCCCTACCCGAACCCTAACCCTAACCCCGACGCCGTCCTACACCCTCCGCCATCTCAAGCGATCCCTCTTCCCCGCCGCCGCCGATTCGCCCGATCTCTACTTCACCCTCAACGGGAAGCCTCTCCAAGATTCGACGCCGGTCGCGGGTTCCGGGGTCCCGCCGCTCTCGACCCTGGTCCTGCGGTGCAGGCTCCGGGGCGGCGGCGGCGATGGCGGCGCGACGGGGGCGGAGTCGCGCGACTGCTACCTGAACATGTACGCGGAGAAGAAGCCCGATAAGGTGGACCCGAACGAGCAGCGGCTCTCGAAGTGGCTGAATTGCGCCTTGTCCAGCGAGCCCCTGAGGGAGCCCTGCGTCGTGGACAAGTTGGGGAATATCTTCAATAAGCAAGCTCTGGTTGAGGCTCTTCTGGGCAAGAAATTGCCCCGGGAGTTCGGGTACATAAAGGGTCTCAAGGATATGGTCAGGATTAAGCTTACGGAGATTCCTGGGCTAGAGGATGATGTCAGCGGGGGCGGGGGCGCGCGGTATCAGTGCCCGATCACGGGTCTCGAGTTTAATGGGAAGTACAAGTTTTTCGCGCTGAGGACTTGCGGGCACGTGTTGAGCGCCAAGGCGGTGAAGGAGGTGAAGTCGTCGTCTTGTTTGGTGTGTCATGAGGAGTTCGATGAATTGGATAAGATTGTGATCAATGGGAGCGAGGAGGAGGTGGCGGTCCTGAGGGAGAGATTGGAGGGGGAGAAGGCAAAATTGAGGGATAAGAAGGCGAAGAAGGTGAAGAATGGAGAGGTGGTTGCTGGTGGAGAAGAAATTACTCAGTTAACTGGTGCTAAACGCGGCATTGATGTAAAGGTTGAGAAAGCCTCTGTTAAAGTTGATGAAAATGGGTTAGTGAAAAATGGTGGGGTTGGAGTCAAGGGTGTAACTTCTAATGCAGCGAAGAGGTTTAAGGCGACAGATATGGTCCCCCAAAATGCTACAAAGGAAATTTATGCATCGATTTTTACGTCTTCGAAGAAAGGTGGCTTCAAAGAGACGTATTCTTGCAGATCCCTCCCGCTTGGTAGGAATTAGTTCTGGAAGGATCTGAAACTTGAGTACCCTTTTTGAGCTGTCTTTGGCCGTACTGGGTGTTTATTCATAAATCATGGTTCGCCTTGGATGATTTAGTTGGTTGTTGATGTTGGGATTCTCTTACTGTGGAGTTCTTTGATGTTTCAAATCGGATTCTCTCTTTGATGTACATTGTACTTAACCATGAAATGCAAGTTGTTTATTTATGTTGAGCCATATATTTTTCTTTTTTTGAACTTTACAAATATTATGAAGATTCTCTCTCGCTCCTTACAGCATACCCTGCAAATTATATGCTCTGCATATGCTTTGGTACTTTAGTCCATGAAGTCTTTTGGAGAAGCATTGCTGTGGATAGAGTGTGTTCTTCTATATTATATCTTGTTGATATTGTTATGTCATAATTTCAGAGCTTGAGCTTGTGGGAATCACTTGTATACTGCTGTAACTTTCTACCATTTAACTTCCCCAGGTTTGTGCATTATCTATGTATATTATAGTGTCATTGGTATGATAACTTTCTTCAATGTTGTACTCCTTAGCTATGTCTGAGGGTGTGGTGTGTAACTTTATGGCTCTTCTTTGTTATATATGCCTTGGCCAGCTTCAGAAATACTCTAACCTGACTGTCGAATTTGGGTTAGTTGTTATTTGGGCAATCTGCTCAATGCACATGAGTTTCGCATTCTCTTAAAACTTTTTCTCAGTATATGATAGAATAATGCCATGCAAGCTTGTGGTCAAATCTGCGGCATATTTTAATGACTGTTTTACTTTCTACTATTCATTCTCTGCGGTGGCCTATGTTCTCTGCAATGGAAAAAACTTGGGGTTCTGTTCACTCCGTTTATGTATGTAAGATATTTCTTAAGGTTTTTTGAAATTGTACACTTCAGTGTAATTCATTCTCGTCAAGTTTGAATGTTTGAGTTGGAGTATCTAATTGAGTCAAGTTTGAGACTCGATGGGATTGTGGGTCTAATTGTGTAATCGACTTTGGATACGAATCATGTGATATATATTTCTCATAGACATGACAGTCAATTATTGGTGCACTTTTTAAGTTCAAGTGACAACTTGTTTCAATTAGAGGTGAGCATAGTTTCAGGGTAGAACCTGGAACTTGAGAACCTAACCAATGAGAACCTGTAAATTCTATGTTCTAAGGTATGCAAGGTAGGTTTAAGTTCCAAAAATTGGAGAACCTGTTTCGACGGATAGATTCCAAGTTGGTTCTAGGTTCTAAGTAGGTGGAACCTTAAACCTTAAACAAGTTTTTGTGTTGGGATAATGACACAAATAGTCCCTGAACTTTGACTTAATGTGCAATTTGGTCCCTAAACTTTTAATTTGTTCAATGTAGTCCTTGAACTTTAACATAATGTTCAATTTGGTCCCTGAACTTTTAATTTGTTTAATGTGATCCCTGAACTTTTAATATGTGTTCAATTTAGTCCCTGAACTATATGAAAATGTTCAATATAATCTCTGCACTTGAATTAACGGAATGACTATATTGAACATTTTCAAATAGTTGAAGGACTAAATTGAACATATATTAAAAGTTCAGGGACCACATTGAACAAATCAAAAGTTCAGGGACCAAATTGAACATTAGGTTAAAGTTCAGGGACTACATTGAACAAATTAAAAGTTTATGGACCAAATTGCACATTAGGTCAAAGTTTAGGGACTATTTGTGTCATTTTCCCTTTTGTGTTTTTTCTTGGTCTATGTCTTCGCGTGATCCTGCGGTATTCCATGGCGTTAGATGACGAGTGTATAATTTGGAATCACTAATATGAGTTTTCATTTTATGACTTATTAATGTTTCATATTCTTCGTATCTCTAAATATAAATTGTGGTCAGTGGATCGTAGCAGCAAGTGGTGGTCTTTAAAAGTGATAATTCACTGCAACTGCTCAATTAATAATTCAAGTGGAACCTAGGTAAACTCTAGAACCTACCCTGTGCTTAGAACTGACCCTAAAACTTATGACAGGGTAGGTTCCAAGTTCCAAGGTATGTAGGATAGATTTCAAATTTCAAAAAATGATGAACCTGTTCTTATGAGTAGTTTCCTGGTTTCAGGTAGAATCTCTACAAAACCTGGAACACTTGGAATCTGGAACCGCTCACCCCTAGTTTCAGTTATAGATGACTTTTGGTTCAAATTGTCTGAATCATTTTTGGTAATCAAACCCAAGTCAAAAAGTCAAGAGCTTGATAGTTTGACTTGAGTTCAACCAAGCTTGATTTTTTAAGATAGAGCTCGACCATGTGATGTTCTTTCTTATGCTCAAACTCGATTATCCAAACATCAACCATGATAGTGCAGATTGTTTTGGTATTAGCCCTTTCCCTGCTACCATTTTCTTTTCTATATCCCACAGCTCCTAGGATTGGTAGGGTCCCTTCATCGTGCACAGGTTCAAGCATATATGTAGTCCTCTTTTTGGACTAATTGGCTTCATAATGAATAGCTTCCTCTTTTCCGTCTGCAATGGTATAGCTTGCTACTTTTTAAAGACCCAACGGGTGACAGAACTTTCTCAGCACATTGTTTTCAAGGCCTCATTGTTATCGCAGGCAAAATGATGTCTCAAAACGGACTAAAATGATCCTATGAGGAGTTTTCACTAGCTCTATGATAGTTTCTGCACATGCTAAATAGACACTTGAGAAGTTACACTGGTTGCTTGGAGAAGTTTTGCTTGGAAAGAAAGAGAAACCCGTGACTGGAACGGGATGGATAATGACTCTGTCACAGATTGATGATCACTGAAGAAGAGTATGTAAATGCAGCAAAGTTGCAGACATCCGAGCTCTGGTAATTGGGCCATCTGACTTTGGGCGCATGCGCAGTCGCATGCAAAATGGAGGATGCACAATTCGAAGCACGGCACGTGTGACATTCCGAATTTCGGCCCATAGTTGGGATTTATAAAACGTGTAATTCGTCAGTGTGCTTATAGTAAAATCTCGCCCGGGAACTGATCACTCTCGGTTATTGTTTTAAAATTGAGATTTCGCTAGAATCGCGCTCGATCGAATTTGGCCGTTATTTAGAGCCCAAACTTTGGTGTCGAATTTCTGGGAGTTCCGGGACGAAATAAATTGGACGGTGTCGATATTATTGTGGCCAGCCTCGAGATTACCCGGGATATGTGAAAAGTGGATTTTTTACCGGGTGCGGATTTGGACTAGTAGACCTCCCTCGTAGTGTGTTTTGGGTTATTTTCTTTTAGCCTTTTTTTTGTTTCCTATATTATTAATTAGGATTTTCGTGGGCCGTTAGATCGTTTTCGAGTTCGAATCGTGACCGTTGGATCGCGATAATTACTTTCTTTCTCTCTCTCTCTCTCTCTCTCTCTCTCTCTCTCTCTCTCTCTCTCCCCGGTCACCCTCCCCCTTGCGTACGTTTGGCCCCCCTTGTCAGACTCATCCACTCCTCTCTCTCTCCTTCTTTCTCTTTTTCTTCTTCCTTCTCTCTCCTTCTTCTTCCTTCTTCCTTCTTCCTTCGTCGACCCCGACTGGTTCTGCTTTTGCCTTTGCTCGTCCGACCAGTCGCCGCCGACCGCCCTTCGCCGTCCGCCTCGCGCCACCGTCGCCCGACCGAGCTGTGACGCCGCTCGTCGCCCGCGACCGCCGCTGTCGGCCCTGTCCGCCTCGTTGTGCTCTGTCTCAAGGCGCAGCGCGAGCATAGCCTGCGCTGAGTCCGCCAGCGACCCGCCCGCCCGCCGGCACTGTCCTCCGTCGCCCGCCACCCGTGGACGCCGCCGTGCCGCCTCCGGCCGCCGCGACTGATCCCTCCCCGTTTCTCTCTTCCCGGTCCCTCCCCGTGTTTGGCTCCGACCGTCCACCCGCCAGGCCGCGAGTCCTGCCCAATTGCCGGCCAGCTTCGTCCGGCCGCTCGCCTAGCACCGCCGCCTGCCCGTCGCCGCCGTGCCGCCCCATCGCCGCCGGTTTGCCCCTCTCCCTCGAAATTTCTCGATCTCTCTCTCTCTCTCTCTTCAGTCACCACCCCCCCTCGACTCACCTTTCCTCCCCTATAGCTCGTCATCGCAGCGTCGCCGTCGCCGCCGCGTAAGCGTCGCCGCCGGGCCGGCCCGGCAGCCCCGCCGACCAGGCCATCCCCAGCCGGCCAGCCCAGTGGCCGTGACCGGGCCCGTCACCCGCTCGACCCGGGCCACTCGCCATTGCTCGGCCCTTGGCCTGGCCTGCGTTCGGCCCATCGCCAGGTGCACCGCGCGTTGCCGGCTCGGCCTAGCTAAATCGCCGGGCACATCGCCCGTCTCGCTCGCCCGTGTGCCCCGGGCACGCTGTTCGGCCACCGCGCCCGCGCGCCAGGCACGCCGATCGGCCACCGTGCCCGTTGGCCCGTGCCCGCGCCTAGTTCGTCACTGTTCACCCGGGCCATTTTAGGCCCGAGCCGATTTTCTCCGGGCCAAAATCAAGTAAGTGACCTCCTATTCCTTATTTAGGACCATGTGTATTTTTTAGACTTGTTTAGGATGTGTTTGGTACCGGGTTAGAAATTAAATTAGGCGTGGCTAATTTGACCGATTGTGCTCAATTTGTGAATTATTGTGGCGGTAATTGTGTGGCTAATTTAGGGATTGACTGAGATAATTGTCGTAGCGTTTGTGGGTGAATTGGATTAATTGAATGTGTTGACTCGAATGTCGGAATCCTGAGCTTGTGATTTGAAATTGGGATGATTGAGGGTGCATATTTGTGGCTATTGTGGTGAGTCAATGATTGGCTTATCGTGGCGGTTGTGAGTGGAATTGATAGCTGAATGTGACCGACTTGAAGGTCGGGTTGGTGGAATATTGTGGTGAGCATGCCTTGAATTTAATTGATACGACTTGTGAAAATTGCGAATTGTGTTATGGTGCATGTGCATGAGAAAAGCCCGGATTGATCGGAGGGCTGCCAACCTGAGGCGTAGTTACGCGGGTGTGGCGAGAAAGGCATGACCAGACCTGAGGCGTAGGTTACGCGGGTCAATGGAAGGGGAAAAATGTCCTGAGGCGTGGTTACGCTGGACCGAGCCCGGCTTGATCTAAGGGCTGAGCCTGAGGCGCAGTGGCGCGGGCTGTGAGATTGGGCCTGAGGCGCAGTGGCGCGGGCAGTGTGAAAGGACCTGGGAGGTCGTGGAAAGTTGTTCGGCCACGTATGCGAGTTGAGTGTGATTGAATTGATTGGACTGGCTGATTGAATGTGTGATTGAATTGGTTGGATTGATTGAGTGCTAGTGTGGTTGGTGCTTGAGTGATTGTGATATGTTATTAGACTATTAATATTGCATTGTCACATTTAACTAACGTGCAGAGCATGCGTTTGATGGCGAAGTAAGTACAATGACGTGAATTTTATATGTTATGGGGTAGATTGCATGTACGACTTGTCTGGGTACGCATTGGCCTACGTGGGGTATAGGGGGTTGCTTATTGAGACTCGTTCTCACGGTTATTATATAACCATTTCGGATCCGCGACCATGAGTGACTGAGACGCCGGCAAGGGTATCTCGGGGATCAAGGACGGGTCAAGTTGCCCCATATTTTTGTGTGCCCCTCTTTTGTATAGCGAAGTAGGATATCCAACCACTACTCCGTTTTAATGTTGTGTATTTGGAATTTATTGTTTTGTGCTATCCCTTCGTCATATTTTACTGTCTGGGTTGTTTTATTTCGCTTCCGCTTGCGTAGTTCGTTTGGGTCGGCGACGCGTCCTGGGACGTCGCGTTCAATACGACCGTGGAAGGGGTGTCGCGAGCCCGTTGGGGTTCGGGGCGTGACAGCATGGGTTTAGAAGGTGGGTTCACGCATGCACTGAGCTTCAGACCGTGCATGACGAAACCATCTTCTCCATTTCTCCTCCTCTGTATTGACCATTATCTAGCAATAGCATGTGCTTTGGGGACTTCTTGTAGTCATGTTTGTGTGCTTGGTAGCTTTAAGGTTGTTACTGCATAAGTACTCAGTCGCATACTGACTCTTCGGTTTTGACTATTGCAGCATTCTACGAGATTCATCATCACTGAGACAATAGTTGCTTTGCTTAGAATCAGAACTCCTGTTGATTAAGCCTGAATGGTCATATATGATCACTAAAGTTTTAACTAGATCAAGTGCAAAATGCACAGCCTGAGGAAAATAATTCCTGCAACTAATATAAATGCATTGGAGATCAATTCACACGAGAGTCATCCTCTAAGGCGGTGAATTGAAATTTCATAGATTTTGAATGAATTTGAAAATTTAGAAGAAAAAGTTTAGGAGCTCGATATCAAATAAAGCTCAAATCTCAAATGTTAAAATGGAAGAAAAAAAGTTCACTCGATACAGTATTGAGACGATCATAACCATGATCAATATCTTTATCGGGAGAAAGTGAGTATTTTATTTTCCATCCTGGTCGAGTTAATCAAATGATGAATTTAAAAGGTATAGGATAATAAGTTTTGTAATTAGATGCAAAATAATGTTTTATCATATTATATCGTAATGGCTTACTGTACTGTCAAATAATACAATACGAGTATATTTCTCTCTTGACCGAAAAAAGAATTTGAAGCCCCAATTATTTTTAAAATCCAAAGAAGCATTCGTAGTACATTTTGTCCCCGACGTCCTATCTCATTACTAAAATAACCTTATTGTGAAAGAGTGATTATCGCAAACTCTCTGTGATGCCTCATTTCTCATCGTAACTTTAGATAATTTGAATAAGTCCTGTTAATAAGCGCACTTAGGACACTAAATAAATTAATTAGAAATGAGAATAACACCTATCAAGACACTCTGAAAATGGAAGAATTGCGCGTTTTAATCAAGAAAAATAAGTTAACGAAAACTCTAAGGCTTCGTTTGGTTGTCCGGATTTCTTAACAGGATAGGACTGGATAGGATAGGATAAGAAATCTTGAGATTTCTTCATATCCTATCCACTGTTTGGTGGACTACTGATTTAAAGTCAGATAAGATAATTTTTTTTTTGTTGCTATTCACGGGTCCGGAGGAGTCGGTGAAGGAAAAAAAGCCGAGAAATTTTTTTGATGAAAGCGCACAAGGTGTGGGGATGAAGATGACGGCGAGTGGAGCGTAGGGTTTCTGAAAAAATAGGCATTAGAAATCATATCCAGGTCTATCCCACCCCCCTCGGATTTTTTTATTCGGGCTATATCCGGTCTATATCCGACCTTATCCTATCCTGGACCACCACCAAACACATGATAGGATAAAATATATCCTATCCTAGCTTTTATCCGGTCGACCAAACGCAACCTAAGGGCACTTGTTAAACACCCATTTAAGGAAGGGTTAATACCATGAAAAACCCTAAACTAGTATGTTTGTGACAAATTTACCCCAAACTATTTTTTTGACCATAAAAAACCACAAACTGGTACACCTGTGACAATTTTACCCTAAACTATTTTTTTGACCATCAAAAACCCCAAACTGGTACACTTGCGACAATTTTACCCCGACCTAATTTTTTAATATTATTATTTTTGATATTATTATTTTTTCTTTTCTTTTCTTTTTCCTTTCCTTTTCTTTTTTCCTTCATCTTCTTTATCTTCAACCTATGGCCAGTCGCCGGTCCGGTGACCGGCCAGAGGCAGGGTCCGGCGACCGGCCAGAGGCGGGGGCCGGCGAGGTCGGCCCCGCCGGCCGCTGGCAAGGCCGACCTCGCCGGCAACTGGCGAGGTCGGCCTTGCCCACCTCTGGCGAGGTTCGACCTCGCCAGTTGTCCACGAGGGGTTGTCCTTGCCGTCGTTGGCGAGGCTCGGCCCCGCCGATTGCCGGCGGGGCTAAGCCTCGCCAGCAATGGCGAAATCCCAGCCGTTTCGTCCGGCGATCGCGAAGCGTTTCTCTCTTGATTTTCCCTTCCCCGATCGGAGGACCGAAGCCATGGCCGGCGTCTCTCTCAAGTGCGGTGACTGTGGCGCCCTCTTGAAGTCTGTGGAGGAAGCTCAAGGGCACGCCGAGCTCACCTTTCACTCTAACTTCTCCGAGTCCACCGAGGCCGTCCTCAATCTCATCTGCAGCTCTTGCGGGAAGCCCTGCCAATCCAAGACGGTACGCCGAATCCCCACCTTTTGTGGTGTTATGATCTGTTGCGCTGGCCATTGATTTGGTTTTTGAGTGACGGCGAGGTCGGCCTCGCCAGTGGCCGACGGGGCCGAGCCTCGCCAGCAACGGCGAGGACGACCCCTTGCTGGCAATTGGCGAGGTCAAACCTCGCCAGGGGTGGGCAAGGCCAACCTCGCCATTTGCCGGCGAGGTCGGCCTCGCTAGTGGCCAGCGGGGCCGACCTCGTCGGCCCCTGTCTTTAGCTGGTCGCCGGACTGGCGACCGGCCAAAGGTTGAAGATGAAGAAGACGAAGGGAAAAAAAAAGAAAAGGAAAGGAAAAAGAAAAGAAAAGAAAAAATAAAAAAAAATTTCGAAAAAATAAAAAAACAATATTAAAAAATTAGATCGGGGTAAAATTGTCGCAGGTGTACCGGTTTGGGATTTTTGGTGGTCAAAAAAATAGTTCGGGGTAAAATTGTCATAGATGTACCAGTTTGGGATTTTTTGTGGTAAAAAAATAATTTGCGGTAAATTTGTCACAAGTGTACCAATTTAGGATTTTTCGTGGCAGTAACCGTTTAAGGAAAGATATCTTGCAATTGCCTCTAACATTGAAATGACATTTAATTATGAAAAACCATGCGCCACATCAAAACTTTTAAAAAATTAAAATACAGAAAAATTTGAGAGGGAGAGAGATAGACAAGGTGTGGTATACAAAGAGATCTCACTCGACGACCACCGACTTATCTCTTCCAATCTACAACGTAATACCAATCACATGTCCTCGCGATGTGAGCACAGGGAGAGGAAGGCTGCCCTCGCTCTCTGCAAGTGCCTCTAGCCCCTTCCTCTGCAACTGCTCCATCCTCACTCCTCTCCACATTCCAGAAAAAGAAAAACCAACAATAAACAAGAACAAAAAAAAACCCAATCTTTATAGCCTGTCGAACGACAATACCCAGAAAGATTTTCCCCTGAAAAGTTCAAGAATCGTTTCCCGACGGAAAACGCCCAGATCCCATTTCCAAGCTCGTCGGTCGTGACCCTTTTCTGGGATTCCTCGTAAGCCCACGAACGTTCCTCAGCTCGAATATCCTTCGGTAAAGATCTTGTCCCATCGTGTTTTTTCTTTTGTCGGGTCATTGCTAAGTTCTTGCCTTGAGATGGGTATGCGCGATTCTGCTGCTATTTGACGATGTGGGGTGGTAGGTGTAGGTCCTTTTGATTTGGGATCGTGTTTTGTTGTGACGCAGATTTCTGGGTTGTTGCTGTTGTTTTGTTCGTTCGGGATCGTGTTTGGCGTATTGGGGCAAATTTGGGAGGACCGGAAAATTCCAGGATGTCCGTTTTGTCGAAAAGCGATTCGGTTCTGATTAGGGATGTCTGGGATTACAATCTGGAAGACGAGTTTTCGTTGATTCGCGAGATCGTAGATGATTATCCCTACATTGCTATGGACACCGAGTTCCCCGGGATGGTTCTTCGCCCGGTGGGGAATTTCAAGAGCAGCTCCGAGTATAATTACCAGACCCTTAAGGCCAATGTTGATCTTTTGCAGCTAATTCAGTTGGGCCTCACCTTCGCAGATGAGAAGGGGAATCTCCCGACCTGCGGAACCGATAAATACTACGTGTGGCAATTCAATTTCCGCGAGTTTAATTTAAATGAGGATGTTTATGCTCATGACTCGATTGACTTGTTGTCTCAAAGTGGGATCAACTTCAAGAAGAACAACGAGGCGGGCGTCGATGCTAACCGCTTCAGCGAGCTATTGATGTCGTCTGGAATAGTGTTGAATGATTGTGTTCACTGGGTCACATTCCACAGCGGGTATGACTTCGGATACTTGCTTAAGGTGTTGACCTGCCAGAGTCTGCCGAGTACACAGTCCGGGTTCTTTGATCTGATTAAGATGTACTTCCCCGTGCTCTACGATATCAAGCATCTGATGAAGTTTTGCAATAGCCTTCATGGGGGTTTGAATAAGGTTGCTGAGTTGTTGGAAGTGGAACGGGTTGGTGTATGTCATCAAGCAGGTTCTGATAGTTTGCTCACTTGCTGTACTTTCATGAAACTGAAGGAGAATTTCTTTAGTGGCTCTCCCGAGAAGTATGCTGGGGTTTTGTATGGTCTTGGTGTTGAGAATGGACAGAATGGTTACTAAGATGAGGAAAAAAAAGTATTCGAAATAAAAATTTAAAATATAAATTTGTCTGCCAGATTGTGTGTTCCCTCTTCACATCATTCTTTTTTTTTGCGCAGTACAGTCAATTATATTTCTGTTCACTCTCCAAGAGTGATGTGGTACATAGTTTGAGGTCCTTGAGAATGTTAGCAAGCAGTTGAGATAGGAGAATGGACATGCTCACCTAGGAAACGGCATTCATGCTTCTCATTTTGCTTCACATTGAAGCATTGCAGACAAAATGACTAGGCTTCATTGTGTTTTAGAGCTTATCAGATTTAGGAGGACATATCTGAAGGATGAACCTAATAGTGCACAGAATCTGAGGGTGCGTACTCGCGCGCAGAACACGTGCACACGTGCACAGCACACAACGCCCACTCACCTCATGCGCATCCATCCTTTTGTGTCAACTAGTTTCGGGTCATGGACAAGTTAACGAACACAACCATCTGACTATACCTTGCATGCCCCCCAATTTGCCTTCATCTGTTACTTTAAGCAGTATTTATGCTGGGTTAGGACATGGGCTTGACTGTGGGGTGGTTTGCCCTTACCAAGTTCCCGGAGGTCTTGGTTCAATTCCTGTCTTCTCCCTCTCCTGTCTTATACCTAAGAACACAAAAGCTTGTTTTGTATGTAGCCTGTGAAGTTCTTTTTTCTTTTTTTCCATCTGGATCACTCCTATGCGACTAGAGGCTTCATAGTGTTGACTGTTCAGTTTCTCGGTCTGTCTTCATGTCGAGGCTTCTTCCACTATGTTATCCATATGCCTTTTAAACATTGGTATGGATTTTCAGTTAAAGCCAGGTCTTTATTTTGAGCAGGTTTTTTTCTTTATGTGGGAATCATACATTTCTCAGCATATCTGCTTGTCTTTTCTGTTATTAATGTCTAATTTGTCCTGGAAGTGGTGTCGAATCATCATGCACTCATGATATGCTAACTTATTATTCTGAGCAGACAACCTACGCTGCTTAAAGAAATTTCCCCTGCCTTGGATATTATGAAATTTTACCGACTGTGACCTAGAGCTTTGGATGTCATAGCAGTGCAGGAGGCAGATCTTGTGCGCCAAATTATTGGCTTGTGTTGCAAACTTGCTGCTACTACCGGCTTCCTCTGTTACATTCTCTCCTGGCAAGGTGGGCTACTGGCTTTTACAAACTAATGGTCATTTTTATCTACTCTGATGTTCAGCATTTATTACTTTCGTCCTGGATGAAAGAGATTTCAGCATACTGAAACGCGTTAGATAAGCAAAAGGTAGCATTACGATTGCCCCGTTGATTTGGGAGAACATATTCTGTAGGATAACTTATTCCTGATCTGAGACTACTGATATTTCATCACACATTGTCACTAGAGTAGGGTCATTTCTTGTTAGTGCATTCAAAGGCCTTGACCTGGCATAGAAGGTAGAGGACTGTATAATTCAATCTAATTGCAGTTGAAAAGCAAGAAAGAAACCATGTCAAGAGTTTGTTTTCTTTTGGTAAATACAACTCTTATCAAGTAGTGGTAAAATGATTATGGCGTGCGTAGTTTATGAAAATCAGTTCAGGAGGGAATCTAGAGTTCTATTTGGGAGGGGGTTATAGATTCCAACAACAGATTTGAGTTTCTTTGGATTCCAATCACAGTTGACGAAGCTTTGTTGATGTATCGAGTCGAGGAATCTGAAGTTAGTCTTCTTCTTCTTCTTCTTCACAAGGCCTCTTCGTTAAACTTTTTTTTTTCATATGATTGGTGTGTGGCTTGCTCTTTCGACATCGGCACTTTGCATATCAAGTTGTTTTTTGGCTGTGTCGTGTGAAATAGGCTGAGTTTTGGAAAAGTTATTCAGTAGCTGAAATATGCCTTTTTTAGTCATACCCTGGAATGACTTGTGTCGAAATTGTCAAAATATCTGCTTGAACGGAGAGGCTTTCGCCTTTTGCTGTGCTAAGGGGGGATAAACGCCCTCTGTATTGTTCATGTGTTTGGCTATGGAAGATGGCGATTCAGTTGCCACCCCAACCTATCATGTGGTTTTAAGCTCGAACCATTCATCGTTCCGATTTGATTCGCTGCATATGTCCAGTTCCAATCTCAGCTTGTCGAACTGGGCTCTACAATTGTGAACATTTGCTTGAGGAAAATCAGGGGTTGTAGTACATCAGGTCAAATCGTGTTTCCAATCTTTTCAAATGTTCTGACCTGATGTAGTCTTTTGAGTTTCGGATAGACAACTTGGACGACTATCACCCAAAATTTTAGTCGGTGGTGAAGGAAGATGAGACACCAGATACCATCGTCATCTTCGTCCTCCAGCAATGGCAGGAGGTTAACGATTCCACGTCTGGTGTTTGCCGCAGCATTTCTCTGTTTTCTCATTTTGATTGCTCAACCTTCCATCTTTGTTGGTCTGAAATCAATACTTGAGCCCTCTGTCTCTGAACTCAAATCCTTTGTTTCCTCCCAGAGATTCTTCTCTGAAACAGAGTTAAACGAAAGACTATCACCCAAAATTGAAAATCAAAGGACAAATATAAAACTCACATCTTTGTTCCCTCAATACTTGCTGACAACGCAGAACAAGGTACTAAACAGGGACGATATGTAGACCCACAAAGTCCCAGCAAACATAATCAGATTCCAGTTTCGATGACCCATTGTCATTAAATTAAATGGGTCGTGGAGACGAACCCTCTTTAGTGAGCCCATCAATTTAACCCATTGCCGCCATCCTTTCCTTCAAATCAAAGCAAAAGCATAGCATGATCGAGAACAAGAGTAGTGTTCGCTGAAACTCTTGATGACGGGCGTTGAAAATTTTCACAGACAGAATGTGACCTTCTGCCGGGAAAAAACAATCTAGAACTTGTTAGAGGAAATCAATGCTTTGGATGGCTGGCACAGAGATGATTGAGAGTTGCAAACTTGGCTTGGACGACGTTGAGTGGTGAACAGAGAGGCTAAGTCCATAGGATTTTTCTCCTTTTCTATGTTGTTTTTTTCCTCATTTTTTTCATATTAAATATTTTTTCCAGCTTTATCACGTTCCCCAGGTGAGATTTTTTTATCCGGCTTAAATCTGAACATATGAGAATCCAGTGTTATGCCAAACACCTAATAGAATAAGAATTATCCTATCTGAAGTTATATTCGGTCGGTCCACCAGACATAGCCTTACTGCGTGGATCGTCGCTCTAAATGTGACTCTTCTAAGCTTTCTATTCTCTAATTAAAAACCAAATGGCGAAAAATCTTTAACCCGGGCAACCCTCGAAACTGACCCAAAAACGCCATTGATCCTCCTCGAGGGTCGTACAAGGACGAAGGGCATGGTTGGGAAAGCGCAGGAAAAGATCTCCGCCATAAATTGGCAGGCCCGTGAACAAGAACCGAGAGAGAGGAAGGAAGGGGGTTAGGACTAGGGTTTCTGCACACACGCTCAGAAAAGCTTGAATGAGGCTCGAGGAGGAGGAGGAAGAAGAAGAAGAAGCAGCAGCCTGTGATTTCACGCCGACCCTCAACCCGAACCAACCCCTCCATCTCTCTCTCTCTCTCTCTCTCTCTCTCTCTCTCTCTGTATTCAAGTCCATGCTGGGATCTTCTTGGCTGGACTTGTACTCTCTCTCTCTCTCTCTCTCCATCTCCGAGCTCTGTGCTGTGTGCGTGTGTGCGTGTGTGATGGAACATGTACACATCTGTCTCTTTCTTTTCCTGTTTCTTTTGTTTCTCACGAAAATCGCCCCCCCCCGCGCCCGCACGAGCGGCCGTACGCCGACCGGAACCAACAGTGTTGTCTCTCTAAGGCTGTGATGATCAGATCCCGTTCGCTCATGTTCGGAGGAGAGCGTGTGTGCGCAGGAGGGAAAGATCGGGTCGTCGCCGCATCTCTCGAGGGCCGAGCGAGCGGGCGAGCGACGAGCAGACCCGCATTCCTCGTGGCGCGGCGACCCGGAAGGCCGGGCGAGTTTTCGCCGGCAACCGGCGTTCGCAGCCACGGTCGGGGGCTCTGTGCGCTCGCTCTCACTCGTCCCTTTTTTGCGGCATTCGACCCGAGTCCAAACTTGATCTGAGCCTAATGCACAAAATCCTTACACACTTTCGCTTTTTCGTTCTCAAAAAATCACGCTTTTTCGTTCAGTTCTTCAGGCGTTTGCTTCATTGTTTGTTCTGTGTTCACTGGGCTCGGTGAAGAAAGCCATTGATGGGGAAGGAAGCTCCAGCTTCGAATGCGACCTCGTTAGCCCGAAAATACCTTAATCTGTGCGAAAACAGCAAAATTTGTCCAATCTTTGCACATTTGTGTCATTTCTGGTTGAAAAAGAAGGGTGTCGTATAATCAAACATGCCGTCGAGGACCTCCATAGCATAATGCCTGGAATTCAATCGTGTCTTGTGCATCGGATCGTCTAAACCAAAATATTTCGTCCCTCGCTGCCATTCGGCCGCTCGATTTCTGTTCTTGATGGGGTTTATTCATCACGGTGCTCACAAATGAAAAATGCAGTCTTTCCCATCACATCCCATTCGCAATCCATGCGAACCGGCCAGCGTACCCTCATTACCCAAGTAAGGCCCGGTCTCGAGTATCGGTTCTGCAGCTAATGCTTTTTGTGTTACGTTGGAGCCTGAAAGTTGGGTCTCGTCTGTGGTCCCAGCCAGGTCATGGCTTGCAATGTACCGCACTACAATCGGGTAGGTGGGATCTTTAACGTAGGACTATTGTCCAATACCGCCCATTTGCTCTTTGGGGCTTGAGCGGGGCCTGACTTCATCTCTATTGATCAGTTCCAAGGATGAAAATCGAAATTAGAATATACAATACTACAAAAAGGTCCATGAACTTTAGTGTAACGAGTATTATCTCTAAACTTTTAATTTGTGTAGTTGTGAAATTTAGCTTAATATGTAATATCTTCCCTAGCCTAGATCAGATGGAATATCGGACCAAATTTCAGGAAGCACATTAAACAAAGTAAAAGTTAAATGACGACATTGCATTAGGGACCACATTACTAATTACGGTAGCTTAATAACAAGGAAAACGGTTTCATCTTATCTTTTACGAGGAAACATAGTCATCCTCTTTTTCTTTTCACCATCCTCAACATGCTTCATTATGTAAAAGCTTATACGATATTGACCCCAAATGGGTTATTTAATACCATGTGATTTTCTCAAAATTATGTCTTTCCAAGTTTTGCTTTTGCTTTTCCTTTTCTCAAAGCCTAAAAAGAAAAAAAATGGATTTTCTTTCATTCGCTTATTTCACCCAATTTTTCTCCTGTCCATTTTTGCCCCCCAGTGTAGGGCGGGGCTCACCTAGTCCTACCATCCGAAGAAGGGTAAAAGAGTAAAAGAGCCCTCCAGTGGGGCACGCTGCCAGCGATATAAAACCCAGGCTAGGGTTTCCGTCTCCGCCATCACTCATTAGTTTAAGAATGAGGCTCTGCCTCCCGGAGAGGCTTCCCTGGGTGTCCCGGCGGCCGTTGCCGACTCTCCGGTGGACGGCGGAGCCGGTGATTTCGCCGATCCACGACGGTGGACGTGCTCGTCTATCCGTCCGAAACAGCCGCTCTTCCGAAAGGAAAAGAAAAAAAAAGAACAAAAGGGAAAATGCCACGAAAAGTCCTCAACCTTGTACCGCCGTCGGCGACGACGACGATGCTGCTTGCTTTCTGATCTGACCATACCCAGACTCTCCTCGTCTTCACACCCGCACAGGGATTCACCGATGTCGACTCCGATCTTCCACTTCGTGGACGGAACTTCCAGCGTTGAAACGCGCTGAGAGAAACAGAGGCGATGACGAGATGCGGGTTACGAAAGTAAAACAGGCATCGAGAACCGACCGTATCTTGGCGTGGCGGCCAGATCCGGCGCGCAGCCATGGCGGGGTTCCTCCTCCATTTGCCTGATTCAAAGGCGAATCCGAGCCTCTCTCTCTGTGTCTTCCCACGATTCTCCCCCTGTTTTTCTTTAGTTTTGAGTTCCGGGTTTCCTATTTGATGATTAGTTTTCTTGCGTTTTGGTCTGAAAAAACATCTTCATAAATGTAAAAATAGAAACATTTTTCAACCCTTGCTCAGCTGCCGTGGTGTTCACTGTTCATGTGTTCATTTCTGTTTTTGGTCATAATTCGTGTGTTCATTTATTTATTTTCCTTTTTTTTTTGTGTTTCATCGTGTTTGTTGCAACAACAAATAAATTGGTTGAAAAACTAAGAGAAATTGCCTAATAAAATAAGAAAATCACGAGATAAAAAAGAAGAAGAGATAGGAACCGGTTTGGAATTGAGAACCGGTTGGACCCGGGTTATTGGTAGTACCATTATCGGAAGGGAAAATGACACAAACAGTCCCTGAATTTTGACTCAATGTGTAATTTGGACCCTGAACTTTTAATTTGTTCAACGTAGTCCTGAACTTTAACTCAATGTTCAATATGGTCCCTGAACTTTCAATTTGTTCAATGTGGTCTATGAACTTTTGATACATGTTCAATATAGTCCCTGAACTTTATAAAAATGTTTAATGTAGTTCTTTCATTAATTCAAGTTCAAGGACTATATTGTAAATTTTCATATAGTTCATGGACTAAATTGAACATTTACTAAAAGTTCAGGGATCAAATTGAACAAATTGAAAGTTCAGGGATCACAATGAACATGGATTAAAATTTAGGGACTATATTGAATAAATTAAAAATTTATAAATTAAATTATATATTAAGCCAAAGTTCAAAGACTGCTTGTTTGTGTCATTATCCCTTGTCGGAAAGGGCGTAAAACGGGGGAAAGAACCTCCGCGCTATAAAACGCCAAGAGGGAGGCGAGAGGAGCAACCTTAGGGTTTGGCATTCAACTCATTTGCTTTGAGAGAACTGAGGCTCTGCCTCCCGGAGAGGCTCCCCTGGGGTGTCCCCGCGGCGGTTGCCGCCTCTCCGGTCGACGGCGGGGCCGATGATTTCGCCGGCCCGCGGCGGCGGGCGAGCGTGCCTCTTATTAGCGCACGGTTCCATCCCGTCGTCCGAAACAGCCGCTCTGCGAAACAAAGGGAAAATGAACTGAAACTACGACCATGCCCATAGCAGCTGCTTCTCGATCCGACCCGACCGGATCGGCTTCTCCATTTTCTCATGCTCACCATCACCGCCACCACAACCAACACCAACCCCCCCAACTGTAACCTACGATCTCCGCAGAAGATTATTCTGGGTTTTGCAGAAGAAAACTAGGGAAAGGAGTTAAGAGAGGCCGTGACGAAATGCGGGGTGAGAGAAGGCAGGCGCTGAGAACCGGCCGTATCTTGGCGGGGCGGCCAGAGCCGGCACGCAGCCATGGCGGGGTTCCTTCTTCATCATTTTGCCTGATCATTGTCGAATCTGAGCCCCTCTCTCTCTGTCCTTCACGAATTTCTTGCTAAATTTGCCTCTTATCTTTTACTTTTCTTTCTGTTTGGTTGAAGATTTGGCTCTTCTGGCAGAGTTTTCTTACTTCTGTAATTTTTTTTAAAAAAAAAATTGTTTCTTTCTCTTTTCAATCTTGCCTGCAGATTGCTCTGTTCTCCGGAAATTTACCCCCCCTTTTTTTTTTCCAAGATTGGTTTTCGATATATCTCTCACGGTGAATATAGTCATATTAAATAATATATCTTTGAAAGTAGCAAGAAAAATAATCAATACATTAAAAGTCGTGTGATTTTCTCGATATAAGCTAATTTATTTAGTGTCGCAAAATCCTGTCAGTTTAGGGCGCAGGTGGATCGGATTGCTTGTGAAGCCATGGCTGCAACACTGTAGAAAGATGTTGGCTCGGCAGCGCACGTTATACCGGGTCGAATTTGACATATGTTTCATCCTGAGCTATGGACAATTTAACCAAAGAATGTCATGAACTTCATGTGCATTTGCATCGATTGCTGACCCTAGGACTAGCACTATTTACAAGCCTTCTCCAACTATATCTCAAACGCATCATCGTTCAGAAAAAAAAGAAGAGAACGGGGTATGCTCCTAATGTAAGTAACTGTCGTTAGTTATATGCTCGCTTTCAGGGTTACCGAACCGCAGAGGCATTCTCGGTCAAAGATGACCCCGCTTGAAGCATGAGGGGATACACAGGACTGAACTCCTTGTCCCCTCTTGCCCTTACTTTCGCGGCATAATCATCCAAAGTTGCTTTCACGCCTTCCCAGATCTGATCCTCTCCTTGTGAATCCATCCACAGAGAGTACTGCAACGGCGTGAGCTCGTTCCTTTGCATCGGGGACTGCAGGTCGTCTGGACCGCGGGTGTAGAGATGGTGAAGTACACTGACCGGCATATCCTGAAGAAGAGGAGATGCTCCTCCCAGCTGAGATGTTTCCAAGGATACGAGGGGCCTAAATGCTCGAAGGGCTCGGTACGGTTCGCCTAGCTGTTCCGCCTTGAGCAAGTTCCGGCTTACCGACAGCTCCAGCTCGGCCGTGTCTCTAGCCAATCTCAGCCTCCCTGATTCTGATAGAGGCCTCACGAGAGCAGCATGCCTGACGAAGAAGATCAAAACTCGGGAAGCCATGTTTCTAACGAGCCGAGTGCATATCATTTCTGTCCCTCCAGTTGTTGCGTTAGCCGGAGGCATCATCCTGACTAGAAACTCAGTACGGAAGTGAAGAATGCACTTCTGCAACTCCTCCATGTAGGGTGATGATGCATAATTGTCCATAGCAGCATCCATCGCAAGCACGCCAAAGTTCTGGTCATGAATTAGCAGTATGCAAGACTCCAGTCGATCCAGCATCGCTTGAAATAAGGGTGTCACTGCATCACCTGCGACCTTATATATTGCACCCATTGCAGGGGAAAGCTCATCGGCAGCAACAGGCGGGAATTCCCGGATCATAGATGATATGCGGGTGTGAATTTCTTGCAAATACTGACATATGGCGAAGTTCTTCAGCTGGGCTGCTGTAGCAGGACCCGTCACTTGAAGTGCGTCAGGACCAGTAGATATCTGCATTACAAAAGTTGCCCTCCGCCATTCAGAATTATGATATACAAGAATCATAAGGTGACTTCATTTTAACCCAGATGTCACAAATTCAAATCATGGAAACTGTCACTAACATTATAAGGGTAAGGCTACGTGAAATTCGATTGTCTCTCTTGTATTTACCAGAATATATTTTTTTTTCTGTAGCCATCACAATTAGGATCGTGTGTTCTCCCTGCATCCTAAAAAAAGAATCAACCACGAAACTTACTACTAGAATCACACAAACACAGATGTCCCAATAATACATATTCACCTACCGTCTTAAAAAACACCTCAATTGACCTATGTAATTCATTACGAAAAACAGATCTTTATCTATGCATCTAGCATATAGATAAAGATCCTAAACATTTCAAGTGATTGACTCTTGTTTCAACTACGAGATTGAGATGGCTACTCCGTCAGATCATACAAGGTATGTTTAATAGTGGAATAAGCAGGCACATTTAGGGTACCAAACTGTCGTTCTTAAGTCCATATTGTCAACTGGAATTCGATCTATAAACCACTCGGAAGAATCTTGGAGCAAGCATTATCAAACAGATGGCTTCTGGAACTTTTACTAATTATGAAGCGTGCAGTATCTGGCTGGATACATGTAGTGAAGTTGATATTCCAAGGCAAATATTGTTTAAGATTATTAGCGCAACGGGCACTGTGCTCTTCAAACTCACGAGACTTCACATGAGAATGGCCAATATGTGAAATTCCTGACTGACTTTGGCGTGGAGATAGACCACTTTGCATAAAGCAATATTTTGTTCTCGCAAATTGTAAGAGGACCACTTTTTCAGAGAAGTACCCTTACAAATCACAAAAGAACCTATATCCCATTTCCAACACGATTATTCAATCTATGGTGGTCAAAAGACTTGATCATTTACAGAAACTTAAACTGAAGCACGGTTTCAATAGACAAACCATCCAGCTTCAATTCTATATAAGCCTGTAAGGCATTCTCCATACTACGGAAGTTCTTCTATTCACCTCTATCCATGCTATTACTAACCACATCATCCAAAAGGGATAATAGAACAAATTTTTTTTTCTTGTCTGTACAAAAATGAGCAACATCTCTGAATGCATGCATCTGTTTAGAAATTGATTCGCTGAGAAACCAGGTAACATGATCACAGTGATAGCCAAAACCTCCCTCCTCCAAGCCAAATGCTCCTCTTAGGGTTGACTAGTTTTGATAAAGAGGGGAAAAGGCAATTAAGTTGCCACTTCCAACATGCTGAAGTCTATCGTTTATGAAGCTGTTGAGCCTCAAATTCCCCACTAACATGCACCCCTTTCCGGTTTTCCTTCAATGCATATAACAACGCTGCCCCCAAAAAAAAGAAAAGAAAACCCAAGCGAAGAAAAAAAAATTACTAAACATGCCGCCTGAAAGAGAAAAAAAAAATCCCTTGTCCACAATCAACTAAACATTTATTCTCCTGCCGTAAGGGCAAGCTAAGGTCCCTATATGTATATATGCTCTAGGGATATTTCATCCTAACAAATGGACTGAACAACTAAAATCTGGAGAATCATTCACAGGAACAGAGAAATCTACCCTAGTGCAACATATAATGTCCAGTAAATTACCTGGTTCTCAGCTTGTGGCGCCAGCAGGCGGAACGCCATACCAATTTCATGCCAGACAAGCAGAGTTAAACGCCGGTCCAACTGGACAGCTTTTTCAATCTCTTCCTGTATGCATGACACGATTCTTGAGATATGTTCTTTGGAGTGAAGACTTCTGGGGAATTCATGTTTGACAAGATATTTAAGACCTCTGGAGCATTCACACAAGTATTGAATCTCGAATATTTCTATTGCTGAAACCATTTGATCTTTTCCTTCGGGAGTGATAGCCGGCAATACTCCCTCGACATCGGTGTCGCGTGAAATCTGTTCTAGAAGATTCTCGACCATGGAAAGCATCCTCGGGTATCCCGTCGTAAAAATATCATTAACAAAACTCTCTTTGGTGAAAGCAGATTCCATTTTCCTTGCAAAGGCCTGAGCAAGTGCCTCCCAGACGCGGTCTGATAACATTGCATCGCCGTCCTAAGCAAATAAAGTAACTTCAGCAAGGGCATACAGTCCAAGTGTGAGAGGAAACAGAGGAAATCACAAGTCAAAACGTGCTTTTTCTTCGATTTTTGTTTCGGAAGTTATAATTTGGAGAACCAAATTGTTTAAATAAAATTGGACAATCCCGGCGTAGCAAGAGGAGGATCAAAATGGCATTATGTTCAAAGGGATGAGATCTGCAGAGACTGAGAAACAGAGCTAGCATATTATTTCCTCAGGTTCTAAAGCCAAAAGGAGATCATTTCCTTAAGCAAACTAAGACAACCGACGTCGTGCACCAGAACAGGATGGCAAGTGATGCAAAAAAATCATTTTCATAACTTGTTCGACACAGACGAATCACCGCGCCAAATCTCCCCGCCGGCCGATGATGATGCAAGGCTTCAGCCGACTAATTTAAGAGCATGGTCTTCAAAGTCTCACAACACAACAGAGAAAACATCAAGGAGCATCCAAATGCAAACTACTACATTGATCAAGAGCCACGAAATCCCAACACACACTACTAAACCTGAATAACGTCGTCAAGCAGCAATACGTGCGTGAACGGATCCGTCGTCTGCGACAACACCCGCTGCAAGTGCCAAACCGCGACCACGACCGAGCGCAACTGCTCCATACACTCTTCGGTCCCCTTCCAAAGCGCATCGATCGCATCCCGTGGAGGCCCCAGGCTCTCTCCAATCAATATCGAAACAATCAAACCTCGTCCAATGTTCGATTTCGCCTTCGCATCGAATGTGGCATCAACACTCTTCACTCCCGTTCCCTCGTACTTATTCACCAACTGCGCCACGGTGGCCTTCAACTCGCCTAGATTGTGAAACACCTGCAGCCCAGTACCAACCTCCGCCTGGTTCAGCCCTTCCATGCCTCTCTCCAGCACCTTCATGGCCTCGCTCCTGATCTCATCCCCGATCTCGCGGTTCCACTCCAACTCGTCCTCACCCGCACCGCGCTCGTCGCATAGCTGGAGAATGTCCCGGTAGACCCGCGAGACCATGACGAGGCGGGGCTTCTCGGATTCGCGGAGGGACCGGACGATCTCTCGCAACACGCCGGTCCTGGAGTCGATGGAGGGGAGAAGGTCGGAGGCCTCGGATCGGACGCGGCGGAGGCAGGAGACGGAGGAGGAGGAGGAGCGCCGCTCCATAGGAACGAACACCAACCTGATTAACAAATTCTCGGTAACGACCGACCACCTTAACGTATCACCCTTCTTATTCTTTTAAATTCGATGCGATTGGAGGGTAAGATTCGGTTCGGTAAACAGAATCCGTTATATAGAAAAGGAATCTTAACGGATCACCTTCTTATTTTGAATTTAAAAATCTTTCCTCAAAATCCTAAATTAGTATATATGCGATAAATTTATCCCGAATTAATTTTTTGAGCAAAAACAACTCTAAACTAGTACACACGTGGTAAATTTACCTGAAGTAATTTTTTGACCATGAAAAACTTCAAACTAATATACTTGTGACAAATTTACCCTCCGTTAAAATGGATTAACATCACGAAAAATCACAAATTTATAAACTTTTGACAAACGGAGGGGTAAAACCCTAAACTGGTACACCCGTCAATTGTCATGTATCATCCAACTTAGCAATTTGACGGTAAAATTTAGGTGAAACTAACAGAGGCTAAATCTATCATAGATGTACAAATTTAGGGATTTTGAGGATCAAAAAAATTAATTTTTTGAGTAAATTTATCATAAGTGTATCAGTTTGGAGTTTTTTGTGATATTGGCCTTTGCTTTTTTGGAGAAAAATTACCAAGTTTGACTAGTTAAGACCGGATTCTTCAGAGACTGTATAGCGGACGTCTCCATTATTTCCTTTTCGAGGGTTGCACTAGTAATCTTTCCTAATGAGCCATACGGACGTACGTAAACACGTAGGATTTGTGCTGTGAGTTTTACATTCGAATTGAATTGTTTATTTATGAAACATTCTAGATTTGGGATTTAATATAGATTTGGGAAACTTCTGAGCGTGTGAGCGATTGTAACTCTGATTCTCTAATTATTAAAAAATTATTTGCTACTGGCTCTCTCCGTGAATGTAGGTATTCATACTCGGATCGAACCATGTAAATTATTAGCACCCTTTATTATTCCTCATTTTATTTTTTTGATAATTTTGCATAAAAAAAATCGTAAAATCCGATATTTTTTTGCGTTAATATACAACAAGAGAGTTGCCATGGTCATCTTCTTCGTCCTCTTTGAGAAGTGAGAGAATTATCGATTTTAGTTGCAGACTTGCACTGTGCAGTTATCGGTCACGTGGTCACGTGGGCTTGACCGGCGAAACTGAGCCTGAAAGTGGCCTATTTCGTCCTCGCCCACATTCGATTTAGATGGAGGGAATTATGCGGAACTGAACCGAATCGAACCGAACCGAACCTGACCGAACTGAATCGCTCCACTCGACTTTGTTTCGGATCGAATTGGAACAGACTTTCCAGATTGATTACATCCGTTTCGAGAATCCACGAATTCGACCTCGTGTTGTTAGTAGAATTTCCCGTTACTTTTTTTTCATCTCCGACCACTTGATAATTTCTGAACGTGCAAACAACAATTTTATTTTTGAAAAAATTACACTATTCATCCCAATACTTTGTTGCTATTTCTGATTAAATTTTTGTATTATTTTTTAGATTGACTAGTCGAATTTTTTCTGATTTCGCAAACTTTTTGATGAAGTCCTCTGTCTAAAACCCAATCAAAGTAAAATTCAATCAAATTCAGTTGATGCGGCCGTTTTTAAGTGTAAAACATGTGGATGTCCACTTCGACATAAATGAAAATATTTAGCCAATATAGATAATATGGGAATCAAATATTTTCGAACAAGACTAAAGTTTGGTGACTCGAAAGTGGAGGCTGAGTTACACTTAGTTCCCGAGTTGGCCCCTCGAGCTAAGGATAGGCTGGCGAAGCAGACATGGGCAACTAATGCAATGCAGGAGTTCCTAAAGAACCTTAAATGTCCCACAAACCTTGCTCGAGGACACGCGGTCCATCGATCGGAAGAGATCAATCCTGTTGATTTTATTAGGCGAGTCGTCGGGAGATTCCAATTCTTCATCGATAAGGATGATTAGGGCTGGTGAGGACAGCCGTAAATAGCGGACGACCACTTGGCGATGTTTTTTCTTGTCCAATCTTATGTCGAATGTAATTTGAACCTTAGTTTTTACAAATCAAAACCCAGTCAAGATGCCGAGTTCGAATAGTTCAGTAGAATTGGTGAAGAAGGAGAGAGAGAGAGAGGAGATTAAATGTGGTAGCCATATCAGAGGTAGAAGAAGCAAAACGTGGAAACGAGGACGATGGCCTCGACTATGGACAAGATCCTAAAGATGACGCCGTCAATGACAGCTTTTGGGACACATGACATGAAATTCTCTCTTTATGGAAGATTGGATCAAAATTTCAAGAAACATATCTAATAAATTAAAAGTCCAGGTACGACACTGCACATTAAATCAAAATTTATAGATCTTTTATGTCATTTTTCAAAATTAGAAAGAAAGAGCAAGAAGAGCGACTAAGCACGGTAGCTCAATAATAAGGAAAATGGTTTCATCATCAATCGTTCACGTGAGAACAACCTTCTCCTCTTTTCTTTTCTCAATCCTCAACATTTTTCAGGAACGCCACATTTTTCGCGAAACAAAGGCGCTCTAAATACCTTGTGATTTTCTCAAATTATGTCTTTCCAATTTTTTCCATTTCCTTTTTCACAGAGCCTAAAAAACGGTAGACATTCCTTAATTCACTTATTTTTACCCAATTTCTCTCCTGACATTTTTGCCCTCCGGTGTAGGACGGGCTATAATACCTTATCATCAAACAAAAAAACGGAAGCTCAGCTCCCACCGGGAAGGGGTAAAAGAGTAAAAGAGCCCTCCAACAAGGTTCACCTCCAGAGGAGAAAATAGATATAAAAATCCAGCTTAGGGTTTCGGTCGGTCTCCGCCGTCGCTCGTCGGTTTAAGAATGAGGCTCTGCCTCCCGGAGAGGCTCCCGGGTGTCCCGGCGGCGGCCGTTGCCGCCTCTCCGGTCGACGGCGGAGCCGGTGATTTCGCCGATCCAGGACGATGGGTGCGTCCGTCCTTAGCGGAGGACGTGCTCATCTGTCCGAAACGGCCGCCGTCCCAAAAAGAAAAAAAGAAGAATAGGGAAAATGCCACGAAAAATCCTAAACCATGGTACCTACGACGACTACGACGATGCTGCTTGCTTTCTGATCTGACCCGACTCTCCTCACACCCGCACAGCAATTCTCCGATGGCGATGCCGATCTTCCGCTTCGTCGACGAAACGCTCGGCGTTGAAACGCGCTGAGAGAAAAAGAGAGGCGATGACGAGATGCGGGGATACAGAAAATTACAGGCATCGAGAACCGACCGTATCTTGGCGGGGCGGCCAGATCCGGCGCGCAGCCATGGCGGGGTTCCTCCTCCGTTTTGCCTGATTCAAAGGCGAATCTGAGCCTCTCTCTCTCTCCGTCTTCCCACGATTCTTCCCCTGGTTTTCTTTCTCGTTTTCTTCAGCTCTGGAGTTCTGGTTTTTCCCAATTTGATGGTGATTTTTCTTGCGTTTTGCTCTGGAAAAAACGGGTTTTTTTTTTCTCGGGAAAATGAAAAAGGAAACACTTTGAAAAAAAAAAAAAAACCTGCTCGCCTGCAGTCGTGTTTAATTTTTCTTTAATTTTTTTGGCCTTTTCTATTTGTGTTTTATCGCGTTTGTTGCAGCACCAAATAAATTGGTTAAAAATTTAGGGGAATTCCGTAATAAAAATTAGAAAATCACGAAGAAGAGGAGCCGGTTTGGAATTGAGAACCGGTCGGACCCGGGTCATTGATGATACCGTCGTAAAGAAGGGGGGTAAAAATGGGAAAGAACCTCCGCAATATAAAAGCCAGGAGGCGAGAGGGGCAACCTTAGGGTTTAGCGTTCAGCTCATTAGCTTTGAGAGAATTGAGGCTCTGCCTCCCGGAGAGGCTCCTGGGGCGGTTGCCGCCTCTCCGGTCGACGGTGGAGCCGATGATTTCGCCGACCCACGGCGGGCGGGCGGGCGGGCGCGAGGGCGCGCGTGCCTCTTCGCGCGCGCGTTTCCGCCCGTCCGAAACAGCCGCTCCGCGAAACAAAGGGGAATTGAACTGAAACAACAGCGACCTTCGACCAAAAAAAAAAATTTTTTTTTTGAAACTACGACCATTCCCATAGCAGCTGCTTCCCGATCCGACCCGACCCGTTCTCTGCTTCTCCATTTTCATGCTCACCACCACCACCAACCCCCCAACTGTAACCTACGATCTCCGCAGAAGATTATTCTGGGTTTTACAGAAGAAAAGAAGGGAAATGCGGTAAGAGAGGCTGTGACGAAATGCGGGGTGAGAGAAGGCAGGCGCTGAGAACCGACCGTATCTTGGCGGGGCGGCCAGAGCCGGCACGCAGCCATGGCGGGGTTCCTTCTTCATCATTTTGCCTGATCATTGTCGAATCCGAGCCTCCTTCCCTCTCTCTGTCTTTCACGAATTTCTTCCTGAATTCTCTTCTTCTGTTCTTTTTCACTTTTCTTTCTTTTTTGGTTGAAGATTTGGGCCCTACATGCAGGGTTTTTCTTATTTCTCTAATGTAAAAAAAAAAATTGTTTCTTTCCCAATTTTAATCTCGCCTGCAGATTGCTCCGTTCTTTGGAAATTTTCCCCCCTTTTTCCTCCAAGATTTTTTTTCTCTCGATATATTTCTCGTGGCGAGTGAATAATAGTCATGTTAAATAATCTGTTTTTGGAAAAGTAACAAGAAAAATGATTAATGCATTAAAAATCGTACGATTATCTCATTATATTTATTTTAATCAGTGCCGACGAAGCCCTGTCCGTTTAACATCAGACGATCACTACCGTCCGTCGGTCACTGACTCCCGGTTTTAAGAAGAGGGAAAAAGCACCGGCCGTGGAGACCGAAATGCCCTCCCGCGATTTGTCCTTTTCGGGAAGGACGAAGGGCAGAAAGGTAAAATCGCCGAGGGCCACGGAAACCAGAAGATCATAAACCGAAACCCCACCCACAGGTGAGAAAACCTCCGTTTTTAGGGTTCGTCGGGCACGCTCGAATCTTGAATGAGGCTCTCTCTCCCCCTCTACCTCGCTCCCTCCGCCGCGGGATCTGATGGTGGAAGGAAGAAGCCCGTGATTTCACCGACGATCCTAGAACACCATTCGACCATGACTCGCTGTCTCTCTCTCTCTCTCTCTGTGATGCGTCTGCTTCATTCTCTCGGCTGCTTAGAGAATCTTGCTGCTGCTGCTGCTTCTTCTTCTTCTTCTTCTTCTTCACAGGCTTCTTGTTTGATGTTGCTCCTCATCTTTTCTGATGATCTGAAAATCGCCCCCCCACCCCCGCCCCGCCGCGGTCGGGCTCCGACCGCGCGACCCGACCCGGACCGGACCGACCGACCCGTAAGGCCGTGATGACGGTTGTTCCCCAAGTTTGGAAGAGCGTGTGCGCGCACGGAGGGATCTGGTCGGGGGTGGCATCGAGGGAAGCGCCCCACTCGCCCACGCCCGCATTCTTTTGCCCCCCTCCCGGCGGGGCGACCCGGATGGCCCGCGAACGGAAATGGACGGCACCGTCCCTTCTCTTCGCCGGCAACCGACTCTGGTCGCAGCCGAGGGGTCGGTGCGGCGGTGTCCGGCTTCTTTGGGTGGGTGGTGCCTCTCTGCCGCCCTTTGGCTTCGATCGTAACCCTGCAAACTTGGTCTGAGCCTAAGCATTTGCGTTTCTCTATCCTTCACCCACTCGATTTTCTCTTTCTTTCATCAAATTCGTGCGCTAAATTCCTTTTTTTTTTTTTACCATTTTGGCCCTTTTTTCCAATTTTTGCGAGCTATTTTATTGGTTTTTTTTTCTTTCCTTTTTATTTGGTCGATGGCTTTTTTTCAACTTTTACCATTTTGGTTCTTTTTCCTTTCTTTCTTTTATATTGATCATTCGTGTCATTTTTAAGTGTTATTTGGATGTGTTTTTATGTGCCGTGTGGGAACATGTTTCCTGCTTTGTCTATCTCCCAAATTTCCTCATCAATCGAAACTATAACTAAGACGGTCTGATGATTTGTATAATTAAATAAAGAAAATAGTAAATTGATCTTACTTTCTCGCGTACATCACAAGGTTGGTGTCTTTTTTTATTTCATATAATGATATAAATCATTGGATGTCTCGTACTTGAAAATCAAATTTACTAAAATTTTCCTTGGTATAGGAAATGGAAAGCAACGAGATGCTTCTTATACATTATTGCTAGCTAGGAAATAAACATAGTCGTATTTTTATTCCGACTTTAATCGGCATGGCATTCCGAGATCATGGGTTCGTGGTTTTAGTGTCTCTACTTTTCTTTCTCCATGTCGATTCGGTCGCATTGATCAGTGCCAATCTCGAACATGTGTCGATTTGGATCGCGACGTTGTAAATCTCTAGAGGAAACAAAAAAATCGAAAGAAGAAAAAGCCTCGACTCGGTCACGCGCTGAAACATCGAATTTAATTTTAGATCCTAATCGCCGTGCTTGATTAAATTTTGTAAACTCTCTGTTGTCCATCTAATTGGGATCCCGACAATAATTCTTGGTCTAGCTAAAACGACGACAAATGAAGTTGGGTCCCATGACGCATCGGGAAACGATAAAGAGGGAAGGTCGAATGACAAATGTACCCCTCGTGAAAGACCGGTCGACGAAACCCTCGAGGAGTGGGGACCACCAGGTCACAACTTTCTAAGTCCACGGGAGTCCGAATCCCCGCAAAAATCAAAACGGACCGTCGTCGTTTCGTTGGCCAAATGCAACCCCCCAAAAAAAAAAAAGGCAAACCAAACCTCGAATTTTTATCCTCAAAGAAAAACAAGATAATCTGGAAAATTTGAAATATAATATCAATTAATGCAATGGATGCCTTAATCTCTGTACAAAATCGAATTAGCGTTAAACCTCGCTTTGCTCGCTCGTGGGAACGAGTTGTAACCCTTCATGGCCATGGCCGCGGCCGTCGTAGTCGTCGTCTTCGTCGTCCGTGCTTCCGTTCTTATTGCTGAACGCGCCGGAAGCGACGATGGCGTCGGACTGCTCCGCCTCCGGGACCAGGAAGATCAACCCCAGCGTGGCGAGCCGCAGCACGTTCCGTATCAGCAGGGCCAGCCACAGGTTCCTGAAGTCCGTCCTCGTGACGTGCATGAGGCGCAGCACCAGCCCTCCCCCCATCTTGGAGCTCAGGAACCCCAGGCTGTCGATGCACATGAGCAGCGCGAAGAACATCCCTTCGATCCCCAGCGGGCACAGCTTGGTGCTGAGCACGATCATCGGCATCCACCGGATCCTACTCACCACCCGCGACACGCACTCCTCCGCGATCACGAAGAACGAGTCGGGCACCCCGAGCGCCAGGTTCCACCTCCGGACGAAGACGAGGTCGAGCATCCCCGTGATGGCGTACAGGAACTGCACGGAGAACAGGAGCTTCCGGAACGGGCAGTCCTTGAGGGCTTTCTGGTAGATGAGGACGCCGACCATGGAGGCGAGCGCGCCGACGGCGTAGACCATGCCGACGAACTCCTGGGAGAAGGCCGGGCCGGCCTCGGGGTCGGTGTACCAGTAGAACTGGCCTTCGTGCGTGCTTATGTTGAGGGAGAAGGAGAGGTACATGTAGAGGGATGGCTTCCATACTTGGGGGAGCTTGATTGTTTCGTACATGCCTCTCATTGCTACTCCTATCTTCTCCGTGGCCTGCGCACATTATAGTCAATGCCGATGCTGAAGTCGACGCCTCGACAAAGAAAATCTTGTACAATGCTATTGTTCGATACCTATTTTTTTTTTTTTTTTTTTGTAACCCAGGGAACCCCTGCACGGCCGACAGCCGGGGAGTAAACCCTGAGGGCGACACGTGCTAGCCACCACACACGTGCCACCGGTTAAGTCACCCTGCGGCGCCCGGGATTCGAACACTCAACCTTTTGCGAGAGGAAAAGTGCGCGTTCCAGCAGCGCCACCCAGGCGAGTGGTTGTTTGTTCGATACCTATTGATCTTTTTTATTTCCAAACTTTTGAGCTTACTCTCGTTTGATGTGTAATGAATGAATCAGAATGCTTGGTTTCGGTGATTTAATGTTAATGCACCACATGAAACATCTTTCTCGGATTTCCACGCTTTGAAAGGACGTGCGAATTACGTTACAATGTTAAGTTGAAATGTGTCTCTCTATAGACAAAGAAATGCCTTAATGTACCGTAAGGTAAGTAATTCAAATGGGAATTGATAATCCAGAACACACTAATGATAAAACTTGGTAAATCGCTTTGGTAATTTCATAGAAGAATTAGTCAATTTGGAGCGTCGGTGAGTTATGCAAATAAAATTTGATAGGTTTATATGAAAATTGCTAATCTACAAATGACTAATTTTTTTTAATGATTTCATAAAATTATCTGTAAATTACCAACATATTACATAGAAATGTAAATTACCAACATATTACATAGAAAGAAAGTCACCGATCATTTGTTTTACGGGAAAAGTGTCGGAAAAATCTTAAACCTTTTGTATTTGTGCCAATTGAGTCCTAAACCTTTTGTCTTTGTGCCAATTTAGTCATTCCGGCTAATTTTGGCCCGATTTTGTTGACATGGATACCGGCCGGCCTACGTGACACCGCCGACGCTACCGTGGACAATTTAAAATAATATTTTAATATATATTTTAAATTTTTTATTAATTTTCTGATTTTTTTCTTTTTTTTTCTTTTTTTTTTCTCTTCTCCCTCCTTACTCTAGCCGGTCGCTGGACCGGCAACCGGCTAAAGGCCAGAGACCAGAGGCCAGTTACCGGCGAGGCTTGCCCTTGCCGGATGGCCACGAGGGCGGCCTCGCTGGCCATGGGCGACGCTCGCCCTCGCCAGCGATGGCAAAGGCGAAGGCGAGCCTCGCCATGGCTGGGCGTGGGCGGCCGGCCATGGGCGAGGCTCGAACTCGCCGGATCTGGTGAGATTGAGCTTCGCCCAGCCATGGCGAGGCTCACCTTTGCCTTTGCCATCGCTGGCGAGGCCGAACGTCGCCCATGGCCGACTGCCCTCACCAGCGGTTGGGCGAGGCTCGACCTCCCTGGATCTAGCGAGCTCGAGCCTCGCCCAACCATGGCGAGGCTCGCCTTCACTGTCGCTAGCAAGGGCGAGCATCACCCATGGCCAGTCGCCCTCACCAGCGGCTGGGTGAGGCCCGACCTCACTAGATCTGGCGAGCTCAACCTCGCCCAGCCATGGCGAGGCTCGCCTTCGCCATCATTGGCGAGGGCGAGCATCACCCATGGCCGGCGAGGGCAGGGCAAGCCTCGTCGGTGACCGGCTTCTGGCCTGTCGCCGGTCCGGCAACCGGCTAGAGTAAGGATGGAGAAGAGGAAAAAAAAAAAAGAAAAAAAATCAGAAAATTAATAAAAAAATTCAAATATTATTAAAAATTGTCCACGTTAACACCAGCCATGCACCTAGGCCAGCTGGCGTCCATGTCAGCAAAATCCAATCAAAATTAGCCAGAATGACTGAATTAGCACTATATCAAAAGATTTAGGACTCAATTGGCACTATATCAAAAGGTCTATGATTCAATTGGCACAAAAAAAAGGTTTAGGATACAATTGACACCAATGCAAAAGGTTTATGATTTGTCTGACACTTGTCCCTTTGCTTTACCAATAAATTCTGTATTTTTTAGGCGCGGAACAATAATTCCGCCGGTGTTATCGTCTAATAAAATATTATTCGGATCTACACTCAATCATTTTGCAGCTTACTCTTGATGAACCTGTGAGGAAGAAGTTTCTGTTGTATCTTTGATCTCTAAATTTTCCAGTATATAAGATAATTAACGCGTGCAATCTCTCCAGCGGAAAATTGAAGAAGAATATAGAACAAGGCATAAGAAGATTTGCTTGTAGCTAACGTCAATGGGGATATATAATGTCTTGTTCATATCAATGGACAAAGACATTTCGCCTGTCAAAACATAGTATATAACCACCTTAAAAAAGGGTTATCTACACGTCATTCCTCTTTGGTATTTTATCAAGAAATCTCACATGAAAAATCAATTTTTGGTGCAGTTTTTACATGCATTATTGTTGCATGCATCATCTTCACACGTGGAGTGCGTTTGATTCGGCATTTTGAAAACTCCTTAGTTTGGTCAACATCATTTCGGCCACCAAAAACAACCCGATAAAAACTAGGGGTAAGCAAGATGGACCGCCCAAACCGGGACCGGACCGGACTAACCGGTTTGGTCCGGTTCTCTGGAATATCGGTCCGGTTCCCGGTTCCTAAAAGTGGAACCGGTTTCCGAGCTGTCCGGTTCCCGTATCTAGGGTAGGAACCGAACCGATAAATATATATTTTTCTAATTTTTTCATATATATATATATATATATATATTTATTTACTTTTTAAAATTTTTGAAAAAATAGAAAGCCTAATATAATTTCCCAAATTCCCTCTTGCGTTTACCAATAAATGATTAGTCCTATTGGAACCGGTTCGATCCACGGTCCAAAGACTAGCCGGTCTGGTCCCTGGTCCTAGAAACTGGGAATCGGTCCTTCTGGTCCAGTTCCCGGTTCTTGGGTTGGATTGGACCGGATCGGAAACCGTTCACCCCTAATAAAAAGCCCGAGTGACGAGATTAGGTCAAAAAATCACCCCGGAAAAGGGAATCACTAGTCAAAGCTGCAGTAACCCTGTTGAACCGAAAAACTAGTTACGGCCGTGAAAACAGCGTCGCCTTTTTTTTCGATATTTACTTCGATTCGTTTTAATTTACGCTCATCTCCCGCCTCGTTCACGAACTTTATAAAACGAGCAATTCAACACGGAGGATCTCAAGAGAGATCTCGTGCTTTCTTTCGAGAATAATACAGGCTGGAGATGGCAGTTCCATGGCCATTTTCTTTGTTTTTTTTTCTAGCTAAAAGATAATTTTTAGTAAATAAAGGAAGTGTTTCTAAGGCAGGTGCTTCTGGGTTGTTATACTTCGATGAAAAAAATATGTATTTTTCCGAGGTTGAAAAGCCAATGCAAGTCAGAAAGTCCACCGCTTAACCTAACCTCTAAAGATAATCTACTTATAATTAAACCACAAAGCACTGATTAAGATGTTCTTGTTTTGGTCAAAACCCTGATTAAGATGTTCAAGCTTTCGTTTTCACACCCTTTTTAACGATTAGAAACCCGTCACCGCAAGCAACTTTGCCCACGATTCATTCATTTGTTTTAGCTTATTCAATTTAATTCTTCCCTGTTTTTCCTTGGTAAAAAGAAAAAAAGGGGGAAAGTAGGACTTGAACGAGACAAATCGCCTAAACTTTCATCGTTGACCCCCCTGACCCGAGAAGGAAGGTTGAGTTTCGATCCGTTGTGAACACCTTCACGCCACACACTTCTCAGATTTGGATTCGCTACCGTCATTAAAGTTGACCAAAACCCTAGATGGAGACACGTCCATCTTTAAATCTCCATTGACTTTAACGTTCGTTGACTTATTGATTGGCCAATTAGCTAAGACGAAGCTCTAAGGGTCGTACCCAATTTAGCTATAAATTAGAGATGCTCGAGGTGAATATTTCTATGGGTGTTTTCTTTGTATTGCGGAAATATTATTTAAGAATTAATCCGTAGCACGCAAAAAAAAATAAAGATGTGACCATGAGAAAAGCATTGCGAGAATTAGAATTATTGCTGACCTTTTGCTTCTTCTCGGAATGTAGAGCGTCTGTCCTCCCTTCATGAATTACAAAACCAAGACCTATCAACAAAGCTGGCGGGATTGCTAATATCCCCAGAGCTCCCTGCAAAAAAATCACCACCACAACAAAAAATAATTTGAAATTCATCTAAAATAAGATTAGTGGCAATTTCCAAAGGATAAATCTTGCGTGCCGCGAAATTGATTATTACCGCACCCATTTCCTTAAATTTTTCTTTAACGAAGGCTTTAAAAGAGTTAGATATTCTCTCTATCTTACGTTTGATTAATTCGGACGTGTGGTCACCGATCATTCGAACGTATTTCAATTGACAAAGTATAGTGTTCTGAGAAATCATTTCCAACATAGCACTTGAGAAAATCATAGTGAGATCAAAACACGAATATTTACCCTCCATCTCTGGTAAATAAAGTCAGCATCAAACGAAGAAATTCTGTTCAAGATTTGCTGACATTCGTGCAGTTAAATTTGACTGTGAAATGGTCAGCCTTTCTTTAACGTGTAGGCCCTGTAGGGCCAGGAAATCCCAATTGTCCAAGATCTAGTTAATTGATAATCTAACTAATCCAATAAAAAATGCCAGCTAAATATTCTTAATTTGACTAAACTAAACTTAAGAAGAAAAAATTAGAAACTTTGAGCTGACCTGAGCTCCGATATGGTGAACGAAGAAGCCGCTGGTGGAGTACCCAATCAATGCTCCGGCGGACGAGCACAGCCCGCAGAGGCTCTGCATGTCCGGCGCGAGCGCCGCCATCTCGATGCTGTTGCGCGCCACGCACGCGTCGATGGTCACGTCGGCGATGGCCACGGCGGCGGTCAGCCCCACCAGGAACGCCAGCGCCTCCGGCACCGGCAGCCTGCCCCCGGCCGCCACCGCCATCGCCGAGGTCGCCCCGAGGACCCCTGCGGCGACGAAGTAGGGCCTCCGGCGGTAGCCCATCACGGGGAAGACGTCGGTGAGGAGGCCCCAGAGGGGCTTCATGATCCAGGGGATGTAGTAGAGGCCGCTGTAGAGCTGGACGGAGGAGGGCTGGACCCGCTGCACGTCCTTCCAGTAGAAGTCGGAGACGACCCTGAAGAAGGAGCCGGCGAAGCCCTGGTTGAGGCCGTACACGACGAAGACGCCGAGGATGAAGGTCGGGTTGAGGTTGGCGGACAGCATCTGGAGCCATTGGATGGGCTCGAGGAGGAGGGAGAAGAGGCGGTTCTTGGAAGCTTTCGGTTGGAAAGCGGCGGCGGCAGAGGGCGGCGGACGGTGGTGGTCGGAGAGGGACTCTTGGACCAGTTTCTCGGTTTCTAGGGAGCCCATTTTGCTGAGGTTTCAGGGAGAGGGAGAGAGTCTTTTCATAGGGAAGAGTTGACTCTTGGGGGATACATTGCTGCAAGCGTAAGGTTTGGGTTACACGAATGGATTCTTTAATCAATATAGAGATTGAACTTAGGGAGGTTCCTTCCCAATACTTATAATTTTCACATATATGCAAAAATTATTCGTTAGAGTAGTAAAATACTTTTTTGGGTTGGGACATGCATTGTGCTTGGTGCATCTTTAGTATATAATTTTGTTTGTGGGGAATTAATTTATCGGGCATGATCTACACATGTCTCCAATTAATTTGAAAGCAAATGATGAGGTGGTCCAAGGATCATCCCACCCCATATGAGTTCTCCTCTCAAATTCCCACCTCTATACTTGCTCCACTTGCACACATCAAGAGAAAGAAGAAGCCCTTAACCTGAGATGTGAAGGGAGGGGTTTGGAGGATTTGTTGGGAGGGGTTAATTTAGATTATAGTTTATATTTGTACATTGAAAACCAAACAAGGAAAAAGGGTCTTAACTATCCATCTCTTAATGGAGATATGAAATATTTATGTAGAGTAAAGTAGGGATGGGCACCAGAGCAGGACTGGGAATCGCATTCGCCGTGCTCGCCACCGTCCCATGCCTCATGTGTGGTGGGGCGGGGTACGTCCTCGCAGGGAATCATATATCCTGCGCGAGAAAACTTTCATTAGCTGTTCAGAATCGTGAGTTAAAAACATGTATAATTAATAAGAAAAATTTAATGAACCATGATTACTTTATGCTTATTCGTATATAGTCGGTTATCGAAAGTATCACAATCTCACGAGCGTGACTCTACTTATTTACATTAATTTTTCGGTATCGCTCGCTAAATAATATAGTAGCTTTTATATTTCTTCACCTTTAAATAAAGTGGGTAATAACTTCGAATGAGAGATATGATCTAATATCATCAATATTATTATATAATACTTGACTGCATATTTAAGTTACATGTGATTAGTAGATTGGAAGCAAAGATGAGGACTGATGAGTGTTAATTTTTTTTATCCCACGAGAATAACACGTGCGGGTGACTCGTAGATTAACACTTAGCTTTGAAATTCGAGGAGAATGACTTCAAATTCGGAGGATATGAGAAATCATTTCTTTGAGTTTGGAACTTGGGAGGGGGAACTCCCCCAATTTTCTAGGACGAGATGACAGTTGTTGCGACATAATCAAACGCAACCACCCTTTTGATAAATGATTTGTATGTCCACACTTGCATAAAAGAATGTCAAAAATCGGAATCTGCGAATAAGCACAAGCTGCCATTGATCATCAAGGTGAGGTTTGCTTGCTCCACTCAAGCGCCATATCCATGGCGGAAGGAAGCACGAGATGTTGTTCAATACCACTGTAGGAAGTTTATTTTCAGGAGCGCCATATCCATGGCGGAAGGAAGCACAAGATGTTGTTCAATACCACTGTAGGAAGTTTATTTTCAGGAGGTGCGCTCATTGCCGGGGAAATCTCGAAATAGGGCGGTCGCCATGGTCGGCGGCGCCATTTTCACGAGGCTATTGGCAACATCTTAAAAGAAGATTAGAGAGATGACCCATGAAGACATGTGAAATCGATTCGAAGCTGCCTGAACCATGACACTCGACTGGGCATCATGAAATGTGCCGCAAGTAAAAGCAGGAAAATGGTCAGTGCACCAAATCAGACCCCCTTTTCGATTTCTCGAGCGTCTTTCTCACTACTATGAATGGGACCATTAACGCTCGCCGCAGCTCGAGTCGCGTTCCACTAGCACATCATCCCAAACTTTCAGGTCTAAGCACGCGGGAGTCGAGAGCCGACTCTTTAACACTTTTCGCCTTTCCGCCAGCATCCTAATGTGAAAAGAGATGCTGTTTCTAGGAAAAGGTCCATGCTATGGCAGTTCAACTGCTAGACTAAATCCAGTGCTGCACATTCTTCGTTTGTACACTGAGTTTCACAAACGGAAGTACATGCTACGTTTGCTTACCCGTCTGGCCGATATCGACCTTGCAACGCTTCATATTCATACGATCTATAAGAGCACTAAAGGCAATTGTAGATGAATGAACAACCCACTAACTCCAGTTCAGCATGTCCAAATGTACGTCGCAAATACATCTTGTTCATAGAAAAAAAGAGGTGCCGCAGAACCTTTAACCCCAACTCATTCAGTTTGTTTCCTCCTACGATGAGAGAATTACTGTTGGATAAATGATCAAGCAGCAAGAAGCTTCTGAATGTCCTTCTGCAAGAAGACTCGAGAATATTAATCGAAAGAACCGCTCAAATCGTGTTCAAAAGATTATCTGCACTGAAGTCTTTTGTTAGTTGTTTCTAGAATCACCAACTGTGACATATAGATCTCCTTTCTGGTGAATGGGAGGTGTAAAAACTTATCATTGTCAATGACTCAGGTGAATTAGTGCACTGAGAACACAGAAGTTACAATGGACGTGCAGCGCTCTCTGCCTCAGAAAGAGAAAGAGTAAGGACCGGCTTTTTCTATGTGAACAGCAAGGTGAATGATTATAAAGCACACCGTAGATACAGTGATAAACATACAAGACTGTAACCATCCCCAAGCAGTCATGAAAGCCAGTAGTTACCATGCTTCAGAACATCAGTTACTTAGGCAACTCTCCAAACTTCACAAATTAAATAAAAACGTACCTCTATTTGAAAAGGAGACGTTGTTGGAGGATATCTCTCCACAACTTTGCCATTTTTATCAACCAGAAACTTCTCAAAGTTCCACTTGATCAGGTCACCCAAAAAACCTCCTGCAGTTGATTTCAGAAACTGATATACAGGGGCCGTACCTGGTCCATTAACGTCGACCTGTTTCAAACAGAACTTGAACTCAGTTGTTCATTCCAGTCATCACTTAAAATAGAGGAAAGAATGTATGTGGGAGTCAAACCTTATCAAATATCGGAAACTCTGCTTTAAACCTTGTACAGGCGAATTGCTTAATCTCAGGATTTGAACCGGGCTCCTGGCCACCAAATTGATTACAAGGAAAAGCCAGTATTTCAAAACCTGTAACATGGACAGCCCAAGGTGTTTCCCATCAATTTCAAAGATTTGGAAAGAGGACTAACCAAATCCAAATGCACAGAGAAAATTCACACACAAACATGCACGCACGCACATATATATGATATCATAGGGAAGAGGTCTCCCACTCTTTCCATCACAGCGAAGAAACAGCCATCCCTCCCTTCCATTAGAGCCAGAGGTCTCTCCCTCTCTATCTCTCTCTCCTCACATCAAAGCAAAGAACGTATTTCACTCTCTAGGAAGTGGATCTCTTCCTGTCTCTCCGATATAGCAAAGTATATAGCTCTCTCTCTCTCTTCCCCTTCGTCAGTGGAGGTACATCTTTCTTTCTCTACCCCTATCTTTCCATCCACTCATCCAGGAAATACTACTGCGTCCCTCTCTCTCTCTCTCTCTCTCTCACACACGCGCGCGCGCACGCGCACACAGAGGAAGCATCTCTAACTGTGCCCTTCATAAATGTGCATGAATACCAAAAAAAAAAAAAGGATGTAACTAACACGATTGGCTAAATATATCACCAGAAAATGGACTCGAACAAACACTCCAATAGCTGTGCACTTGTGCATTTGGTAAAAGTCCCACAGAAAAATATAGTAAAGGACAACTGACTTCTAGAACACTGTTACACTCAACTGCAGCAAGACCATTGGACAATCCTTTTAGTGATCTGTGTAAGACACGCTATCACAGACCAAACAAAAGAAAGCTTGCTTCAGAAGATTTAAATTGTGGTTGGAACCCATGTCATTGACAAAAACTAAAATTGAAAAGCATAATGATTGACACAACTTGTCGTAGATGGAAATTCAGCACCTAATTAGATGGTCTCGAGAACTTGAAGAAAACTTCTACTTGAATCTTTTGGCATCTAGGATGGACAAAACTCCAGCGCTATTGCACGTTTGCAGATGAGTGGGAAAAGACACCAACATAGTAAGGTGATCCACATCCTTTGGTTGAATCACGATTTCATTGCCTATATTTACTGATTTATGATCCCTACTAGCTCGAAGATAGTAGTCTAACTTCCAAACAGAGGAAGCTTTTAAGGAATTCTATAACTCTATTCACAATTTCATCTCACCTTGAGTCTTGTACTTCTCATATACGTGCGAGAGCTCCTTGTAGTTTGATGTCGTCAAGCCACTAAATCACAAGAAAATTCTTCGATGAGACTGTACGTCCAATAAATCAAATCAGACAATCGAAGGCGACAAAGCAATTACCATTTGGAAGCGACGTTCACAATTAATAAGACTTTTCCCTTGAATTTGCTCAGAGAAACATCCTTACTGTCAATGTCCTGAACCATGCAGAAAAATGTGTGCAGCAATTAGCAATTATCACGAATAAAGTAGTTCCACCCAAAATTCAGTATATATACAGAAAAATGTATAGTAAATAGTGCCCACTTATAGTCTGAGGTGCCAAAACAACAGAGAATTCTTAGCCATGAAGAGCACAACTCTTAATTCCGAGGATTTGCGTACCTCGGAGAATTTGCAAACCAGTTCATCCATGCGCACAAACAGCAAATAAGAGACTTCAGCTTCAGCTTAATTTCTTTCAGTCCAAAATTGAAAGCACCAAGATTAAGTAGCTAAAATGTGCTTCCTCGTCACCGAAAAGAAACAATAAAACAGAGAAGATGCGAAAACAGTGTGGCGGCTGAGACAATTAGGATATATATTTTTTCTAATTCCCAAAGTAGATTGGGCAAGTCATCGTAATTGCTTGATTCTACAGAAAATAAATCAATAAAAACGTCCTTACCAAAAAAAAAATCAATAAAAACGTCGTTTTTAAGTGAATTACGAAGCTCCCTGATGATCAACAAAAGAAAATGTCGTCAAAAACCAACTTTCAGCCACAACCAAGAAGAGAAATTTCGATACCTTCACAGTGAAATCGTAGAGGGTCTTCCCGGTGGCAGCTCTAGCATGAACACCCGACGAGCGAGAACTGGGGCCGAGTCGCCGCGACGAGCTCGGAAGCGACAACGGCAACCCGTTAACGAAAAAAGCCGATTCACAGGAACCAAGCGAGGATCCTAACGGGGACCAAGAAGAGGTTGGAACGGAGGAGCTCCGATTCGTTCTGGCTCGATGGAAGCCGTGCGAAGGAGTGGAGAAAGCAGCCGAGAAAGGGGTCGAAGCCATGCTCTGACGGGTCTGCGGAATTGAGGTCTCGTTGAAGGGAAGATTGGAGAGTTGCAGAGAAAGAAGACGCGAGAATGGCGAACGGCCAATGGCGAAGTGGAGAAGAAGAAGGCGCTGTGGAATTTCGTGGGACTTGATTGGCAGCGGGAGGTGTTGCTCCACGTGGTGCTGTTTTGTACGGAGAAATGGTGTTTTTCTCCATTGTTCCACGTGGATATTAGGAGTCAGAGAGATGGACTGACTAAACCAAGACCAGACTGACTGATTTGGTCAGATTCTCGAGAATATTGATCTAATTCTCGGTTCCTAAAAATAGAACAAGTTTTCGAGCAGTTCGGTTCCCGGTTCTAGGATGGGAACCGGACCAGACCAGATAGATAAATATATATTTTTTTAATTTTTTCATATATATAATATTTAATTTATATATGAAAAATATTTAATATTGATCCCATTGAAACAGATTGTTCAATTTTTTCATATATTATATATATTTTTTCAATTTTTTCCATGGCCTTATGAAATCAAATCAGAACTACAAAAGAAAGAACGGAACAATTGATTCCCGATTCACAAATAATATTTAATATTGGTCCCATTGGAATCGGTCCGATCCACGATCCCAAGACTAGCCGGTTCGGTCCTCGGTCCTAGAAACTGGGAATCGGTCCTCCCGGTCCGGTTCCCAGTTCTTGGGTTGGACAGAACCGGATCGGGAACCGCTCACCCCTAGTGGATATTATGTCAGCCGAGTTTTCAATTTTAGTCCTCTTTTTATTTTTTCTTCTTTTGAATCTTGTTAACTTAATAATTTTAAACTTTTATTGCAATGATTATATAAAATATAAATGAGATTATTTATTGAAAATCACAACTCTTTTTTTTACGGGGGCGTTTAACGAATTTTTTTTTTCCCTTTGTCCCTTTCTGATCCATTTCTCTCCGAGTCTCACCAGTCTTCCGAAAAAAAAAAGGAAAAAAAAAAAGAAATGTTTTTTTCCGGGTTCATTCCACTGTTATAACGAAGAATAAAACAAATTGAAGGATAAAAAAAATCAAGTATAGCAGTATTTGCGACGACAAAATAAGAGAACAATAGCCCGACAAAATGTTTCCTGTTCGATTCGCTCAGCAAGAAGCAGACCTACGTTAAAAACACCCTTTTTTTTTTTTAACATTTTGGTAAGGCTAGTGAGTACAAATTAAAATAGTGAAGCAGAGCACATGGAGCGATCTCCTTATTAGCAAGAATCATGCAACATGATCTTTTTTCTAAGCAAGGGCCCCTTTTGCCTTTAGGGCTTTCTCGAGGCCTTCAATTCAATGTTTCTCAGGACATGGCCTTCCTCGGCAGAGAGATCCGCATCAGCACGGTTCCTCTCTTCTCAAGAATCCATACAGCTAGCTCTCTCTCGAGCCCGAGGTTTAGGGTCCGCCTCGATGAGAAAATAAAATGGAGTACCTAACCACATATCTTGACATACCAAGAGCTACGAGATCACTTCTTCCATTACAGGGCGATGGAGTGATCGTACCATTCGAGCCTTTCTTTTCATGCTTTTTTAGGATGTGTGGAAAAAAGAGTTCAAGTTTGTCAAAATAACTGGATAGGAAAGCAAATGTAACTTGTCATGTGAAAAACATCAATGTATATCTACCAATCATAGTAAGTAATACGGTGAGCAATTTCTAATATTAGGAAAAGTAAATGTTGTACGAATCAATAATTAGTAATCTCTAACACAATTTCTTGTTTTCCTCGCGAAAAGGCAGTTTCGAATCTATCCAAGATTAGTACTCATCTGATGTCCTGAGACTAGTTTCATGTACCTAATCATGTTGGGGCCTCCACAGGGGGGGGTCAGCCCACCATGGGCAGCCCAACTTGGTCGAAGTTCCACAATTTTGCTAATGGATCATGTCATATAAGTTGGGCATGGAATGAGTTAATAAAAGTTGCCCAAAAAGAACTGTTTACTGTTGAACAGATTCATCAGGCCTGGGCCTGTGAAGATGAATCTTCTCATCGTGTTCTCCTTGCTGCACCAGATGATGACGGGTCTTCTTCTGCTACACTTTTTCCTGGCACAAACCTTTGTAGTGAAGATGCGCGCGGGAGTGTTTAGATTTACCCGAGTCCTTTAAGTTGGGATGATGAGATCTAATCTGTGCTGGATCGACCATAGTCAGCAACAGGATCCATATGTTCTTTTGAGCAATCCCTCGTTGCGATCGGTTTAAGTCACTTTCCGGACATTTAATGATCATGTGATGCCAATGACTTGGTATATCTTTCCTTGGTTGGGTGACCCTTTTCTCGATTATGTACCGAGTAGGATTAAAGAAGGGATTGATAGAATTGTCCTCATTATCTAACTAATACGAGTGGATTGCTGAACATTTTATTAGGAGTCCGCTCTATTCTTTAGTTGTCACGAAAGGTCCATTGTGAGATAAGCTGCAGAATTTAGATAAGATAATTGCCTGGACCTAGGAAACTTCCTCAGTCCCAATTAGATTAGTCAAGTGTCTTGTGACCTTATGATAAACCCATTGATGAGACTTTCAGCTTTTATAAGTTTTGGTTTCCTTGGAGATGAAAATGTTTCTAGTTTCTTCCCATCGTGGTTAACCTATTTCTTAATCTAACTCTTGCGGCAAATGAGAGTGACATCCAAGGGAGTACCACTCAGCAGAATGTTGATTGATCAGGTCAAATGTTGGCTTTTTAAGAAGGGTTTTGTTAACAAGACCCTCTTAAAAATGTCTGTACGATCAATGATTTAGAGATTGGTTTTGCGTGTAATGTGCAATTGCTTGTCGGAATGGTACTTTTCTCAATCCGGCTAATTACTAAAACACATCCTAGCTTCGCCGAGCTTACAAATTTCTTGATTTCATCAAAATTGGATCAGAATTACAAGTTCTCTTAACCTGCACTCTTCAGTATAGTTAGACTAAGGCCCCGTTTGGTTCAGCATTTGGAAGGAGCTTTTGGCCTCGAAAGCCCCTTGGGGAAATGTTGAATCCAAATGTTTTGTCCCCTAACTACCCTCACTTATTTTGGCTTATTCCGATTTTGCCTCTCTCGTTACTATTCATCTTCTTCGTGAGGCAGCCGGCAAGAGAGGCCAGTGAGGGCGGCCGACATCGGATCGGGCCGGCGAGGTCGCACGACCCAGGCGACGGCCACCTGAGGTCGCGCGACCGTCCAGGCACCGCCGGCCTGGGTCGCCCGAGGCCGTCTGCTGCCTGGGTCGCTCGGGGTCGGGCGACAGCTGCTGGCGGCAAATCTGGCTCGCCGGGGATCACCTGACCACGGGCGACGGCTGCCGGCCGCCGTAGGCCTTCGCCGGCTTCGGCGAAGGGTACGGTAGGTTTTTTTTTTAATAAAAAAGATAATTCCCAAAGTCTTTTTGCAAAAAAAAAAATTGACAAACACTATTTAGGCCAAAGTACCTTTATAAAGAATTTTTTACCAAACGTCATTTGCATTTCCCTAAGGGGCTTTAACCTAAAGGTATTTGTATTCTCCCAAGTAATATTTGGAAAATTGAATCAAACGGACCATAAATCTATCTAGCAAAGGAGTGTCTTGCTAATGACTAGCTCTTCTTTTCTAAACCTTTCATGAATTTTCCCCCGTCTTCTAGCTCTTGAAATCAATCACAGTGCCCATATGGTCCAAGTGACCTGCACCTCCGCCTCCACCTCCGCCTCCACCTGTCTCTTTAGTATTGGATATTTTCCTGTTGGGAGACGAGTCAAATTTGGTTCATCCATCAGCACATAGAAATGCCAATATTCTATGATCCCACACATGACTTTTCTCAGTGACTCCGCCATGCTCTAGCCATTCATTTGGCTTTGACTGAAATGGCACTCTGAGCACACAGAATAAGAGTGACCCCTGAATTCTCTCTCTCTCCCTCTTTTCGTACCACTTCATTTCTATTCAATCTGCCTGTAAAGTTGATGTCCCACCTAACTAGTACCAGATTATTAATACTTCTTTAGGTGCTGATAACTTTCAACATCGCTCCTTTGGCCTTCGTGGCAATCTTGTCCTTTCCAATGCAAAAAGATGATTTCGTTCACATTATTACACAGTTGCTTTTGCAGATGCAGCCCATCGATCTCTAACCCCCCATTAAAAAAGACCACCTTTAATAGCAACCCCCCAAAAATTAACTGTATCCCCGCACGGTGGAGCTCTTACCAATGCAACAAAATCCAAATCTGGCGATCACATGAGCAAATTCATTATCGTTTTAGGTAGAAGCAATCACGCGATTTTTTGAAATTAAAAATTGCTGAACTTGTAGAGAATACAATGCTTCATGCGTTCTGTTTCTTGAATTGGGGGTTGCTGCTGATAGGCTCTTGTTGGGTTGTCCCGAATACGTTTTGTCACACACAAATGGACAGAAGCATTTGGAAGGCCGTGGACAAAGTGGAATCTGGACCACAACCTGATAGGGCAGTAATGTCTGGCGGTGACGTGCGAGCCCAGATTTATCTCCGGAAGTATACGGAAAGTCAGAAAAAGATGCTGAAAAAGACCAATTTCTTGAAGCAAAACCCATCGCTGCTCAAGATGATACGGTGACAGATATTCCTTTTACTGCTGCTCACAATGTTTTCACAAGAATGAACTCTGGTCCAAGAGTTGACGTGCAAGCGAGATCCGTGTGAATTCGACATCGGAGAAAGTTCTTCCTTTTCTGCTTTCAGCAGTTATCTAGGCAAAGCGTGTGGCTCAAACACATAATTTTCAGGAGAGGTCCAACAAATTTCCCTTTCTGATGCTTGTGCTCCAATCACTTTCTTTCCAGTTAGCCCAGAGAAAGATAGAGAACCATTTTCTTTCCGTGTTCAAACGAGCTAAACTCTGGCCAAATCCAGTCATTCAACTGAATTTTGTGGGGAAGATGGAAAAAAAAAACATGTCCAAAAAAAGCTTTTGGGGATAAATTCTTGGACACCAAACGTTGTGATTTAGAGACTAACTAGGATTCAAATCCTGATTACAGAAAATTCAGAAGAGAAAGAGAAAATCTGTTCTTGGAATTAACCAAGAAATGGGTATTTTGGGGTAGTTTCTTTTTTTTTTTTGTTATAACTTCAATAAGCAACATTATTTAGTAAAAACATACACTCATATATGTATATTAAAAAGTGTAGCAAAACAAATAACTCCGCAGTATATAACAGTTTACTCTGTTTTCAGAAAAGAATAGCAACACTAATTATATTAAATTTGATTTAAAAAGTCGATATGCATATTAAATGACGTATAAATGCATTTCTTGGGACCTTAACTATGACTGATTGACTGTATGTCACATTATGGGTATAATAATTCTACCGATTATTTTTATCGGGAGTTATACCTTTAAAAATTTCCAATTAATACCCGTATGACACTTTTACCTCTAAATTAATTTTCGTCCCATAAAAAACTCAAATTTTCGTCTCACAAAAGAAAAAATATCTCAAATTGATATCTTTAACTCAAATCTACCATCTGTTAAAGTACATACGAATTGATACACGTAGATTTTTCATGTCGGATCTGCCGTTCTTCACATCGGATTCGTCTGACTTGCGGTCATTCGTCGTGCGGATCAAATGCATCACGACAGTGCCGATTTCGAGTGTTACGTGAGTCGAAAATTAGCTTGAAATAAATATAATCAATATTTTTCATCCATGTTTCGAAACGAAAAATTAATCGATCTACAGAAAATATCATTTTTCCATGTATCGAAAGAAAGAAACAAGCTTAGATCGGGAAAATATGACTTCCATTCCTAATAGGAATGGAATCACTTTCTTCAAACCATCAAAAGAAATGAAAAGAAACGAAACCGATTTTCCTTGAAAGTAATTTTTATGGAAAATGATTTCTTTTTATTGGGGAAATTTTTAGCTGAGCAAGCATATCCTAAAAGAGGAAAAGAGAAGAGTGGGACAGACAAAGGTCAGGGAAAAGAAAATCTGGAAGTGGATAGGTTCAATGGCCAGAAACAGAGTAACCTCTTATCTTACGTGTCGCTTTACTACAACATGGTCTGACAGAAAGACAGAGAAATAGAGAGAGAGAGAGAGACAGAGCGCTTCTTCTTCGACTTCGCTTACACACGTCTCCAAGTTGATCAACAGTCTTCCCCCACACCGCCCCACGCGCTCGTTGCCGGACAAAAAAGGAGGGCCCTCTCATCTCCTTCCTCCCTTCTTCCTCCTGGGTCTTCCTCGCCTTCCATGGCGCTTTGCTAAAGTTGTCTCCTTTTTGGGTCCCTCCTCTCTCTCTCTCTCCACCCACCAAACCTAATTCTTCGTTGAATCTTCCTGACTCGTCGGAAAATCCGTCTGCTTTTTCTCGGGCTGAATCGCGGAAAGTTCGCCTCGCCGTCTTGTTTGCGTTTCGCTCTGGACTTCTGGACCCTGTGCGGAGCTCGATCAAGCGTGTAAGTCAAGTGGGTGCCGTACACGAGGCCTTGGTCTCTGCTTCTGGGTCGGTAACTGGTGTGATCCGCGTGTCTTTTTACCTCATACGGTCTGTCTCTTCGCCCTGAGTTGGGAACAATACGTGGGTGTAGTGCAGGGCGCTTCTGGGTCTTGCTCTGTTGTGTGAGGATTTGACTCTTTTTGTTTTTATTTGCCGTTTCTTTTATGTTTCCATTCCAAGCGATCGTGTTCGGTGACGAGTGCTGTCTCGAGCATCGCATTTCTCAAATTGTGTGAATAGTGATATTTCCGGGAGAGCTGAGGAGCTACAAGATCGCTTCTTATTTTTTAGCAAGGAAGCTTTTTTTAGCAAGGAAGCTTTTTTAAGTAAAATTTCTCTATGGCTTTTGACAAGGGATTGAATCATGTGAACTTAAGAGTTTTGAACCATAAAAAGAGGTCCTGATTACTGGTTGCAGCCATTATTATAATTAGTTTGTGGAAGTGACAATCTACAACCCCCTGATGTGTTTGACTTTGGGTGAAAAGCAGAGATGGGAGTATACTTGAGCACTCCCAAAACTGAGAAATTCTCAGAAGATGGCGAGGGTGACCGGCTCAGATATGGTTTGTCGTCAATGCAAGGGTGGCGTGCCACTATGGAAGACGCCGTGAGTGAATTCATCGTCATTTGCCGTTTGGCCTTTGAGATCATTACATGACTTTTGGTGGCTGATGCCATTACTGATGTTGCTTAGTTACTACTACTGTATATGTTGCTGCTAGCATGCTGCCTATCCCAATCTGGACTCGTCCACCTCGTTCTTTGGTGTTTATGATGGTCACGGAGGTAACGACATGCTTTTGGTATATTCTCAATTTCAATAACTTTTCTGAACTCTCTGTTTTTTTGTCCGCAAGATCGATAGTTACACCAGAGCTACAATTTTCCATCACTTGCAGGTAAGGTGGTTGCCAAGTTTTGTGCCAAATATCTTCACCAGCAGGTTTTGAAGGACGAGGCTTGTTCAGCTGGAGACATTAAAACTTCTGTTCAGAAGGCATTTTTCAGGTTGCTGCTCATTGATATTTGAGTTTGAATGTGTTGTTGTTCATTCGTATTTCCACTTTCTCACCAGGTTAAGGATTTTTGAGTTTTAGTACGTGGTTACTGCTTGTGTGACTTTGATCTCTTGTGCAAGCATGCATTGTTATGGATAGGGTGCAGAATATGTATGGCTAAATCATTTAGTTCCCTAAAGTTAACACATGAAATGGAGAGCATAGTTGCTCGCTTAACTTTTTCTTTCTCTTTGCAGCTTTGTCTATTTTTTTTTTATGATTTGAGATGTAGGTCCTCAATGATCTGATTGTAACCAAACAGGCGGTTCTTCCTTCGGTTACACGGCATCCTAATCTTTCATGTCATTCTTGTGTTGTAAATAACAGTTTACAAGTCAAAAGACAAAATGGATTGCTGCTTCAAATGATAGAACTTCAAAATTTAACTTTTTGTTGGCCTTGTTAAGTGTTTGTTAAATTTAAGGATAGTCTACTATAAATTAAAAAAAAAACAACTGTATAAATTAGACCAGAATCTGAGTCAAGATATCGCAGTGCTGCCTCTTATATGTAAGTTGAGTGTGACATGTAATATGCAGAATGTGGACATAATTATGTCAAACGAACAATGGGGGAATAGAGTAAAAGACAAAATTATTATAAAACAGAACGTGGCTGTGTGAACACTCGACCTATACTCAAATATTATGATATGCAACAATTTCTAAAAGCTTAAATTCTGAAGAAATGAGTTTTGTAAATCAAGTATATTCATTAACAAATTAAATGGTGGACAAGATCATCAACCAAATTTTCTGACCAAAAATGGGTTGAAAACTTCAATGCTTCTTCTGGAATAAATGTTCGATCATATTGTGTTCGGTTAGATGATGGAAGTTCGCTAAGTATTGCTTCTGTACTGCAGAAAATGTCTGATGAATCATATTATGGTGAGATCTGCAAGACAGAGTTTGAATTTTAAGAGACTCTATCGGGATGATTAGTTCGGCTCAATATATTTTATCTTAGACAGACTCGCGTGCATAGTTTTGTTGAAACATCATGGTTCAAAACTGGGATTGCTTGGTTTTGCTTTTGCAGAATGGATGAGATGATGCGTGGCCAAAGAGGGTGGAGGGAGCTAGCTGTTCTTGGGGACAAAATAAACAAGTTCTCCGGTATTATAGAAGGGCTTATATGGTCTCCAAGGGGCAGTGACGCTAACGGCCGGATTGATGATTGGGCTTTTGAGGATGTAGGTGCAGCAAGCCATACATCGAGAGTTTCCTCATTATCGTTGTAGCCCCAGCTGTTACTTAAATTTCTATTGATATTTCACAGCAGTGATACTGACATCGTCCTTTGGGCATTTTGTCAGGGGCCTCATTCTGATTTCTCTGGACCAACTTCTGGGAGTACAGCCTGTGTTGCAATTGTTAGAAACAACCAGCTTGTTGTTGCGAATGCTGGTGATTCTCGGTGTGTCATATCTAGGAAGGGTCAGGTAGGATTTTAAAGCCACAGCTCAAAATCTTTCTTGTGTTTATTGGAAAAGGTCATCATGCATTTGCATGCCTTTTTAGATTATCTATTATCTTGGATTGATTTATTAAATGATGTTTAACTTCTGCACCATGGATGACTAAGGACACCATATAACTTAAAATCTGCTGTGGTGGTCAAGATATTCTGATTGGTAGACGTAGTATGTCTCCTGTATATCTGGATAGAGGTAGTATAAGAACTGTAACATTCTATCTTGGATTCTCCTTGAAAAGGCATACAATCTTTCTCGAGACCATAAACCTGAATTGGAGGCTGAAAAGGAGAGGATTATAAAAGCTGGGGGTTTCATCCATGCCGGACGAGTTAATGGAAGTTTGAATCTTGCCAGGGCTATAGGTACTTCCTTCCTCCTTGGGATTTTTTATGTTACATGCTTATATTGTGAGTATCACGTATTTGATTCTAGGTTCCATTCGTGTCTATTCATTTCTATTTTTTCGCATTGTTGGTGTGATTGGCAAATTTGACTCTTCGCATCGGGCAGTGGAACTTATTATGCAGCATGTGGCATTGATAAACACCACTTTGCAATTTTAGTAATTTAAGCATACCATTTTCCACATATTGCAGGTGACATGGAATTCAAGCAGAACAAATTTTTGCCTGTCGAGAAGCAAATTGTAACTGCCAACCCAGATATAAATACTGTATGTATAGTTCCAAACGATCACTCTTTTGTTTTCTAGGTACATTATTGCAAAAATGGTAGTTGCGGAGATTTCCTGATCTAGAGTTCCTTCGTTTCTCTTTGTTATCATTTAGTGTTTAACTAGGACTTTGGTGTGGCTGTGCCTCATTATAGTGTTTAATCTTATTGGATTTATATAGTTGCTACTTCTAACCCTTTCTTTTTACTGTTTCATCTTTAGGTGGAGCTTTGTGACAACGACGATTTCATTGTGCTGGCATGTGATGGAATCTGGTATATGTCGACATTCTTCATGTCTTGCTTAACTAACATTAAGGGAGAAGATTTTGCCATATATAGTAGTCTGTGGATTGTATTCAATGATTAATTTTTACCTTACATTCCTCCCCCCCTTCCATTATTAAGAAGTCCGAGTTTTTGGGTGCCTGAATGGAATAGAACATACTTGATTTGAGGTCTGCATTGATTAAACCAAATAACCTCTATGATATAATTTGAGGAAGGGTCCATTAGTATCATGCTTCACATGTAAATCTCAAGGTTATCTGATTCCATGTAGTTGATGCTTTTGTAAACATGGTTACTTTGCGCTCATGTGTCATTAGATTGATTCTTTTACAACACGGCGGTATACGAAATGCAATTATCGGCATCTACCTGAAGTTAAGATGATCATGTCATGGTCAAAAAGGAAGGGGGGGGGGGGGGGGGTGGGGGGGGTGGGGGAGAAGAGATGGTCATGTGATTTTTCTTCACTTTGGTTCAGGGATTGCATGTCGAGCCAGCAGCTAGTGGATTTCATACACGATCAGCTGAAGTCGGTAAGTTGCTTATGCTCATATGGATGTTTGTCCCAGAGCGACGCGATCTCGCATCTTCATTTCAATTGGCATGCAACGCAGGAAACCAAGCTGTCTGCGGTGTGCGAGAGAGTTCTGGATAGATGTTTGGCACCATCCACCGTGACTGGCGAGGGATGTGACAACATGACCATGATCTTGGTCCAGTTCAAGAAACCCATCCAGTCTTCCACACCTGCCGGGGAGCAATCTCCGTCTCCTCAGCCCTACTGATGCAGAGACGAAACCGGAGAATAATGGGTCCAGACCCGAGTAAATTCGAAACGGACCGAGGTCGATGCACGGGGTTTTTAGTTGCGGGATCTCTTCTTAAAGGATTCCGATTTCTTGAAAATACGTTGTTTATGTTTTTTTGCTTTCTCTCTCATGTAAAGTTTATTGTAGCATTGCAAAGGATTTCTACTTGGTGGAAAAGCATGTGACATAGTGTAATCGAGTTGTCTTGACTGAATTTTCAACGCGTAAAGAATAATTGGTAGGCCTTAGACACGGTTTTGCTGCTTGTTAGTTTCGCTACTTCTTGTTCTGACATTTGCACTTCCGATTGTTGAGTGGCAAATTGGGAAGTTGGTTTTGCTAGGTACCAAATCATGCTTCGTGTAATTGAAAATTTAGTGGACGTGTTTCCTACTCGCTCAAAATGGTGGGTACGAAGCATATCGCTTTGAAAAGCTCATACAGATTATTGTCCCGATAAATGTTTCAAAACAGAAGGAAAATATTAAAAAGTGCCCCCTTGAGCAATCGTTGAGCTTTCATTACTTAGGTTCTGGTAATGTAAAATGTACTATTTTAAGTAAATTTATTAAGATGTGTAATTCTTTCTTTTTCCAAAGTATCTTGAAAAAAGTTGCGGGCAAAGTCTCGTGACGGGCAACTATGGAGATATTCAGGAACTTACAACGAGCTGGGTTCCCTCCCTCTCTGGGCAAGTTAGCTTTTCGAAATAAATTCTTCTTCCCTTGTAATGCATCAATCATAAAATGTAGCGCAAATGCCGAAAATGCCAAAAATGCCTTTGATATTTGACAAACTATACACAGCTCGATATACCTCTTGATACTCGAGATTAATTTCGAGAGCTCACGCTCGACCCCAATACAAGCTTAGTTCAAAGTTCAACTCAAGCCACCCTCAAACACGAATAGGGAAATCATAATTCAAGTCCATAATGGTTGTAGATGTATAGGTACATAAGAATTTCCAGCACTCAGCAAGCTACTTTAGGAGCTGTCTTAATGAAAAGACTGCGTTCCTTTAAAAGTTCGATCGAAAAGGAAAAGGAAAAGAAAACCAGTTTGCATAAATGGAACTTAGCCACTAAGAGCAGCAACAAGATCCGCTAATCCTACCAATCAAGCGCACTCGAAAATTGAGATTGAAAAACAAAGGGTTTACAGGGACTAGGCCTCAGAAAAACCAAAGCGAGCTTTCTGAAGAGAATCTACATTATCAAGCAAGTATGGAGACAAGCTTAACTTCAAGCAACCGAGCACGAATTTTAGAAGGGTATACCACTTTGACATGAGAATTTTAGAATCACTATAACAAAAATTATAGTTCTGCCGACATACAAAATTGAAAACGCAAGAATACATATGAATGATTTGAAGACGCCTTAAATCTGAGATCGGAACAGTCACATTGTTTTTCATTCTTTTAAGGGAAGAAGCTAACCGGCGCATGCCCTCATTGCATCGATCAGTCGATCTTCACTGACGAGTAAATGAGCCTTGTGAACCAGAAGCAAGCGTAGAAGCCGATGGTACCGGTCAGCACGAAAAATGCATAGGAGACAATCAGCATGTACCCGAAGTACAACGCCCCAGAAACTAGCTTCGTGATCTCGAGCTTTGTGAAGAAGTAAAAAGTGGCATAGAGGAAAAGGTACAAGGCTGAGGATCCAGCTGTGAGGTAGGATCTCCACCACCAAAGATAGTCCTCGCTGCACAACTGGAAATAGCAGAGCACAATGGTAATTTCAGCACAGGTGACGATCAAGATAATGAAGACCAGGAAGAGGAAACCGAAGATGTAGTAGAATTGGTTCAGCCAGATCGAAGTGAGGATGAAGAAGAGTTCGATGAAGACGGCTCCAAATGGAAGGATTCCACCAATCAAGATTGAGAAGGCCGGATTCATGTACCAAGCCTGCTCTGGGATCTGCCTGGGAATTTTATTTGTTTTGACGGGATCCTCGATCGCCGGCTTCTTAAATCCGATGTAGGCACCCACAAAAACGAGAGGGACTGAAATTCCAAACCATAAGAATACCAAAGCGAACATGGTACCGAACGGCACTGCCCCAGAAGACTTCTGGCCCCATATGAGCGCATTCAAGACGAAGAAAATGGCAAAGACGATTGCAGGGAACACAATTGCAGTCCGCAGAGCTATGTTCTTCCACTCAGTCCCTTTGAACATTTTGTACAAACGAGAAGAAGCATATCCAGCAAAGAGACCCATGAATACCCAAAGTAAGAGCATGGCTGTCATGAGACCACCCCGGTTTGAAGGGGAGAGGAACCCGAGGATGGCAAAGATCATCGTTACGAGAATCATGCCAAGAAACTGAACACCTGTTCCTACATAGATACACAGCATATCTGAGTTGGAAGGGGGTCTGAAAACATCACCATGGACCAGCTTCCATCCAGTCTCTTCCTGGGCTTCTTCCTGAGTCTCAAGCTCGTTGTACTTGGAAATATCGCGGTAAAGTGTCCGCAGCATTATCATGGCCACCATTCCAGAGAGAAATAGGACAATCATCAGAGAGTTAACGATTGAAAACCAGTGAATCTGGTCATCACTCATCAAAAGATAGGTATCCCACCGAGAAGCCCACTTCACATCGCTCTCCTGAAAGATAAATGAAGGAGAGGGGAGTTACTATAATGAGATATGAGTCAGGATATAGACAACTCTCATCTAAAAGATTAAATTGAAGGTAACTGAAAACAAATTAATTACTGTCAAAAAGTGCTTCAGCTAATGAAAAGACTCTCCACAGGAAAGATACAGGTAATATGAAGGAAAGTGAAGAAAATCATCAATGTCGAAAGTTCTTCAGCATATCACCGAAAAGGTTACCATTGAAGGAAGGAACCTCACCTGGAACTCAACATCATATGTAAATATAATTTCCTTTTTCTCCTCAACCTCTTGAGGAGAGTTTGAGTTAACCACTGTGTGCTTTGAGTGGGGATCACACGTCGTTAGCCGAGTATTTTCACTCCATGTCCCTTCATATTCGTGCTTGACACTATTCACGAAATCAAAATCAAACAAATCAGGTTTCGCAAGAAGGGGAGGAAGACATAGCAAATAGTAATATTTGAAAAGCAAGCAAAACCAACCTAAAGGGTTTGACCTCAAAACCCACAATTCTTGCTAAGTCGGTCTCTGCATCTCTGTGATACTTGACAGTAAATGCCAAATGGTTGTGGATGAAATACTTCTCCTCTTTGCTCTGTGCACGATAAAGTGAAAAATTTATCATGCTATGTTAAAAAATAAAAATAAAAATAAAAAGAGAGTGAGAAGTTTGTTCTGTTATGAGAGAACACACCCCAGAATAGTGGCCTTTAAGCCCAACATGAAAACCAAGTTGATATACAGGAGTAGAGTCCTGCTCTGATCTCCGTAAGGGAACAACAACAGGAAGGTTGTCAAGAATCCTGTCATTCAGCACATCAAGAAAATTGAATTGAGCAATGTGCTCTAGAAAATAACAGAAGCTAGACTGGTCCAAAAGCATGTTCAGCATGTTCCTTACATATTGACCCGATACTCATCAGCGATCTTTTCTTTCAAATCCTTTGTTTGCTTTGCATCAGGGATTAAATGGCAGAGAGTTTTGCACATCTTTGGTTCCCGCATCTTAAACTGCAGAAATCCATTAGGTAATTAGCAAAATAAAAAATTCATTCTCAAGATAAAAGGTTGCGAACAACAAAACTAACCTCATAAGGAGAGTTCTCAATACGGTCCCCACGTAGTACTTCACCAAGATTCTCAGCACTGTCCAATATCTTTTTGGGGCGGCAAAACGGTAGGGAATAGAAGGAATAAGGAAGCTGCGTCTTAATAGATGTCAATTTGTTCACTTTAACCATCAGCGGATGTCCCTGCATTTTAGAACGCGACAAACGAGAAGTCGACATGGGATTATGTCCGAGTAAAACGCTCATATATCAGAAAGCACAAAATAACATAGGCACAGATATTTACAGCTCAAAAAAGGCTGCATAGCACAACAAGACAATCATGGCAAGTGGCAACAGACACAGTTTCAACAGAATTTTAGATATAACATATCATCACTACTCATCTTCGATAAAATGGCTTAAATTGGACATATAATGCAAGTACAGCAAAAAAAAATATTCGAATTACAAAAAGAAAAACAAACGATGAAAATCAGTCCACAAGTAGCACTGCTAAAACACATTAATATGCCAGGAAGCAGAGCTCGACGACCAAATTATCCCCCTAACAAGTGGCTTGATTGCTATACATTGGCCATGCATCCAAAATATGTCACAACACAAAGAAACGAAGAGAGAAGTTTCATAATTTAATTAATTTCTTTCAAAACAAGTTTCTGACCAGCAATCATCGTGATTTAAAAGCAGAGAATTAGGTAAATAGATTCCGCAATGCTTAACACCTACGCCATTTACTAAATCTCGTCTTCCATCCTCTTTTGTGACTTTGTTTCTTCTTTCTACAAAGTCTAGATCGATCGTGAGCCTTCCATGGGCAGTGCATGCAATGTATTTCTCGAGCCTTCCAGCAGAACGAAATGAATCGAGCTACATCAGTTTTTACGTTAAAAGCTATCATCATCATCTCGCGGCCAAACACCGTATAAGTCATCATAATTTGCTCGAAGCTCTACGGCTGAAAAATACATATCTAAAGCTAAGTTGTCTACATCTCCAAATCTTTGCTCCCCCGCTCGCCAGATCTAAAACTACAGACTAACAATACGTAAGGAAACATATAAGATACGGCTAACGTAAAAAGAAACAACAAAATGTATCACATTCTACAGCTTACTCGCACGACGCATAAATTCAATTACACAGCCATAACAATCGCGAGCGCACATATTTATTACGCGAACCCAACGACCAAAAGTTCCCAAAGGGTAAAATCTAGCTAATCAAATGAATATTCGATTCTAACTAACTACATCACAAGGTCCGCCTCCCAATCTAAGGATTCGCCCGCACACGGCTACAAGATGGCACTCCTATCCCCACACCGACTTACTCTAGAGCTCAAACAGCAGTGACCTAAAGAACAGGGATTGGAGATCCTCCTCCTCCTAGAGTAAGCAGGCGTAGCCATTTCCACGGCTTAAATCCTAGAGGCTCTCTATTATTAGCTCAACGCACCAATGCAACGCCATTTCACCATCTCTACTGCCGAATTCCTTCCATCGAGAGCGTCGGCAGTCAATCAGAACCGGGCAAATCCAATCAAGTACCGTTCCACGTTCTCCACGTGCAAAAAAAAATGAAGAAGAACAAATCATCGCCGCGCCGACACAGAAAACGTAAATCCCTAACGCTCTTCTTGACTTCCTCGACCGCGAATCCGAAAGAAAAAGGGCCAGATCCGAAGCGCGACGCGATCGCAGGCGCGGGCCGAAGCCGCGAATCGACCAGATCCAGCAACCAAGCGCGCGGATCGAGCCGCTCCTCGAAGCGCGCCGCCCGGGCCGGGGGGGAGGGGTATCACACCACACACTGACGAACGCGTCGCCACCGCGAACGCCGCGCGAGCACTCTCGAAATCCGCACGGCATCTCTCGAAAACCTAAAATCGCCTCGAGCCGGGGAGGCTCAGATGCGGCGGTTGGGGGGGAGGGAACTGACCTTGTCGAAGTCCTCGGGAGCGACGCCGGGGAGGTAGAAGGAGCGGGCGCCATGGATCAGGAGGAGGAAGAGGAAGGGGAGGACGAGGGAGCGGAAGGAGAGAGAAGATCTCCTCGGAGGATCCATGGTGGGAGAGGGAGAGCAAGAGCGAGAGAGAGAGAGAGAGAGAGAGAGAGAGACGGACAGTGAGATGGAAGGGAAGGAACGAGGGGGTGTGGAGCTTGTAGATCTAAGAGAGGAGTTTCTGGCCTTCTTGCGATTATAAGCGGGGGGTGGAGGTTGTGTGGAAAACAAGCGAGGAACAGAAAGCGAGAGAGGCCCAAATAGTGAAATTTCTTCTTCTTTTTTCCTTCCTTTTTGTTTTTTTTGTTAATATCACGAAAAATCCTAAACCGGTACACTTACGACACATTTATCTCAAACTATTTTTTTGATCATAAAAAACCCCTAACTGGTACACGTATGACAATTTTACCCTGAACTATTTTATTGACCATCAAAAACCCCAAACTGGTACACCTGTGACAATTTTACCCTGAACTTACCACAAAAAATCTCAAACTGGTACATATGTGACAATTTTACCCTGAATTAAAATTTTAATATTATTTATTTTTATTTTTTTCGAATTTTTATTTATTTTATTTATTTATTTCCTTTTATTTTTTTTTCTTCATCTTTAACCTCTGGCCGATTGCCGGTCCGGCGACCGGCCAGAGGCGGAAGCCGGCGAGGGCCGCCCTTGCCGCGTCGGGCGAGGCCGCCCTCGCCGGCGTCGGGCGAGGGCTATCCTCGGCGGCGTCGGGCGAGGGCTATCCTCGCCCACCCGAGCGAGGGCGACCCTCGCCCGACGTAGGCGAGGGTCGTACTCGCCGGATCCGGCGAGGGCAACCTCGCCCGGGTCGGCGAGGGCCGCCCTCGTCGGCGTCCGGGCGAGGGCCGCCCTCGCTAGATCCGGCGAGGGTCGCCCTTGCCGAGTCGAGCGAGGGCGGCCCTTGCCAGCAGCTACCGAGGGCGGCCCTCGCCGGCTTCCGCCTCTGGTCGGTCGCCGGACCGGCGACCGGTCAGAGGTTGAAATTGAAGAAAAAAAAAAGAAAAGAATAAAAAATTCAAAAAATTAAAAATAATATTAAAAATTAGTTCGGGGTAAAATTATCACATGTATACCGGTTTGGGGTTTTTTATGGTCAAAAAAATAGTTTTGGGTAAATGTGTCACAAGTGTACCAATTTAGGGTTTTTCGTGGTATTAACCCTTTGTTTTTTGTTTTGGCCTCATTTGTGGTAATTCCAGAATACGTAACATTTTTAATTTTGTAAAGATAGTGTTCATTTTTTCATGAATTTTTCAATTGCGGTTCGTCACACCACCTAAGGGTAAGCATGGTTCTGGGGTGAAATCGGGCACTCGAGAATCGGACCGGTTTCCACCGGAACCGGTTCGAGATCTAGGGTACGTAAGGGAGGTTTCAAGTTCCAAAAATTTGGAAACTTGTTTCAACGAGCAGACGTGGAACCTAGAACGTGGAGCAAGTCTTTGTGTTTTTCTTATTTTATGTCTTTCAGGCATCCTGCGACATTCCATGATGTCCGATGATGAATGAGCAATCTGAAACCACTGACATGAGCTTCCATTTCCGACGATATCTATGGTTGGGACTTTTTATTTTGTTTATGTTTCATATTTTTTGTGTATCTAACTATGAGTTGTGATAAGTGGATTCTAGCAAATTATGGTCATTAGATGCGATGATTTACCGTAATCGTTTAATTAAAAGTACTGATGGAACTTGGGTAGACCCTAAAACCTGTGGCAGGGTAGGTTCCGGATTCCTGAGTATGCATGATAGATTTCAGGTTCTAAAAATTAGGGAATTTGTTCAAATAGGTAAGTTCCGAGTTTTAGGAGAAACTTAGACAGAACCTGGAACTGCTCGTCTCTAACACCACCCCTCATAAAATTATGAATATCGGTTTTAACATCACTTGGATTAATGTCTTATCTGTAGACTCTCATCTTCACTAGAAATATAGGTTCCTAATTTTTTATTATATATTGTTAATTGAACTGTCAGAAAAATCAAGTGACAAGAGACGAAAAGATTCCATTTTGACACGGGAGCTTATGGTCTCGGGTTAATTTAGGCAAAATGGGCCAAAAGCTTGTAATTTTGACCAAATATGTATGTACATGAGATAATACGCAAGAGATAAGTCGTAGATCGACATGATAATGGAGATGAGCTGAACTATTTTCAATTTTGTAGGTCACATAGGGGTGAGCATTGGTCCTGGGTTGAACTGGGAATCGGACCAAATTCGACTGTTCTAGGTGGTTCCCGTAAAGATTGGTCTGGTTCCCGGTTTCAAAGTCCGGATCCAATCGACAAAACTGACCCAAATTTTGATTGAGTCTAACTTCATAAATATAATACATGACGTTGGCCCTTGAAAGTTTTTGTTAGGCCAAATTCTCATATCCTTATGATTCAGCCACAAGATCAGACCGGACCGGTATTGTTATTTCATTGTCGTTTTGTTTTTGGCCAGCAGAAAGAAGAAGAAAGGAAACCCAAAAAAGAAAGAAAAAGAAAACACGTCGGTTCCAAGGGAGGATGGGTCAAAACCCGATTTCACGTACGGGGAATCGACCCTACCCGATCTGATTTCGAGTTCCAATACGCAAACCCTAAACAACTCTAAAATCGACCATCTAGTATCGAGTTTTTGCTTTAAAAAGTTAAGACAGCATGCTGAGGGCATAGTTGCTTTTCTTATATCAATGCCGATGGACGAGCCTTTTATAAGGAAAGTTGGTCCATCACATCGTGGAAAAGACAAGATGAAAGGAGGAGGCCCACTTTCCCTTTGTATAAACAACTGGGTCTAGATCCGCGCAAAACTTTTTGCTCGCTTTCTAAGTCATACGCATCGCAGGCAAAACGAGCGCATTTAGATCTCAACGTTCTAACTCTTAACTTCTAGTGGTCTAGCTGCGAAGCCGATGATTGCCGGATGTTAAATTCGACGATATGAAATCGAAAAGACTGGTAAAGTAAATAAAAATGTTCAGTGGTAAGATGGTTTGATGAGATGCGCCACTTTCCACACATTACCCATAAGATCCGTAGAATTCTAAATTTGAGATGCGTTTGGTTCAGCGTTCTCAAGTTTCAACTTAATCCAATTCCCGCGCCTTCTCTCAGAAGTACCTAGAACCCATCATCACCGTGATTCATTTATCCTCAAATCGAGAAACCTCAGTGGCCGGAACGGCGACTGATTCACGAATTATGATTTGAATCAGTCATGACAACCAGCTCATGAATATCTAGAGCCCTCCTCGATGTACTACCTTTCTAGGGTTTCGATTTGGTCTGGTCAATTGAATTTCGAGCTCGGTTCTCTAGTGAAGCTTGTGCTCTTTTGTTTTATGGGTTTGAAGCCGTGGTTGTACCCGGCTCCGACCTTTCGAAACTTGAAACTTACTGGGACATCGATGAGGATGCCCCCGACCCCCGTATGGGCCACACGTCACCACCACCAAGTCCCACAACCCTCGCTTGATCCTCTCTGGCGGCGCCACGGCTGTCGAGGGAGACATCGCCTCCTTCGCCCCGGGCAATAGTGAGAGTATTGTCGTGTTGCTTTAGTCTGTAGCCTAAGCCCTTAAAGACGATGAACGATAACTCCCCCTGTAATTTCCATTTTTTTTCAACATCGATTGCAACAAATTACTCCAAAAGCCATTAACCAAATGGTATTTGCTTTTGAGCGAATACACTATAAGCCAGATATCTTTGAGGAAATGACCTTACATTTCCCCAAAACTCAACCAAATGTAGCCTCAATTATTCTATCGAGTTGTGTGATTCACTTTTTTTGTGTGTGTGATTGACTTGGTTGTGCGCAAAAAAATTTGCAAAATGTACCCACACAAATTAACACGCTAACTAACCCGATCCGACCCGACATAAAAGAAAAAAAATGTGAGCAAGCATCAGCTCATTTCGGACCGTTGAATCTTTCCCCTTTCCTCACCTTCTTCTACGACACGCCATCTGTCCATCTTGTCCCTTACCTCGAGAACGTACAAAAAAAAGCTCACCCACCACACCAGCAAACAGCAAACAGTCATGTACAGTACCATTCCCATCCCAGCTTCTCTCTCTCTCTCCAACGGCTAGTTCCACTTCTCATCTCTCCACGCTATATATATATCCCCCACAAGCACCCTCACAGGTCACAAGTAAAACCTACACCACCATCATCGCCTTACTATCGACGGCGAAGAAGCAGATAAAGCTTTTCTTTCCCACCATCAACCTCTCTTCCAATGGCAGCCTCTGCAACCTCTCTTCCATCTTCCCTCTCGCTGGCCCTTCTCCTCCTGCTCCTAATAAGCATGGTCTCCTCGTCGCGAGCGAGCGAGGTCGTCGTGGGGGGAGCCGCCAACGGCGGCGGGTGGAGGATCCCCTCCTCGGAGACGGCCTACACCCTCAACGCCTGGGCCGAGAGCTCCCGCTTCCAGATAGGCGACGCCCTCGTCTTCAAGTACGACGCCGCCCAGGACTCCGTCCTCCAGGTCACCAGGGCCGACTACCTGAGCTGCAGCGCCTCCAGCCCCGTGGCGCAGTACGTCAATAAGGGCGGCGAGGCCAAGGTGGAGCTGGAGAGGTCGGGCCCCTACTACTTCATCAGCGGGGCCCCGGGTCACTGCGAGAAGGGCCAGAAGTTGATCGTCCTCGTGTTGTCGCCCAGGAATGCCTACGCCAGGGTGAGCTCTCCGGCTCCCGCTCCTGCTCCGGCGGAGCACGAGGGGCCGGCAGTGGCTCCGACCAGTGGGGCTGCGAGACTGGGCCTCGAGAAGGGTTTGGGCTTGGCGGCGGGCTCGATGTTGGCGGTCTTCGGCTTGGGCTTGTTTTGAGTTGAAGATACAGGATTTCCGATTTGTGTGGGGGATGGGATGGAATTGTGATGTTCCCTTCTCGATTTGTTTACCATGATTCGTTCATTCTTTGGAATTTTGCAGGCTATCGAATTTAACATGTATTACTGTTGGCTTGAGCAATTCATTCATATTTTTTTCTGAAGAAGAAAGAAATTGTGCAGCATTTACCTTTTTAGTACGCTCTAATCCTAAACAGAGAAGAAAGTATATCCCCATGTCATCTCATTGAGAACAAGGCGCTTAACTACAATACTCCACACCCCTCACCACTGTCAAAATTCACCATTGTCAAAATTCAGCTGATGTTTTGGCCAAAGAAAAGAAAGAACAACATTAAAAGCTGATGTGTCAGAGTATTTGAAGTGCACGGCTACCCGAATGGCATGAATCATGCGAACGAGGCCAAATAAAAGAGCACCAGGAATGACCAAAGAACTCTGCAGATATAGATTGCAATGTACAAGCATGACACCGCTCTACAGAAAAGCAAGAAAAAGGGCCTGTGCAACAAAATCAATCTTCATCCGACGAAATCTCCACCAATCCCTTGATGACCTCATGGTCGTCTTCATCGTCTGAATCGTCGATCAGAGGTCCCTTAAAACCAGTTTTATTGCTACCAAGAAGCTCCTGCGCAGCTTTCTCCAGGAATGCCTTGGTGGTGGCTTGAACAGACTGGTACCCGGGAGACTGATACTTCCTCTTCCTCTCATAGCTCTTTGGCGCCCCTCTACTTAGTTCCCTCATACTCTGCCTCTGGTCTGCAAAAGAACCTCTCCATGAAACCTACTGCGATCTGTGGGCAACAATCGATGTCCTATGAAGAAAGTGATTGAAGGCATACCTGGGGTGAGATCAGGCAAAGAATGCTCGATGAAGCGGGTGGCTGCTTGGTGATTCAAGGTAGTAGAAGGCCGAAGTGGAGCTTCAGGAAGAAGAAACAAGGATGCAAGTACATCTTCAGTAAACAGTACAGTAAACAGGTTAAAACTAAAATACCAGGCACGGCAAACTGCTAAGTAGAATTGTTGGCGAATCATCTAGCACAACAATTAAAAGCAGCAGACAACACCAAGGAATTTCACCATTTCAAACAATTCTGATCATCCCATCCCACAAAAAATTTTGTGACAAAAATAAAGTTCTAGAAGTAATATGAAACTTTGCCATGACTCATTATTTAACATCTGACTTTCTTGGAAGTACTAATGAGGGGATTGAACAAGAATAGAGCTGGCAACACGGGTCATAAACCCAAGTTTTAACTCAAATTTAACTAAACCAGGAGCTTTGTAGCTCAAATTCTTCTTATGGGGGTTAGAATGGGTTCGCAATGAACTCTCTCTTTCGAACAGCTGATCTCTCTTTCATTTTTTCATTCGTCCTGAATCCTGATCCCGACGATCATATTCAGACCATAAAAAGAAAAATATCATTGCAATTACTCAACCAACCTCAGCATGGTATTTGTCCTTCGATTATGTTGCGACGAATGAAAAAATATCATCAATAGAAATTGCCATCAATTGAGCTTTTGTGCTAGGGTTAAGTGCTTCTCTGGCGAGCCTAAAGCAGTAATACTCTTTGTGAAGAGAATAGTGAACTTTCTGTGGAAGTGAAAAAGCATTCACTCATTAACTTCGGTGTCTGCCTTTTGAGTTCTCCCGTAGATTGTGCATTTGTCAAATAGTTGCCAGGCTGATGGGAGGATCTCTGGTGTTGGTTTTCTATATGATTCACTTTTCCCATATGTTTTTTTTCTCATTCCGATACGAAATACTAGCAGACGATTATGGTGAGTATGCTCCGGCAGATACTTATCACATGCGATAATGTCGCTCTATTTAGACTTCCTTGGCCGAACAACATCAGTTAAAAGACTCAAATTGGAAACCTAATGTATATAGACTAAACGGTTAAATGCATGTATAAAGGTTACTTATGATCAGATTAGGCACGACCGTATTTATGCAACTATGAATGAATATCGGTAACCCACTCAAACATACCAATTTGCCACCTCAACTGAAAGAATGAAATCCCAGTAACATAGCGACTTAGCGAGTACCTTTACTCAAATCCACAAGCCGCTCGAGTTTGCCTTCATACAAGCTTAGCCTCTCCTACAAACGTCGAAAAGGAACAAACAGAAGATCACACAAAGTAAGCCAGCACTCATAAAGAAATTGCTGCACACAATCAAGTTCAAGTAGAGGCCAGAGTCACGCAGAAATTAAGCTCATTCTACCGCCAGATATAAACCATCGAGCCAGGAATATGTTGTGATCGACATCTACAAGGAATCAGAACTGAAAAAAGAGAATACCCAGTGAGATTTTCAGCACTTACCAGCTCAGATTTGATAGGATGGCCGTCCGGGTCGACGCCATTACACCTCAACCTCACTGCATCACGCACAAAATACCGAGCCATCAGCTATCCAAGAAAACCCAAAAACCAGCGAAATGCGCGGCCCAAAATCAAGACCCGGAACCCAAATTTCCATCATCGAGGAAACCCAGAAGGTCGAAGGCCGGGAAAATGCGACGGGGAGGAGTGTTACCGGCCAGGAGGGTGGAAGCGGCCTTGGCGAGCACGAGCAGGGCACGGGCGCGCTGGAGCGGAGGCAGCTCGGCGAGGACGTCGGGGTCGGCGAGGGAGAGGAACTCCGGGAGCTGGGTCCGCAGCGCCTCCAGGCCCAGCAACGTGGACTTCGCCGAATGGAGCACCGGTTCCGGCACCATGCTCTCCCTCGGACCGCTTTCCATTGCAGCGTCCGAACGAATTCAATCTCCGGAATCACCAAAAATCTCTCTCTCTCGCTCGCTCGAGAAAATTTTAGGGCTTTAAAGCAGAAATGGTTGGGGTTTTAAGGTTGTTTCAACTCTTGACTTGTTCGAGAGAGAGGGGGGGTTGCACTTGCATTCGCCTGCCGAAGAGATTACGCGAGGGTGACGAGCGGATGTCGAAAACGAGAAGGGCACGGAAAATGCTCATGGGCTTGAGATGAATGGGCTTTTTGGTAAAAGCTATTCTTGCAATGAAAGGTGGACCGTGACAGCCCAATGACAAGAGGATCATAATATGATTCAAGGATAATAGCACAAATAATTCCTTAACTTTAATCTAATGTGTAATATTATTCTCGAATTATAAATTTATGCAACGTGATCCTTGAATTTTTCCCCAACGTGCAATGTCATCCCAAAACTTTTAGTTTGTTCATGTGATCCATGAATTATTGATAAATGTTCAATGTAATTCTTAAATTATTTCAATGTAATCATTAAATTATATAAATATATTTAAAAATTCATGGACCACATTGAACACTACACAAAATTTCATGAACCATACCGAATAAATAAAAAGTGCGAGAACGACATAACATGTTGGATCAAAATTCGGGCATTATTTTCAACAAATTAAAAATTCAAAGAGGACATTGAACATTAAACCAAATGTTTATAAACCGTCATTTCTGTAATTTCATTTCTGTAATTTATGGTGTCGCGAGTGCAGCCACATTGCTCACATTGGTCGTCTTAAAAAATGCGTCAGGACCTCAAGAGCAGACGTTTGTAAACTTTGCAGCTATATCAGTGAAAATTATAGAAAAGACTTGGCCGTATTCTATGTAAAGAAGAAGGTAGAAGGAATTTTGTGAAAAAAAAATGCATGAAAAATAAAGGCACGATGGTTTTTCACGCAGAGATAATGTTCCAACTTCCACAAAACGTCGACCTCCCAAGTAAAACTCAAAAAACAGTTGCGCCGACATAAACAGGCGACTAGGCGAGCACTGAGATCCTTAACTTCGATACAACCTTCTTGATAAAAAGAGAAACAAAAAAGAATCCGAAATCAAGAGCCGCCGCCGGCTACTTCCTTGGGTGAGTGTCTTCCGGCCTGGCGACGCCGGTGGCCACCTTGGCGACGTCCCCGGCATCGGCCTCGGGCTTCTTCAGCACGTAGAGCGCGAAGTAGCCGACGGCCCCGGTTATGAGCAAGCCGGCGACGGCCATGGCGGGGAAGCTGTAGGGCAGGCTGCGACGCTGGTGCAGGACCTCGCCGGGCCCGCATCCGGGCGGCCGCTTCGACGCCTCGACTCCGGCGGCCCTCACTTCTTCCGGGCTCATCTTGTGGGTGTCCGCCATTTTCCGCCAATCTCGATCTCCTTCCTTCGCCATCTCCCTTCTCGTTCGATTTCTTGATCGTCTTCTTCTTCTTTCGCTCGGGATAATGTCGGACGGGTTTGGAGATCGAGGTGTTGAGGGACCGAAGTGCGCGCTTCGTCGTACACCACGTGGCAGTTTGCATGTCTGCCTCTTCCTGTAGCATGGGACACGTGGTTTTTCGTATATACGTACATGGCGCGATCGGAGAGGGAAGAACCCACATATCTAACACCATGGATTTTGTGTAGTCGAGGGATATTTTTGAAGACTACTAATTTGCAAATAATAATTATTGTAAGCGATAGAAGTAACCAATTTTAAGAAAATATTTTTCAAATTATTCATTTTTTATGAAACAAATAAAATTTTAAATGAATAAGTCACAAAATAAAATGTATGTCGTTTTATTAATAAATTACTCCAGGGATCAAATTTGTTGCCCTACGCAGTCCCTTGTGAACGTATGATCTCGCTTTTCTTTCCCACGGCTATCATGCTTTTGATTGATTTAGTCTAATATGTAAAACTGACTCGTTTGTTTTATATAGTTGAAAAAAAGGATGGAAGAATTCGCTCGCGAAACGACCATTCTTTTTAACAATTTGACAATTTAGAGGTTTGGTCGTAACTGTTGATCTAGTCTACGACTAGTTATTCCAATTCTCACCAAAATCAGAGCACAAATAAAATATCCACGCACTAAGTAATCTGAGATTGATTCAAAGGTTATCGCCAGAACCAGAGCACAAATAAAATATCCGCATTATATGCAATTGATTCAAAATTATCTCCGCCGGTGGTTACCAATTCTATTGTCAATATTTGTTACCTGAGATTCTTTCTAAATGTATATATATAGAAGTCATCACTAATTCGAAAAAATTCACAACTCAGAAATCAAATACACAATCAGAAATCAAATACACAATCTTCTCTCATTCTCTTCTCTCACTGACAGTTGTCCCTATTTCTATCGGTACCTAATCGATTATCTGGATGGAACTAGCGCAACACCCTGTTGCTATGATTTCCCACTTGAAAACGAGTTCTCTTAATCCACAATCGAAATCGGAAGCATGAAACTGCTTTTATCACTGGTCAATTCCATAGCGGGCTTAAAGTCCTTTTGACGGTTTTTTATTAATCATTTTGAACCATTATTTATGAATAAATGAGTCAATTAAAAAAGTTAATCATATCATGGGCAGAGACTACAGATAAGGACAAGGGTTTTGCTACCGCCCAATGAGCATCCATTCCCACGTATTCTTTTACAGAGATTACATTTTAATGGCCAAGAAAAAAGAAAAAGAAACAAGAGAAAAAAAATCAAAATACACGTATTCTTTTACCCCCTCCCTCATTCGGTACCATCTTCTCTTCTCCAACGACAGACTATTAACGACGGTCGGACTCTCGGAGATTTCCATAACGTCGACCTCGCCCCGAATCATGTGTCTTGGAACAGCTGCAGCATCCTCGTAAGAACGCCATTGAATTCTATCCTGACAGTTCTTGTTTATGAAAAGTGAAAGTACGCAACAAGGGCGTATTCAACGGGAAGGTTCTCGCCCTGTCCCCGACATCTATCTCCGCCAATAATGTCCCCTGGGCGAAAGGGGCCACTCAGGACAAGTGGGTTGGTTTGTTGGCATCCACCACGACAGCGACGGCATCGTGGGGGTGTTGTCGATGGAGCGGCTCTGGCCAGAATTGGCTCCGTCCTCCGCGGAGTTAGCATCGATTCGGTCGATGATGACGGGTACCGCTAGCTCGTTCTCCGGTGACGGCTCAGACGGAGCCAGATCAGCCACCGTCAAGAGGATGAGATACATGTCTACTTCTTTCTGATTAGATCAAAAGAGGGAGAGAGCATCGGCGACAGGGACCGAGTCGGGAGACAAAGTGAAGACACGACCGTCCGGGTCGGGGACGGCGGGACCAAATGGTGCGGCAAAGAGCAAGAAAAGGAGAGGAATGGGTTGATGGAGGCAGTGTGTTGTTGATGACGGGCCATGTTTTGTGTTAAATTCACATGTGAAGTATCGGTTGACTCCATCGGAACGCCCTGCAACTGGCGACGAGCATCATGACCACTAGAAGGTTCAGTTTATAAAATCATGCAGACCTAGTTATATATGACTCTCCACATTTCACTTCTCAAATTTAATTTCAAGAACCTAAAAGTCAAAACTATGAAAGCAGCAAACTTTAGAAAGATTCAATCAGACTCGAAAACTTTCAATCTAGACTCGGAGGAGAGCCGTCACAATCACTCGGAGATTCTAATTGAAAAATGAAAGGAGCTTACATGCATCAGAACCTCAGCTCCTCTATCATCCGTAATAGCAAGCATAGCGAAAAGATGTACCTTTCAGTTTGAATTAACTAATGCTTGATCTTTGACCCCAAAAGAAAAAAACTAATGCTTGATCATTTCTAGTCGGAAGGCCGATACATATAGACTGACCAAGACTCCAGAACACGTAATTACAAGGTTAACATCCCTCATGCGAGTCGTATATGTTCACTTCCTGGCACGAACATCCGAAGGTGGGTCGTGGGTGGTGACTCCGTTCCCGACTATGGTGCGCGCGTCCCTCGTGTTCCTCTTGTCTTTGTAGAAGACGTAATAACCCGCCGCCGCCGCCAGGAGGATCCTGCCGACCGACATCGCCCTCGGGCTCATCGGCCAGTTCCTCCCGCCCGCCCTCGCCTTGTACGCATCGTCCACTGCCATCTCCTGCTCTCTCTGTCTCTCTTAAGAGAACTCACCGACCTGAGGTTGATGAAATGAAACAAAGGTGATACAGGTCTGATCAAATGGGGTAGGAATCGGTTAAGGTTGACCCAACACGTTTACGTAGGTGTCGAGCAAAGGCGACCCTCCGTGGGTCTGGCACATGTTTGTGTCCTTACAAATGTCGTTCTTTAGCGTTCGTACGTAGCATCGTTGCAACTGGCGGTTTCTTTCTGCATGGTACTCCACGCCCCTTCGGCGCTTCTTCCCTGGTAAAACAAAGACTATTTCGCGACCTATCTTCAAAACGAAGTCAAATGTGTATGGACAGTGCATGTTTATTCCACGTAATTCAGGTAGGACGAAAGGTGAGGATGGGTCATCCTTAGCTGCCAGAATCTTTGGCAAATATGTCATTAATTATTGTTATTTTCTTAGTTATTTGATGCTACTCTGCTAATAAAATTAAGAAAATTGTTCAAAAAATTCTAAATCTATTGCATTTTTGTTAATTCATTCATAAACTTTTTCAATTTTGCCAATTAAGTTCTCAATCTTTTAGCGTTTTGCCAATTGAGTCTACCTGATCAATTTTGACCGAAAATTGCTGACGTGGACGCCGACCGTCCTATGTGGTACAGCTGGTGCTGATGTAGATAAATTTTAATGATATTTTAATAATTATAGTTTTTTTATTAATTTTTTATTCTTTTCTTCTCTTTTCCTCGCCCAACGTTAGCGACCGCCGCCGGCCATCGACGAGGCCCGACGGTGGCTGGCGGAGGGAAAAAGGGAAAGAAAAAAAAGAAAAGAAGAAAAAAGAAAAGAAGGAAAAGAGAAGAAAAAGAAAAAAATATTAAAATTTATCAAAATTTGTCCATATCAACGATTTCCAGTCAAAATTGACTGAATGGATTCAATTGACAAAATTGAAAGGTTTATCACTGAATTGTAAAAGTGTAATAGGTTTATG